GCGGAGAGGGTGGCTGGTAGGGGGAGAACACACATATGCTTGGACAAACAACTGCCATGCTTATACCCCTTCCCGCAACGATCGCAGCGCAGTTCGGGTGCGGAGCGCTTGCCTTCGCCCTTCATTAGGTGCGACCCCTCGCTGGCGCGACGGTTTCGGTTCTTGGTGGTGACGGGCTTGGTGGCCGGAGTAATGTCGTCCGCGGGGGGTGCGGCTGAACCATCTTGGGAATGGGAAGGGGAGGTCTTGCGAGCGACCGGAGGCTCCTGGCTGGGGCTGTTCATACTCCGGGAGAGATACGAGCCGAAACCGGAGGGGGCACCGACCGAGCTGGACTCCAGACCTTTGCGGCTCCCGCGGCGAAGGGCGGGCATGGGGACGGTGGTCGACTCCTCTTTCAAGGAGGCGGCGACAGCAGCGGCGGCCGCATTGGCGGCAGCGGTGGTGACACTCTTCCGTCGGGTTACTCGATGGTTGTGGTTGACGGCGCCCAGGGAGATGGAGTGGGCATGGCGGGGGTTGGACTGGGGGAGAGGACGCGAGAGGGATAATTCCTGCAGCGGAGATGTTAGTGCGGTGGCGGAGGTAGTGAGGAGGGAATCTGACTTTAAAGGAAGCCATGAGTACGTGGTCTGGGTAATGGACCCGGAGCCTTTCGCACACAGACTGATTGAGGCCGATGATTGACTGGGGGGTTGAGTGTTAGCTGGTCGGAATCGGGGTTGAATCGTCGGAAGAAAGTGAGAGGCGAATAAATTGTGGGAACACGTACCTGGAGGGAGGGGGCTATGCAATTGAGGGGAATTGAAGGGATGGATAGAGGGAGTAGGGGGGGTATGGGGAGGGAGTGTAAGGAGGGAGACGTAGAAAGTAGGTGTGTGCGAGAAGTGGTGAGGAGAAGAGGGAAAAAAAAGAAGAGGAGAAGAGGAGAAAGAGCGAGGTTGAGGAAGAGGAGAGGAAAAAAAGAAAGAGAGAGAGAAAGTGAGAGACAGAGAGAGAGAGAGAGTCTGGATGGCCGACAGAGGGATTATTCCCTTTGGCTGGAACGAACGGGGCCTGGCACGAGGAATCCGGCTGATGACTGGATTGTCTGGCGGGGCCCTTTGGGTTCGCTAGTCGCCCGAAATGGAGGCGGTAATGCGGGGGTCAATACAGTAGGAAAATAATATATTATATAAGTATAGTACGACAAGAACAGAAGTGAAGATGAGCAGAAGAGGAAGATTAGATACAATAGATAGACATATACCTGGAGGTAGACTACTAATGATGATTCAACATCTCTGGTGAGGAAATATTCTCCTCTATCCGGTTCCTGGCTAAGGAGCTGATCAGGCGGCTCCACTCGACATGCCTGACTGACCGGATGATGTGATCAACCAACCATTATTATATTGTACCGGATTAGTATGCGTTCACTCGTTCTATAAGGTATACAAGTGAAACATATCTAGGACTCTTATATAATGCTATATTATAACAACGTATAAATATTGAAACATGAGATCCTCAAAATCATACAACTCTACCCGGTATACGTGGACGGTCTAGACAGAATCCCAAAAGTGGGCACATGATGTCATCCCCCAGAATCCAGGCGTCGTAAATTACCTCGTACGCAATACCGTACCCAAATTACCATCCCATACGATACCGTACTCGCTGTCCGCTGCAGCTGACAATGTCCGTGCCACACTCTCGACTCTTATCAGCTGTCGGAGCACATCACGCCAACCCTGCACTTAAGGCAAGTCATCCCTCCACTGCCTATCACAATGCCAGGAAATGGGAGATCCGCCCCTGCAATTGACCACGCATGCACCTAGGTACCTAGCCTAGTACTGTATGGAATACTCCGTATGGCGAGTCTTACGGTCTGAGCTCCGCCACTGGCGAGCCCCTGGGAGCTAGGTGAGGTACCTACCACCTCGTGGAGGGTGGCTTTGTCGTGGCCTCCGGCAAGGAGCTCTATCTGTATATACGTAGTATGTGCTCTGTAGTTATATGTAGTACGGCATGTCTGACCCACTGACTGGAAACAAAATGGACAGCTGTCATTTCTTTGATCGGCCCTCAGTGTCTATAAATAATCCCCCTTACTTCTATCTTCGTCGGTCAAAGGCAATTCAAAGCGATAGTTATCTCGGCCTAGTTACTTTGTAAGGCTGACATAATGATCATGTGACCAGCGGAAGGTTCCGCTGCCTCCGCATGTATACAGCGCAACTTGAAGAGATTCTCCCCATTCAGAAGAAAAACGAAGAAGCTACTCAGGGGAGATTCAACATGCTCCGTTATCACGTCTGTGGTCTTCCACCATCGTCAGCGGTGTCTTCCCCTCTTCCTTACCCGGCTCCCATGGAGGCCACGACAACGACACCTCTATCTCTCCTTGACGAGGGCCGCAAGCTGTTTGCGCATTTCCTCTAGTTGCCTTTGGCATGGAAAGGACGTGCGGCGTGAGTGGATGTCCAGCGCGACGGTGAGGGATATGAGAGTGGTTGCTCTGCTCAAGCGGAGAGTAGCATGACTGTACAGTCCTCGTCTATACTAGGTACTATAGATGCACCTCATCATGATTGATTCTATACAACTATCCTCCTACCTAATCCCAAGTCCTATAGGCTAAACCCGCTGAAAACACACCGTACAAACCCCCTGCCCTTCTTTCCCCCCAAACCGAAACCGCGGATACTCAACCCTCCCATACACCACCAACCCATCCTCCTGATCCCCACGCGTAAACCACGCGACAAGCTCCTCCTCCGTCCAATTACAGCTCGTAACAACAACAAACCCTCCCTTCCGAACAAGCCGCCGCACAATCCCAGGGTACCGCTCGCACACGCGCCTGTCCCCTTCCCCGGTCTCCTCCGACAGCGAGACCGCATCAAACGTGCCCTTATCCAGCACGATATCAAACCCCGCCCCGCCGCATACGGGAACCAATCCAGCCGTGTCTTCGCGGCGTCGCGCACCTCCTCGGCGGAGAGCGCATCCGTGCCGGCGAGAATATCCCACTCCTCGAAGCGGATCTCCTCCGCCGCCCCAGCCGCGGCGGGCCCGGGTTCGTCGTCATCGTCGTCGTCGCTGTCCGGCGCGTACGCCGAATGCATCTTGCTCCGCTGCAGCTCGCGCGCCAGCTCGACGCTCCGCGCCGAGTAATCCACCCCCACCATGGGCCCCGCGAAGCCGCCGCGCGTGCGCAGCAGCGCGAGCATGCTCCCGTTCCCGGTGCCCAGGTCGAGGACGGAGGGCGCGGGCTGCGGGCGGTTGCACGGGGCGAGCGGGAAAGAGGCGTCGGTGAGGAAGCGGAGGACTTTGTCGGGGGCGTTGTGTTCGGAGAACCAGGATGTGCCCGGGTCGTCGTCGTCGTCGACTGATTCTTCGTCCGAGGGGGCGTCGCTGGGGTGGGCTTCGGGGCGGGCGGGACGCGGGTCAGAGGAGGGTTTGGAGGAGATGTGCGATAGGGTTCTGGCGTAGAAGGTTTCCCAGCTAGATCAGAGGTTGTTAGGTATGTGGATTTTGTGTTCGTTCCCAGGAGGGATCTTTGGGAGGGGTAAGTGGGGGGAGGGGGGACTGAAAGGGGAGGGTGAAAATCTTGTCGTACTAGTCTTTTGTGCCCCAGCTCGCTGGGCGAGAGATATGTTGGGTGGTTCTCTGCCATTTCAATCACCGTTTCCTATCTCTTTGCTCTGTTGTAGTCTTTCGAACTGGTGGTGAAGGATTGATGCGGCTTGACATTCCGAGCCAGGTGGAGTGGCCCGCACGGCCCAACAATCTACTCCCGTAGGTACTTGGTCTACCAGTCTACTCCGTACCAGTCTACACTGCAACTTGTACTTCAATGAATCAATTCAATATGGGTATCCGCCTCCCGCGATGCAACCACCAGATAATGTAAAGAGTGAAATAAAACAGTGGAAGCGAATGTAGCGATAAGGCAGAAAGTCTAACAACGACAACAGCGACCACCATAGTATTACAAGTTACCAGGCGTAGGTCATCGCCTTATCTTTTGAACACCGAACGCCGTGGATAACATGCAGCATGTCAACCGAGCCAGATGTCAGCTCGGTGACAGATGAGAATGAAAAAACGACAGCAAAGCCCGCTTTGGTCATCAGTTCATAAAAAGTCAAGAAGAAAGAAAGAAAGATAAGTAAAAGTGGGAAATAGCGAAAGCCCAATCAAACGACTGGTAGTCATGCAATCATTTCGGGCGAGCTGCTATCAAGCCGCCTTCTTAAACATTATGCGGGTTACAGAAACTCGTCAATATTTCTCATGATCAGACGCTCGTTTCCGGGAGGCGGGGATCTCGGGTCGGCCATCCGCGACTGGAATCCCTCCTCGGGGTCGCCAGAGACAGACCGTGGAATGGGCGCCGCCAGGAATCCCGTCGTGCGAGGCGAAAACAGTGCAGACGGTTCGGCCGGTCCGTCGCGCACGAAGACGTCTGTTTTGGCCAGCGAATAGGGGCCGTTTTCCGTGCGCCAGTGCGATTCCGACGCAGGCTGCATCGCTCGGAAGGCCGCTCCAAGCGTATGGAAACTGGATTGTCGGAGCGGTAACGGTCGAGGAGACAGGCTTCGCTTGTGAGAGAGCGGCTGGAAACCGACACTCTCGGCCGACGTCGGCGTCGTCTGGTGCGTCGAAGGAATCGACAGACTGCCGACCGACCCCTGCGAAAAACCGTTGGAGCTGTGTCCGCCGTCCGAACCGACCGGAGTGACCATTTCTCGTGGACCCATTCGGCTGGCGCGGGGGACCTGGGGTTCCGAGCATCTCCGAGGTCCTCCGACAAACCACTCCGCCGGGGGAGGCTTGGAGGGACTGCCGCGGAGGAGGCGGGACCGGAAGTCGGTGAGTTGATAGATGAGGCTCATATTGGGCCCCACCCACTGACTTCGGCCCTTGACAATTTCATACATCGAGTTGAAATCGAGATTCCGATTCTTGTAGAGGCCGTATGCAATCACCAACGAGGCAGAGCGGCTGGCACCCAGCTGGCAATGCACGAGCACCTTCTTGCCTTCCGACACACGCGAATCAATCAGTTCACACAGGGGGTACAGGTCGTCCAGGATTTCCGAGTTATGATCCCAACCAACATGAACGTATTCGGGTCTGGACTCCCCACTGGGTGTGGCGGAGGTATCGGCCTCGGGTTGATATTCAAAGGCAGATTTGAAGGATACTTCTGAAACTGCGGTGCCTGGATCCACGACCGACTGACGCTTCGACGGGGCCGATGCACTCCGCAAGGTGCTCATGACCGTTCCATTGTTGGTGTTCTGGTTGGTGAACGGGTTGGCGACCTCCTTGGCCACGTTCACCACCACATCGAATTGCGACGCTTCCTGCAGGGTCGGCTCCAAATACAGATACACGCCGGAGTCGTAGATCTGGATGGGTCCATGGGGATAGCCGCGCTCGTTCCGCCGAGTCGACTCGCGCGAATCAAGGTGGTCATCCTCTTCCTCCAGTTCATGGAGCACGCCACCGGAAACGGAGCCTTCCTCTTGGGCCGATGGCAACGGAGACAGTCCCTCGTCTGACGTACCGGACGGTCGTCGGGTGCCATGGTGGGTGACGGGTCGAGGCAACTGCATGCCGCCCTTTGGTCCGAACGACGGGGAGAAGATCGAGGTCAAGGAGGGCGAGGATTCGGTGTGTCGTAGCGACTGTCGGCCGTGCGGGGTAGGCGGGACCTCCATAATGTTGCTGGAAAAGGAGCGGTCGAAGCCGGGCGTGCGGATGGTGAGATTCGCTGGCTTGCGTCGGGAGCTCTTTGGAGGCGCATGCATCGGTGATGGGGGCGCGGAGAGGTGCTGGGACCCGGAGTCGACCGGCGCCGTCGCGATGGGAGGACGCGACGATTGCGAAGGCGGGGGCATGCGGAGGGAGAGATTCTTGAGATTACGAGCCCGGCGGCCGGGAGAATCCGGGCGCTTCAGGTTCGGCACGTCGGACGACCGCCTCGCGGCATTGTTTTGCGTGGTAGAGAGCGTCTGGCTCTCGATGTTGCGGGCGGGCGGCATGAATTTGGGGTACGATAATGGCATGGAGGAGGGGGATTCAGGCGAGGAGCTCGGCGAGGTGTCGGCGGCCGACGGGGAGTCAAAGGTGGAGATGGTGGTGGTCGGCGAGGATTCGGTGGAGGCGGAGGCCACGGACGAAACACTCTCGCGGTGTCGAAACGGCAGCGGTCGTCGCGCGGTGTTGACGGTGACATGAGGGGGCACGTTGAGGGGATGGGTGGCCACGAGATGGTCCTCCTTTTCGGGCTGGTTGGGCAATCTGCCACCGAAGACGGACATGAAGGACGGAAAGGCGTCCGGGATAGACGGATGGCTGGTCTGCACGGGCATGATGGAGAAAGCGGTAGAGATGGAGCGGCGTTTGAAAGGGGACGGTTCCCTTTCGGAGTCGCGGGTGTCGCGGTGGGCTATACAACTGTGGCATGCAGTGGACGAAAGAGAAGGACGGGAGGTATTTGCTACCAGAGCAAATGACCTTTTGGACAGCGATGGGTTAGTCTCCATGGTTTGAGAGGTCGAGTCAAGGGATTTAGACGGAGGAAACGAGGAAGCACGGCAAGCTGCAAGGAGATGAGACGGGCGGATGATCTGAACCTTACCACAAGGCCATTCATGAGGCCTGGGTTGGTCGTTCAGATGGAAGAAAGGATGGGGAAAGGAAACAAAAGAACGAAAGGGAAGAAGAAAGATGAAGAAAGAGAGGCAGGAGAAGGACGTACCAGAGAATGCCACCGAAAGGCTGATGTTCTTGGAGATATGTCAGTGATGTCAAGGACTGTGGATTGTTGTAGGAACAATAAACGCCCCTGCGTTGCTGCAGGGGAGAAGGCGACGAATAGAATGAATAAGAAGAGATGGAACAGGAATGCAAAGGAAGGAAAGGGTCTGGAAGAAGCAGACAAAAGGGCAGAGAGAATTAGGAGGCTCGAAGAAGAATGATAAAAGGTGCAGGAATTGCCGCCCGGGAGTAAGGTATTTTTGTATGGGCAGTCGTTCCGGGGGAATGACGAAAGGCGCGACCAGACCACGATAAGATATGGATGAAGAGGGAGAAGGGATAGTAAATGACTGAACGACTGCCCACGACCCGAGGAAGAAAAGGGCCAGTGGAAGAGGAGAAAAGAACCCTACCAGGAGGGGAAGAAGAGAGAGAGAGAAGGGAGGGAGAGACAAGAGAGGAAGAGAGAGAGAAAGAGAGGAGAGGAGGAGTGGGGAAGAACTGGAGATACAGAAGTAAGAAGTAGAACACAACACGGATCAACTGCTCTGCAACCAATTGTCCGAGGTGGGAATATGGGAGGGAATCTCTGCCTCCAGTCTCTTCTTCTTCACTCCAGACAACAAACACACGACCGACACCTTCTAGGAGAATAATAGCAGAAGAAGAATGATAATCGTCGGTGTTGGAGGAGTTCGTGAGCGCATCCGATTCAGAATTGGTTCAGACGGCACGACTGATTGGGTCCTGGCCGGCCGCGTTTCTGACGGCCGGCCAATGCGCGGCGGTGCCAGGGTGGGCCAAGGTGGAGCCCGCCTCCGGTCAACCAGATGTGGGAAACCAATCAGCCGCAGCCACCATCGCCTGCAGCTCTAAATTTAGCCGCCCGGGTTGGGGAGGGAGGCTGGACGCTGCATCATGGGCGCCAAAAGCACGCAAATCACAGCGCTCCTCCGCCCAACACGGCCTGCTCGTCGTATCACTCCACTCCTCCGGTTGCTGAGTTGGTGTCGGTTGGAGGGGGGGGGGGGGGGGGGGGACGATCGTCCACGCGTTTGGAATGGGTTTCAACCTGGCAAATGGGGGAGTGATGGGCGACCGAGACGGGTGGAGCCATTCTGATACAATCCAGGGCTGAAGGAGGCATAGTCGGAGGTGCATCAGGAGCCACCATCAGGAGCCCCCATCATGATCCACCGATGGTATCCTTCACATGCATACTCTCTTGTTCTGACTGACTGGGGGTCTGCCTCTCTCTCTCTCTTCTCTCTCTCTCATTCGCAGACAGTTCACTCCTTTTCAGCTCGGGGGAGGGTGGATATGGGAAGAGGGAGACCACGAACAAGCAACAAGCAACGAAAAGAAACGGATGGACAGCTCCACAACTGACGCCACGGAAGGGTAAGAATAGCAGAGACTAAGCTCCAACGGGAAAGGGAGGGGGATCGGGTCAGGAACAAAATCAAATGGACTCGCAATCCGATCCCAGAATATCGAATAATAATCAAATATTAATGGAATGCAGAGGCATCATCACCAACGTACCTGTCTCAAATGCCGTACTCCGTATATCGAATCCTTTCGAGTGGCGAGGACACACCGCCGTGGTCCAGGAAGGGCGCCTATACCAGAGTGGTACTAGGTCCAGACAGGATTTTCATTTGCTCTTGTGTCGGGGTGTAGTGCCAGGACGAATGATCGGAATCGCGATCCCAACAAAAAGAAGCCCAGAAGATTCGTCGGATTCTTCCAGAAGCGACACCACGAGGCGATCCGATCCAAATTGGACACTCCGACTGTACAGGTAGAGAGGTACCACAACGGACTTCTGAAAGTGGACGACAGGCACAATTCCAAATCGGTGCAAAGGACCCGCTTGTGGGCGCACGGAACTCGCTCTGTGCGTGAGCTGTTTGTTGTTTGCTCCGAATCACTAATAAGAAGAGGACGATCCGTCGAGATGGGAGCCACAACAAAGAAAGTCAATCGAGTCCCCAGAGAACGAAAGATCGAGGAAAAAGAGAGAACAAGAAACGAGTCAAAGCAAAAGACATCATAGAAGCGAGCAAGCGACCTTTTACAGGGTTCCGCAGGGGCCTCTTGCTGACGGCGTCTGGCAGAGGCTCTGGGAGATGAAACAACAGGCTGAACGGATGGGGCCAAGTCACGCCGTTTGACCCCTGGAAGTAGGAGTGGATGTGGACATGGACATGGACGGGTGGATGTTCATCGTTATTTATCACCGCCTATTATTTAACATACCTATTATTATATCTCAGTTGTTACGGCAAGCTATTTCCAGAGAATTGTTTCCCTTCGAACGAGATTTGTATCTGTGATTTCTCTCTGTGATTTCTCTAAACTGTTATCCTGAGGATTTCTCCGAATCTCCTTCACCTAATGCATGAAACACCAGGACTAGGTAATCAGAGCAAACATAGCTGAAACACTCTGGTGCGCGCGCTAAAAGTCCGTCGGTGGAGGAAACTAGGTCTTTCTGAAACACCCATCCCAACTGACCCTCCGACTCACGTGTAGCACTCTCCTATCATAGCCACTACATATAACGATAGAGTCCGACATCCTTGTTAATGGGATACAGAGTACTGTCTCGTCCACAGTTCGAGCATGTTTCGGAGTAGTTAGCCGACCTTCTTTTAATCAATCTGTGATTGTCCGGGAACATGTTGGGGGAGCATTGACCAGCCCCGACTCCGTACTGACATCATTGTAGTCTTTGTTAACTAGTGAATGGCTGAAGGCCTTTTATGAAGTATATACTCCGTATAACTCGCAATCTAGACAATTGGCGCAGCCTCCCATATGGATAGGAGAATAAACCGTTAACAATGTCTAATCTACTCGGCTTGGACCAATGCTGGAAATATATTCCGCGTGGAACGTACGAGGTCAACAATCGCCTGGGGCAAAAAGCTCAAGTCCCCACATATGTTTTACCTAGATCCTACGCAACCAACGTAACTATGATATCAGCCCGTGCGCCTTTAGAGACGTAGGCTGCTGCAACAGCGTAGGGTTAGATTGTGCATGGACTGGTTTTGTAAGGTCTTCTGATGTTCCCCTCTATAACAAATGTTTTGTTCGGATAGAGGGCCAAACTTGACGTACATGGCGTGGCACACCCATGGTCTAGGTCCCCCTCCTCAGCCCTAGAACAGGTACTCCGTGTGTCAAATGATGTACACAAAGATCAAACAAATACCATCATAGGCCCGTTTCAACTCTTTCACAACCCTTTGCACATGACAATGTCGTCAACCCACTATACCGGTCCCAGTGCCAAATAGACAACCCCACGGCGTGCCTCTGCCAGAAAACAACGGGTCTTATGCCAAAGACCAGACGGGAAAGTCATAGCTGTCATGTCGGACGGGATGTGCGTCGAGTTCGACAGGAAGTTCCAGCATCTGAAGAGCCGAGGAGGTCTAAGGAGCATGCCGTGTATTCAAATGCCAAAATGCCTACCGAGATATTTTGTATACTTACTGCTAGTTGTTGACATTGCCACGGTTCTGGAAGCAGGACGTAGTGATGCGTTACAAGGCAATTGATCAGGTGGTGGTACGGATTCATTCACTACTGGACTGTCAGCCTGTGTCTGAGGGTCGTCCCCTGGCCAGGTCATGTCTATATATGAAAGACCCTGTGCTAGATCTCTCACAACAGCGACTGACGAGACCTTGTTCACCGCTATGCTCAAGCATACAATGACAAGAGTCCCACACTATCTCTAACCCTTCAGACCATACTACCACAAAACACCCCCCAAGACCAAACACATCCTCAACTCATCACTATGCACACCCTTCACCTCCTATTATCCGTCCTTATAAATCCCACCTCCTCGACACCAACAACCTGCTACACCACTACCCTCCCCGAAAACGCCCTCATCCTCCCATCAGAAACCGCCCTCAAGGCCTTCACAACCAACAACCCAGACGTCACAATCCACAACCACAGCGGCGGCTACGCCATCCGACAGGGCTGGGACGGCGCGATCCTCGCGTACACCGCGGACCCGCTCAGCAAGGATCTGAACCCGCGGATGGCGTCCGCAAGACTGTTTGACCGGCTGCTGCAGGAAAAGGGCATGTCCGAGGCCCGGCTGGGGGCGTTCTTTGAGGAGGTGCGGGCCTGCTCGCATCCGCATTGCGTGCATCCCGGGGTCATTGGGAAGTGTATGCAGTATGCGGCGTGTCTTTGGTGTGGGGGGAGTCATCGGTGTATTTGACTGGGGTATTTTATAATATACGCTGGCGGGGTATTGCTAAAAGGAGGTATATCTGCATAGTTTGCAGTAGCAGTATATGCCCAGCTAATCTCTCTGCTCCTGATACGGCCACAGATTCTCAAACAGCCTCCTCTCCGCCTCGTCGCCAGCCGACTCGACAAACACCTCCCTAAACTTACGATTATTCTCGCTCGCAACCGCATAGTCCTGCGGCTCGACCATCCCATCAACAGGCAGAACCCCCTGATCCCGAAACAGCTCCAGCATACGCCTAAGGCCATCGATGTTCTCCTCCTCCCGGGAATGCAGCTCGAGCTCCTCCGCCGTAAACGCAATCGGACACGACACGTCCCCAGGAACAATCTCACCCCAGCTCCTCGCAACCCACATCAGCGACTGCCGGAGAAAGAACAGGCGCCGGTGTTCCCACGCCCCGCTCACCAGCTCTACCGGCCTGCGGATTAGAGGGATCAAGGGTTGTTGGAGCACGGCCCAGTGACGAGGAGTCCGCTTGCACACCCGAGCCTGGTAGTACTTGTGGATTGTTTCACTTTCGAGATCAGCGTCGATCTTCTCCTTCTCCTCCGCGGACAGGCTGTCAAAAGTGTCAGGCCGCTCGGGAATAGCCCAGCCCTCGCGCACGGGTCCAGTGTGTCCGAACATCCGCGGGACGTCGGACTGGTAGAAGAGCGGGGCGACGCGCGCGGCCTGCCAGTCGATGATGCTGGTGATTTGGCCGGTGAGCGGGTCGACGAAGACGTTGTCGCGGTGGAGATCGGGGTGCCAGAGGACGTTGGAGGCGGCTGCTTCGTCGGTCTGCGCGGGGATGAGATATGGTGCCACGGCGAGGTATTGATCGAGGAGGTGGAGTGCGTCGGTTGGACGCTCGTGGTCATGGCTGGATCTGTAGTGGTTTATTCGGGGGGTTGCGCATGTTTGGATCCAGTTCTTTTCGTTGTGACCCAGGGCCCATGTGTACGCACACGGAGTCCGCCCTGCAAGGTTAGTAAGTAACTGTGATTTCGCTACGTTGTACTTACAGGGCCCACGGTCCAACTCCATATCCGGTCTGGAACCAGTCCACAGGTCCGTCGACGTAAGTGGTCCTATGGCGAAGCGATGAAGGGAGGCAGGAGTATCCATCTCCGGCGTCCCTGTCCACGAGCGAAGATCCCCCTTGAAGTAGACGCACCCATGGAAAGGAAAGGTCATGCTGGCGAGCTGCCTCTCTATATCGACGATCTGCGTAATCAACCTGAGCTTCAGCTCCCACGGCAACTGGTTCCACACAGATCCTAGCCGCACACCGGTTGCTTTTTCTTCGATGATAAACTCCGCCTCGACGGGGTGAGTCGCCGCATCAGAGGACCATGTCATGATGCGCGGGACGGGCAGTCCGAGAACTTCACGCAGCTACATCCTGTTTTAGCTACGTCCGATCAAGCTCAGCGACGGCACTCGTTACCAGCGTTTGGGTTGCGACCGCAGACGCAGTCGTGCAATGGGCCGGGCCGGCGTTGGGGTTGGGAAGCTTTGCAACAACTTCCGTGCCGTTGTCCATGGTCAGGACGAAGGCTTTGTTGTGTAAGCCCTCGCGACATTTGAGGACTTTGGTGCCTTGGGTTGTTAGTATAGCTTGGACAGCGGGGAGTACTGCGTACAGTGTTGTGCGTGGGTGACATGGACAGCTGTCTCGAAGAGCTTCTGCAGGTTGAATTTTACGTAGCGTTTGGAGAGTTCAGCCTCCTCGTTGTATCTGAAGGGTTATCAGGACATGAGCTATGGATGAGATTAGGGGCCTTACAGCCACCGGTGTCTGGTATATCGATAGAGGTCGTCTTCATGGATGGGTTCATCTATATATTTGGTAGCGATGTTGGTCGTTGGAAGCTAACTAGGTACGTACCTGCGCCATGTGCGTTTTCTTTGTATAACGCGGGAGATCTTGTATATGCCGAACAGCGTATAGAGCGGAACTGTCCGTGTCGTGGGACGGAATGAGGTGGCCTGGCTCGTAAGAGCCACATGATGTGGTGGTGTCAGGGAACGATCTACGAGTGCATTGATCGGATCAGGATTTACCCACCTCCTCCCAGATACCTTGGATTACCTACCTTGGTAGAAACCCAAGTGGGTAGACAGAACCCTCGTACAACATGCAAGCTACACTATCGATTTACTCTGGCTAACAGTACCGAGCTGCAATGCATACCCCGGTTTCCCCGCACGAACGCCGCATGGACCATCCGATATACTCACTGATCGATGCAGCCTGGATACACTAGGACGACTGTTGCCCGCCTATCATCGCATAGAATCGGACAGCAGTTGGATTGAGTTGAGTCTGTGATATGGACATATCGGGTGGCAATCAGACACTAGACTGCTAGCTGCAACACGTTCATCTGAATGACATTTTATTCATCTATAACCAACATCGAATTGCTCCGGTCTTAATAATATCGCAAATGCACATAAACCAACAAATCAAACTCGCAAAGCTCAGCCGTAGGGTATCATATCGCAATGCCTGCTAAACTGTCGACGGCCGCCTGTCTCTGGCTTCATGATCAATCAAGAGACTAGCGGTCCACTTTCCGATCCACTTCGTCCGCATCTCTGTCCCCCACATGGCGCACATTCCAAAACTCGTCTCGGACCCTCTCAGGGAGCGGCTCGGTGCCTTGGTGCCCAAACCAACCCCTCCGGAGAGACCGCGTATCGCATCCGGATCGACCAACGCAAAAAGAAGGTCCCCCAAAGGTGGCGGGTGACCAGGGGTCTCACCCATCCCGAACGAGGCCAATAAAACGACAACCAATCGGTCTATGATCCCAGTAGCCCCGCGTCCTAACTTTGATGAAACATAAGATTCCTTCCGTAGCCGAAACACCCTGCGATGGACTCAAGAAATTCGCCGCCCACGTATGAACCAGTTGAAAAAAAGAAAAGACACCAGGCAAATATGGCAATGCGACCGGGTCCATGCGTCAAGCATCTGCGTCGCTCACCAATGCATCCCAGCCGGCCAGGTAGAAGGAAAAGGAAAACACGACCCCCCGATGGCCCCGTAGCCGAGGGCCCGTGGCCAAGTAGGACAGACACTCTAAAATCAAAACATCCGACCGATTGCCTCACATGATGGTGCAGCGCAGACCACTGCGATGGCGGGAGCGATCGGTTCGGAACGACTTGGGGTATTCGGGCCCGGCGTCGCGGTCGCGCATGGGACCGAGCCCGGTCGGGCGGCGATCCTGGGATCGGCCTCCTTGCTGTTGTTGGCGCTGCTGGCGGAGCATGCGCACGACATCATAAAAGGCCTTCTCCACGTTGATACAGTTCTTGGCCGATGCTTCGACAAACTCGCAGCCGAGATCCTTGGCGAGGGCCTGGCCCTCTTGGGCAGACACGGCGCGCTCAACGGCCTTGTCGCTCTTGTTGCCGACCAGCATGACGGGCACGGGCAGCGGGGGGCCGGCGGGGGCATGGATGGGAGAGCCGAGGTAGCTGGCGCCGGAGGGGGAGCCCGAGTTGGCGGATTCCTTGACCATCTTGATCTGGTTGTAGAATTTCTGGATGCGCGTGAAGGAGGGGCGCGAGGTGATGCTGTAGACGAGCACAAAGCCCTCGCCATCGCGGATCCACTGGTCTCGCAGGGCGGTGTACTCTTCCTGGCCGGCGGTGTCGAGCACCTCCAACATGCAGGACTGCTGATCGATGACGACCTGTTTGCGGTACGAGTCTTCGATGGTGGGATCGTAGGTTTCGACAAAGTGGTTGAGACAGAGCTGGACGTGGAGGTAACGATCAGTCACCAGGCGTCAGACGGGTGGAGAGGGAGAGGAGGGCTCACCTGGATCGTGAGGGCGGTCTTTCCGACACCACCGTCTCCCAGCACGACCAGCTTGTACAACGTCATTTTGCCCGACATGGTGAGGGAGAATGCGCCGAGGCGAGCTTATGGATTGGAGAAGGAAGATTGAGGAGGGGGATTGAGGGGGAGATAAGGTGGGAGGAAAAGAGAGAGAGAGAGAGAGAGAGAGAGAGAAGAAGAAGAAGAGGGTTTAGGGAGGGGAATCGGAGGAGAGGAGGGGGGAAAAAAAATTCGAGGAAATTCGGAACGAGGTGAAAGAAAGAAAGTAAGTAAGGAAGGGAAGAAAGAAAGAAACAAGACGAAGTGGATGGAGGATGGGATGGATGGTGGATGGACGAAGAGGGATGCTCCAGGTTGAGCACGGACGCGGAGGGTTAATTATTGTGGTGATTATTATTATTATTATTTTCCTATTATTCTTTGGGTGAAGTGCGCGATTAGCCACCGGCAGAATGAAGGTTGAGCACATGCGGGCCCCGGCACGGACGAGAGGGGGGGAAAAAGGAACACCAGGTCCAGCCGAGCGGGAGCCACGTACCTTGTGCAATTGAGATGGACAGAGAGAGGATGAAGAAAGAAGAAAGAGGAAAATTAGAGACTCAAGAGAGTCAAGGAGAAATAGGTAGTGAGGAAAAGACGAAACCAAACGGACTCGAGCAATGACGGATACGCGACCAGTGGGCGGAGTCCGATAAATGAGGATGTCCGGTCTCCGATTCTCCAGTCTGCCACCGACAACGATCAAGGGTATTTGATCCGTAGGTAGAGAGTAGAAGGGGTCGAATAAAGAAGAGGAAGTAGAGTAGAATAGAGCAGGAATGCAACCGTCTTGTCGACTCGGTCTAGGTACTCTGTCAGGATCGGTTAAAGACCAGGTAGGCAAGGCTCCTTGAATACCACTCAAGAGGTACCATGTACTCCGTAGATATTCTAGAAGTCTTGGATTCAGGAGTCGATGGAAATATATTATCATCCAAAACACCACACGGTGAAGAAGTCTCCAGAACGATGACCCCTGTCGGACACCAACCGCTCTTTAGTCTCGGTTAGTGTTGTTGGTCGAAAGGGAAGGTAAACGAGAAGAACGTGGTGGATACAGGAGATACCCGTGACTACTAGGTACCTTAGTAGGAACCTTGTATTGTTCTAGAGGTACCTACGAGTGCGCACGTACCGAAGTATTCAGTACTTCCACCATCCTGGTAGTTTACTCTACCTTCTGGGTATCTCGATACCTAAGAGTATTAAGGCACCTAAGTACAGTACATACCTACCTAACTGGAGACTCGCGTAACCCCACTCACCAAATCCTGCTCGTTCCCATGGATGCTCCCCTTCACCAAAGTCTATCTCGGCCCACTGCACGCCATCCCAACGCACTGGAACTCAAGTCGTGCGGATGGTTTCGGGTAGACATGACAGGCCAGGAATATACCTCCGTTGGTGGCGGTGTTTAGAGTCGAGTACCTGGAGACTTCCTACACCTTAGGTCCTCTGTATATCCGGAGAACATAATCTCCGGCTCCCCACCAGACTGTCACCCTGCAGCAACATCCCTTACGCCCCCCACCGTCATGTCCACCCGGAATCATCATCGAACCTTCCGCGCCCCTGGTCGGGTCGTAGCCAAACCCATCATCCTGATTCTCGGGATATCTAGCGTTTCACTATCTTCCAGAGAGAAGATCATCATCCGTTCGGGCACTATACTATTGTCGCATTGTCACTATCAGGTAGTGTAGAATAGCAGTCCCGTGACCGACGAGGACTGCGAGGGGATCCTGCAACCCCCTATTGTTGCATCCCCTTCTCCAATAAGGAGCCATCGAGTACTCAGGGTACACCTGGTCGGTCGCATTATTAATCCAAAGGAATGAACTCCATGGCCTGATCCCTGCCTAGACCGTCATCCCCTGCTGGCCGGCGGCCATATTCCGTCCTGACCGACGAACAGATGCCGGCCCGGTCCATGGCGGATGGGTTCCACGAGCTAACAAGGATCCAGGGGATGTTACCGAGTAGGATTCTTCCAATCGAACTACCGAGCACCTCATACGGGTGGTGGAGAGGTGAGGGAATTATAGTTCCGGAATTTTTGTCGTCCTTCTGCACCGTACTCATACGGTATACCCTATGGTGACTGACTACTTACGGAGTAGATACTACCTAACCCTATGCATCTAACGTTTTCCACAATCGAGCCGCGCCTACAACCGAGCCGCGCCCTTTCCACCAAAACTCCTATTTCCTAAGGCTTTTCAACCACCAACGCCATTAAATCTAACTAACTAAATACATGAAATTATAGCCATCTACTAGGGCAATTTCGAATTGTATGTCCGATTGTTCCACACCCACTACAGCGCTGCGGAGCTCGTCGACGAGGCGCTAGAGTAGATTCCGCAGGCTGCTCATTAAGCTGCGTATCAAGCTGCTGAACGCGATTTTCACCTTCCTGCACATTAAGAAGGCGGTCATTACCTATCTCAGCACGTCTTCTTGCTTTTTTTTGACGTTGTCGTCCATTTTCAGCGCGTATAGCCCATAATTTCTTGCTGCAAAAGAAGGGTAGTTTGCATCGCCATCTGCGCTGCTTTCTCCAGATGTTGAATATGCGCAATAGGACTGCTAGAAAGCTGCCGCTTTCTATTAAGGCTATTCTGCAGGCTTCGAACCTTTCGATTCAGCTGGCGAGTATTCTGCGGAGTCTGAAAAGCAGAGGAAACTGAGCCTTCAACTAGTGGTGGTGTAGGCGTACGCAGTTGAAAGGTAAGCTTGGAAAGAACATGCTCTGGATCAAGCGGCTTAAGCCCTGCTCCTCTAAAGCCGCTGCAGATATTGGCCGAAGTAAAGATTTGCTTGTGGGCGTCCGGATATAGCGATAGGAAGTCTTCTTTATTAATATGGTTGTTGCCAGCAGCCATAAGGTCTTCAAGGAGCTTTCCGTACGCCTCTTTAAGCGGGCCAAAAACGCCCACATCAAGCGGTTGAAGAAGATGTGAAGTATGGGCAGGCATGCAGAGACATATTATTGCATTCTGCTTGCAGAAATCATCGAATTCAGCAGTTAAATGACTACTATGGCCGTCAAGAATAAGCAAGCGCTTTGCACCAGTCATATAGCGCTTAGAAAGCGGTTCAAAGACATTTTTCAGCCAGAGAAGGCCTATTTCATCAGTCGTCCAGCCATTCTGACTAGTAGAAATCCACCAGTCGCGAGGCAGCTTAGGTTCTTGGAACCAGGCAGCCTGTTGAACGCTTGCCTTTAATATAATGACTGGCGGTAGATATACGCCTCTTGACCCGATTGTTTCGATGATTGTAACCCATTCACGATTGCCCTGAATAACTCTGCGCGGTCGCTCGCTTCGCTCTACTGCAGTAATCACTTTTGAAGTAGAGCAGACTCCCATTGCAAAGCCAGTTTCGTCGAAATTCCAGATATCGTCTTCATGTATGCCGTGTTCTTGAATAGTCGCTCGTACGGTCTCAAACCACGGGCCTATAACCTTTGGATCTTCCTGCTTTGCGCGCTGATAGGTAATACGCCTTGTATATCGCGTACGGAGCTGAGGATGGCGTTTAACAAAGTTATAAGGCCAGTTTAGTTCCGATAGCTGCGGTAGGGTCTTGTAAACGACTGCGAAGTAAAACCTGGGCCATTCCACGTAGATATTCGGGTCGAATTGGAAATCCTCGCGTATCTGCATCTAATAATCGCTTTAGAAGTAATTCCTCTTCGAATTCGGTCAGTTTATGACCATTGGCGCGTGTTTCCGACCGTGATTTAGCACCATGAAGCCGGTCGCGTACAGTGCTTTCGGGGACAGCAAAAAGGGCCACAGCGCGTTTAATTGATTTAACCTGGCCTTTCTGATAAGCTGAAATAGCCATCTGAATGCGCGATTCTTTAGAAAGATGCATATTAAATTGTGGTGATGAGAAAAGACGCGTTGAATTTAGGAAGTAGGAGTTTTGGTGGAAAGGGCGCGGCTCGGTTGTAGGCGCGGCTCGATTGTGGAAAACGTTACCTGGTACGTACTGTAGGGAGATGCTGATATCCACTCAATATCGCGCCCCATCGTCTTCCACGTGGATGGCCAGACTACTCCAAACTAGTCCCGGAACTACTGCGGCCCGAGGCCCAGTATCGATGCAGCTTCACTTCCATCCGCTCCTAATAATTAAACTGACTCGCTGCTCGACCATCGCAATATAACTGCACGCTTGACTCAGACGCGTCAAGGCGACGCCGTTCTCTAATTTGTCTAATTGATATGGAGAAACCATTCTATTTATATTGACCGAAGCGTCTCCGGAATGTTCCACGCCAACCACCACCACCACCACCACCGCCATCTGATATCGAGCACGAGTATCCTGCACGACATGCATGCATATCTGATGCATAGACCCCGGAACACGCGAGAACTCAATTCCGTGACGCACGCTTCTTCTCGCTCACCCCGTCCAAGCTCACACCGCATCCGTCGTCCTGATCGCAAGATGAAACCAAGACATCGACCACTAGGTCCTTGCCTAGCACCTCGAACTAGTAGTCGGATGGTTCAGGGGAGTCCCACTACCTTGGGCCGCTAGACCGTCTTAGCTCCTTCGGCCGAATCAGTCCTCGTCGGTGGTCCCGCAGCACGTTCAAGATGTCCGTACGTCGGCGTCGCAGCCGATTGACAGCTTTCCCCAGCCGATCGCTGCTCCATCGGGCAAAAGAACGGCCTCCATACCAGGCAAAGCTCCAATACCACCGTCATTATGACATGGCTATTGCCTCCGTCATGCACTGAGACATGAGCCGCGAGGATCATGATCCCGGCTGATCCCCGGCCGTTACTCGATTAAGTGATATCCTCGACTAGCTGGCGTCTGGACTGGACCCAGCAAATCCCGCGCCGTTAGACCGTTTCTTTCTTCTCCCGTGTCGGGGTTCTGCGATGGGAGTCTGCTAGCTGGCTACCTGACTAGCTGGCTACCCCTGATTGGCGGCTTTTGCTTCCGATTCTAGTCTGAGGTAGTTGAGTAAGTGAGTGGACAATGTGCTTGTTCATTCGGAGAACTTGTTTTCCAGCTCTGGAGTGTATCGTGGACATATACGGAATACATTCTTGAGATTGAAAATGAAGCAATATAGTCGACGGCTGTACACCAAAGACCCGACTACAAGCTCCTGTGGAACTCGATCTCCACAATCTTTCATACGTCCCACGCGCATAAGCCCTACTCACAGATCCGGAGGCAGAATGTCCGGCACCGGTCCCGCCGGAACGACCGTCTGCGAACCGCCCATGCGTTTGCCCAACGCCTTCAGGTAGTTATATTTATACTGCCAAGGTCAGCCCTATCCGCATTGACAGCCACATCACTCACAATCCAAAAGAAGGTCGTGTTTTTGAACGCACCGCCGCGCGTGCGCTCCGACTCGTCATAGTACAACCGTCGGTACCAGCTATCGATGCGCGGGTAGTCGTGGCGGATCATCTTGAGGTTACACCGGAAGATCAGATAATACGCCACGTCGAACCGACAGATGGTCGTGTACAGACGCACATCCGCCTCGGTGATGTGCTCGCCAAACAGGTACGGCTGGTGGCCCGGCTGGGCGAGGTGGTCTTCGACGCGGTCGAGCGCCTCAAACAGCGGGTACACGTTGGCGTCGTAGGCCTCCTGGGTGGTCGCGAAGCCGGTCTTGTACACGCCGTTGTTGATCTTGTCGTAGACCCATTCGTTCATGGCGTCGATCTCGCCGCGCAGATGCGCCGGGTACAGCCCGCCAGCGGGATGGTGCGACTCGCGGCAGGCCGGCGGCAGCAGCGCGTCAAACGCCGTGTAGAACATGCGGATGATTTCGCTGCTCTCGTTGCTGACGATCGTCTCCCGTTTCTTGTCCCACAGCACGGGGATCGTGTACCGTCCTGTGTAGTTTGGATCGGCCTTGAAGTACAGCTCGCGCAGGAGGCCAAAGCCGTACAGCGGGTCGCGCTCCGCTGATCCCCAGCGCCCGCTGAAGAACCACCCATCCGGCCCCAGCTCCGGGTCCAGCACCACCAGCTGGATGATGTCGTCGAGCCCTTTGAGCGTGCGCACGATGTTCGTCCGGTGCGCCCAGGGACATCCGTACGCCAGGTACAGCACGTACCGGTCCCGTTCGGCGGGGAACTCGGCGTCGGCGTCTGGGGAGACGAACGACCGGAAGACCGAGTCTTTGCGGCGGAAGTGGCCGTCTGCGTCAGCGTGGCGGTAGATTTGGTCCTAATCAGTTAGATGGGTTGTTGGGAGATGATGAGATCATACCTGGTCTGTCATTTTACAAGCCTGGTAGTTGCTGGTGATAGTAGTTTATGAGGTCTGCAGTAAGTAGTACTCCGGAGGAGGTAGTTAGTTAGTTGATGAGCTGACAAATCGGTCAATGTTGCAATTACTTTATCCGCTGCGTCATCGTCTTCTTACAAGGATGCATAAACTTGCGTTGCTTCACAACACCCGGTGTACTCCGAGTAACTATATCATACTCATGCCTCATGTACATCATAGATATCATCTACACCATATACACAACTACGTAGAAAGAATCCCAAACCGCCTCGCCACCTCCCCCAAACCCCCCTCCTCCACACCCACCCACATATCCACAAACCCCTCCGCGCGGGCCGCCTCCTCATCCCCATTCTCCTCCAGCGGCCGCGCAACATAGATAGTCTGGAGGCCGCACGCCTTGGCCGCCTTCAGATCATGCAGATGCGCCGCAACCATCGCACACTGCCCGGGTTCTACACCGAACCTTGCCGCGGCGCCGCGATACACCGCCGGCGCCGGCTTATACGCGCCGAAATGCTCGGCGCTGACGATCTCCACGAACGGCAGAGCACCGTACGCCGCCAGATCGCGCAGCAAGTCGACATTCCCGTTCGACAGCGTCGCGGTGCGGAACCGGCTGTTGAGATCGTGCAGCCCGCGCGCGGAATCGGCCCACGGCTCCAGCCGGTGCCAGCAGGTTGCGAGATCGCGGCGCTGCGCGTCGGACAGGGTGGCGGCGAGGTCGGGGAAGCGGCGGGCGAGGATGGCGGTTAGGGAGGTGTAGTGGTGCTCGTCGACGGAGACGAAGGGCTGCGTGGTTGGGTCGAAGGTCCGCGTGAAGTGGGAGTAGGATTTACGCCATTCTTCGGCGAGGGAGAGGTAGTCTATATCGGCGGGCGTGGAGGGGTTGGTGGAGAGGGCGCTGCGGAGGGCGTTGGTTACGCTGGTGCGCCATTCGACGACGGTGCCGAAGACGTCGAAGAGGAGGACCTGGGGTGGGTTTGTTAGGGACATGTTGCGTACGGAGTAGATGGGTGTGGGTGTGTCTGTTGTTTGTTGGTGCATGGGATACTTATCGTCCACATGGAGAGAGAGGATAACCTCGGTCATCGGTAGATGCGTCATGGTGCCTGATTAGTCAGGACTGCTTGTACATGGATGACCTCCGGAGTATATACAGAGGAGGAAGTGATTATTGATGCGACCTGCAAGGACCAGCAATTATTAACAATAATCGTCAATATCGATCCCGTCCAACCGATCTGGGTGTGCTCCGACTCCTTATCCTCGATGGATGGACGGATGTGATAGGAGACAAGAGTCCGCCATAAAGACTGCACAACTCATCACCCTCCGTCGCCTCAGATTGATAGCTCTCGTCCAATGGACCCTCCAACGAGGCAACTAGCCGGGATGACAGCTGCAGCCCGATGATCCTCAACGGCGAATCCGTGTCTGCGACCGGCCATTTGCTCTGTGCGCTGCATCTGCGAGTGCACTAGTGCGCGCGATCCAGTGGGTTCCGGCCGCGACGTTGCGCTGGGTCACTACGTACTGTCAACGGTCGAACCGAATCCAGGATCGCCTCGAGAAACGGAATGACGCGACGGGATGTCTGTCTCGACCATGGAACTCCCAATATTGAGACTCGCCTTCATCTCCGTTAATATCGGGACCGGGTGACCTGTCAGGTTGTGCCCCTGAAGCGAGCCACTAAGACACGGTGGGGTCGACTAGACGGGGCCATGCGAAGTCTATCGGCGACGTCGAGTCGTGTCGAGTGTCTACTCCGTAACTAGTCTGGTCTGGTGCTCACGTTCCATCCAGTGTCTCGGGGGCCGTTGTGGACTGGTGGCGATAGTTATTCCGTCTACAGCACCCGTACAAAGTACGTGAGCGCCTATAAAGACCCTACTAAGACCCTGCGATGGGCGAATATGAGCCAATGGACTCCTTGGTGCGTTGGGATCTAGACCAGACGATGATTGCTAAGGACGGTTCCGAGCAAATCCCGGTGGTGTTTGCAGGGACAATCCTCGTATCTACATGCCACTCCGTGTCTACCTCTCTTTATGCAGGCCAGCATCTGAAACAATGGACGAAATTGAATTATGCTTATTCGCTTGCCGGCGTGACGAGTGCGCGTGGTGCAGCAGCACAGCAGCACAGCAGCACAGCAGCACAGCAGCACACAGCACCGCACCGCAGCAACAGGGTACTAGATACCTAGGAATCCGTGGTAATTTCCGGCCGGGGAGCCTACCAAGTTGAGTTGAACGACGGCCCGCGCGTCAAAAGGCTGAACAGGTGGAAGTGGACGTGGAAGTGGAGCTGGACCAGGGACCAGGACCAGGACCGGGGATTAGGTACCAGGGGATGAGGCGGGAAGTTTTTTTTTGTTTGTGATGGAGTGAGAGTATACTGGTAAGTATACTATGACTTTGGATCATATGATGGTACCCCGTAGAATATCCTGTAGAACAAATATAGAATACTACACTCATCAATTGTATCATGATAATAGATAATATCGAGATTATAGCAAAATCCTCCCAAAATACATGACGATCCCCCTTTTCACTGGCCAGCCATCCTCTCTATTCCCCCTTTCTCATCTGAATATTATTGGCGTGGCAGCTCTGGTGGACCCTCGCCTACTAATCGGGTGTCGCGATGACTTCCCCATCGCCCACTCTTCCCCCTAACTAACACACTAACTCACTAACGAACACCTCCCCCCCCTGGAGATGCTAAACTAATCATGCTCGAGGTGCTTAGCCTGGGCTGCCATCGAGTGGCTCTCCCTGCGCCGTCGCCATGCTCGGACGCGTTCTTGCGATTCCCCATTCGATTCGACTTAGTTTCGACCTGGATCGGCGCTGATCTCACGGGGCCGACAAACACTCGACATCCAGTCTCTCGTCTCTCTTCCACTGCTTCTGTTTGACCCTGATCGAAGACAGCCGCCGTTCTTTCTGGTTGCATAACACGATCTTCGTCTTGCGTCTTGCAATTCCCCCCGCTTCCCATCCATTCATCCTCGCTGAACCCCCTCACTGCATGACTTGCAAGGGACCTCGTCTGGCGATTGGGGGTTGATTCCGGACTGGTCTGTTGGGGTGACCGCGTAGAGCTTTCGTTCGGTCTGTCTTCACCTTTCTTTTCTTCCTTTGGAGACAAATCTGACAACCCAGAACAGATCTCGCTGCTGGTCAGCGCTCCTCAGCGGTCATACAATTCTATGCATCGTCAATGATAACTATAACTCTCGGAGCGATTCGACTGATGCCCTCCCGTCAATGAACATGGCTACGGATTCTGCGCTGCAAACTCCGCCGCCGTCCCAGGCCTTTCCCACCCCGTCTACCACCCCCCAACGGGCCTCCATTCACTCCCGAGGAGACTCCTCCCCAGGCCCTATGACCTCTCCCACCTCTCCCACCTCTCTCCCAACCCAACCCTTCTCCCCCGATGGGCGCAGCGACTACGACGACGTCATCGAGGAGGACACCATCTCCCCGCTGGACCCGCGCCGCTTCACGCCCACCCTTCACGCCTCGCTCGTCTCGGAGATCTTGTCTCTGCGCCGGGATGTTGAGAACAAAGCCAAGGCGATCGACGTGCTCGAGCGCAGTCTGGACGACTCGCGCCACGAGAATGAAGACCTCACCGAGCGTCTGTCCAAGTCCTCCCGCGAGACCCGCTCGCTCAAGCACCAGCTTCAGCTGCTCGAGGGCGGCTCCTCGTCCGCTCTTACCGAGCTCGCCAAAGAGCGCGATGACGCCCTGGAGAACATCGCCGAGGTGCGCCGTAAGCTCGACCAGGCGCAGAAGCGCGCCCGCAGCCGCGACGAGGAGGTCGACCGCACCCTGCAGCTCTGGGATCGTGAAAAGCAGACCTGGGAGGCCGAGCGGCGCGGTTTGGAACGCAAGGTGCATGTTGTCGAGGGGCGGTTGAAGATCGTGCTGGAGGAAGTCGCCGCGGCGCAGGCGGCCGGCTCGTTCCATCCGCCGACGCGTGATGCGCCTGAACCGCCCCATGAAAGCATCCCGGGTAAGGATAGCGATACCTTGAGTCTGCGGTCGAGCAGTCAGGAGCGGCGTCGGACGAGCGTGACGAGCGTTAGTTCTGATGAAGGCGATTGCCATAATATCCGCTACTCGGTGGCGAGTGTCGCCAATATGCCGGGGATGAAGAATGATGGGCTGAACCTGGCGCAGGAGCTGGCGTTTGACGAAGAGGATGAGTTTGATTTGCCGGAGGAGCATGATCTGACGCCCGATTCGCCCGAGGCGCTGCCAGAGGAACGTCCGGCCTCCGTCAACTCCCACACGTCCTATAATATGGGCGAGAAGGCACGAAAGATCCTGGGTCTGTCGCTCCAAGGCGGCGTGGATCACTTAGGGCTTCGCACAGACGGCAGCGTAGAGGCCACCAGCCCCTTGAAGCCCGCGATTACTTTCGTGTATCGCGATGCGGGCATTCAGTATTCTCCGCCGCCGTCTCCTACAGTCGAGGATAAGGCGGAAGACTTGCACCCCAAGGAAACTACAACAGATATGGTGTCCACGTCTTGCCAGACCGTGGGCGAGCTGCCAACGCCGCCATGGACGCCCAATATCGGCGAAGCGTCGCCGCCCAGGGACCTGCAACAGACATATATGGTGTGCGCATCTGTCCAGACGGAACAGCCTCCTGCTAGTGAAGACGCTACGAAGGAGCCCTCCCCAGACCGGAGCCCCGATCTCGACGTCCCCATGATCACCATTCACCCCCCATGCTCGGAGCCGTCCTCGCCGAGAGGCAGCGTGGTGCTGCCGCCGCAGACGAAGAATGCTTCCTGTCAAGCGAACTTCGGCCCCATGGTCCCGAGTCGGACGATCGGCATCCAGACGGAGGAGATTCGCATCGATAAGCGGCCGGTCAAGCTCCCCGCGAGCCTCCTGCCATCCGCGATTCAGGATCTCCCCTTGAAAAGTAGCCAGGATGTCCCCGTACAGCCGTATCGTCCACCCCCTCCGCGGACAGCGAAAGGCGATATCGCCGCGCCACCCATCCCAGCAAAGGCGCCAGGACGGAATAAGTCGGTGAGTCAAGTGCAGCAGGCGTATCCAGGGAATAACGACAACGGGCCTCTATCGAACGAGTCCAGGTCGGACATGAGACGGCCCATGCGAAGTAGCAGTCTCTTCGCGGGATTCGATCAGGGCAGTGACGATGAATCGCCCAAGGCGGCCAGGGATATCTTCACCGACGACGAGCTTCTCAATCGCCCGTTTGCCGCCTATAAGATCCGGAGAGGTAAACTGGTCTCCGCGCAGGAACGCACGAGCTTTGACGATCTTGCCGTAGCGGAAGTCGATGAGCATCTGCTCGATCCGGAGTCGCAGATCTACGAACCAACCCCTGCACACGAGAAGGACCAGGCTGGTCCGTCCCACGCCGGCCAACGTTCCGGCGTGCGCCAGCAGGACATCCGAAGGGCGGCCATGATCTCCAACGGTGCCGCCGCCCACCAAAAAATACGGACCCGGAGCCCGAGTGAGCCCAGTCTCGATGATAGCATGAGCGGCGCATCGAGTGTCGCTCCGCCCTTCCCTGTCCCCATCCGGCTCAGCTCCCGGAAGTTCCCTCACTCAGGAAGCGATGGTCGTCAGAGTCCGACTCCGTCGTTCCCGCGAAACTTCTCTGACCGAGGCGGCCACTCGATCGTCCGCCGGCCTACGCTGCGTCGCGTCCGCTCCGCTGCTGCAATGTCTCAAACTGAGACTGAGAGGCCGCCCAGCAGAGCGTCCCCCATGTCGACGTCTTCCTACAACACGGAAAGCCCTCGGCAGCGGCCACCTCTCCCGTTCGACGACGTGACCATGCCACTAGACCGACGGTTCAATGGACGTCCCACCCATCGACGGGTACCCTCACGGGCTCCCTCCAGCGGGTTTATGCACGAGCGAGAAGATTCGACGGCCACGTCTGTGCAGCCGACGAGCGTGGTGGACGCGATTGCGCAGACGATGGTGGGCGAGTGGATGTTCAAATACGTCCGACGACGGTCGTTCGGCGTCGGCGAGTCCAAGGACGCCTGGGAGAACAAGCACCCCGAGGAAGTGTCGGCCAACATCACGAACAGCGGCGTCCGCCACAAACGATGGGTGTGGCTGGCCCCGTACGAGCGCGCCGTCATGTGGAGCAGCAAGCAGCCGACCAGTGGGCCAGCGCTGCTTGGCAAAAGTGGCCGAAAGTGTATGTTCGTCGTCCCCTGATCCTATATCAAACCACTGACCGCAGCAGTAACCATCCAATCCGTCCTCGACGTCAAAGACGACAACCCCCTGCCCAAGGGCGCCAACCAGGCCGCCCCCTTCAACCGCTCCATCCTCATCCTCACGCCCAAACGCGCGCTGAAGTTCACCGCCACCAGCGTCGAACGGCACTACGTCTGGCTGACGGCGCTCTCCTTCCTCAGCCACTCGGGCATCCACGACCTCGACGCGCTGCCACCCGTCCCGCAAGAGGAATACACCTCCCCGGCGGCCCCCACCGCGGCCCTCCGCCGCAACCCCATCCGCGATTCGATCCGCATCGCAAAGGGTCGCCCACGACCCACCCCGAAGGGCAAACGAGCCCTCAACCACCCGGAGCCGGTGCCGGAAATCGACCCGGCGATGCTGGACGCCGCCGACCCGCCGACCGTCCCGCGCTTCTCCAACCACAGCCGCAAACGCAGCAACACGGCGCCGCGCATCCCCATCCCGACCATCCGCAGCTTCTCCAGCCAGGGCACGATGCCGTCGGTCGCGTCGACGCGGGCGTCGTCCGATACCCACGGGGCGGCGCTGCCACCGTCGGTGCCGGGCCCGGGGCAGTCGCACATGGCTGGCGGCGGCGCAGGCCCGGGGACTATGACCAGCGGCCGCAGCAGCGGCAGCCGGCGCACGTCGGAGACGAGCGTGCGCACGGGCAATTTCTTCGAGGCCATCGGCACGGTGCGCATGGAGGCGTTTATCGACCAGACCGAGTCGAACCGGCATCGCGTGGCGGCGGGCGGTCGCCGGCACATCCGCAAGCCGTCCAGCCCGTGGAGTCTGCGACAGGCGGGGCTTCATGAGGTGGATTTGCTGTACGAGGAGGAAATGCCGGATCCGTTCCGCGGGTTTTGATCTAGTTTTTGCTTGAGCGTGTCGATCTATACCCAGATACCAGTCTGTTAGCGAGTAAGCGTATTGTATAATAGGTAATCTACATGAGGATGTTGATAGAAGGTGTATGCTCTATTCTGACTCGGCCCTCTGCCCCCTAGGTACTCTATCACAACCCGACCGAGCGAAAGCTCAACATAAGAATAGATATGACATGATAAGGTATAGTAGGATAAAAAAATCAAAGCTTCGCCGCATCCTTCACCTCCCCAATCTTAAGCTTAGGCGAGTACTTTTTCAGCACGCCATCATTGTGGTACTGCAGCCGCCCACGTTAGCATCTCGTCTCATGCCATCTCGCCACACAAACTGTCCAGATCGAGACGAAGGAAAAAGAAGGGAAAATACCTTCCAAAACTGCTTGGTGGCATCCTTGCCAGCCACGCGCTTCAGGATCTTCGCGCCGCCCGGGTGCTCGTCGACGAAGTTGGTCACGTCGTAGACGTTGTTGTCGATGATGATGTAGAGGCCCTTGTCTGGGGAGTTGTGGGCGGCGACGTCGGCGGGGGTGAAGGATTGGGACATTTTGACTTTTCTTTCTCTTTTGTGGTTTTAGAGGTCGTTGTAGTGGGTGTAGTTGAAGAGTAGAGGTAGAGAAGAGGTGAGGGGAGGGATATAATGCATGTCATGCCGTCAGTTAATCTGGGGAACAACCGAGGTTATCCGTGCCGGAGCCGCGGTCAGAATTGAAATCGGACGGGTGTGATTGGTTACATACTACATAGGTACTACATTGTAGGGATCCTCTAGCTACAGTATAGTCTAGATTTAAGAATGATAGGTATGATGCTATGAAGGCTATTTTACAGTCAAACTAGTCACGGCTCTTTTGTCCGGCAGCGCCCTCCCCCTTCATTTTCCGCTCCAGCCCCAGCGTCTCCAGATCCTTCTTCTTGTAGTAATGCGGCGCCACCTCGATCAGCCACTCGGCCTGCAGCGGCATGTTGCTCCGCATGTATTCCTTACTAGTCAGCACCAGCTCGAAGTAGATGACCCAGCGCGGGTTGACCTCGAACAGCGTGCTGGAGGGGTGCAGGTACACGGTCTGGCCGGTCTTGACGGTGCGGTAGCTGTCGCCGCCGCGCTGGAGACGCGCCGCGTTGGGGAAGAAGCCGGCGGTGATGGCCTTCTGGATGGGGACGAGGTTGGAGGCGCCGCACGTGCTGACGGCGACCTCGACGCGGTCGCACAGGCGGGCGAGCTGGTCGCGCACGTCGCGGGCGCGCGTCAGACTGCGCTGCTGCAGGAAGTTCTCTTTCGCCCAGACGTAGCTAAAGTCCGAGTCGACCCACTGGTTCCAGATGTTCAGCAGCGTCAGGTGGTCGCCGCCGTCCTTGACGGTGAAGCGGTTGCGCGCGCTGTCGGCGTGGATCTTCTTGTCCTTGGGCCGGAAGAACAGCGCGCTGGCCTCGCCCAGCATCGACACGATCGACAGCACCTCCTCCACGCACCCGTACCGGTCCGCCGCCAGGATCGCCTTGGCCAGCATCGGGTCCGTCGGGAACTCGGCCATCTGCCGCCCGATCTTGGTCAGCTCGCCGCGGTCGTTGAGCGCCCCCAGCGCGTAGAGCTGTTCTAGCGCGCGGATGATCGTTTCCGCCGGCGGCGGGTCCATAAAGTCGAACTCGAGGAGCTGGTCGATGCCGAGCGATTTGAGCATGAGGATCACGCTGCTCAGGTTGGTGCGCTGGATCTCGGGCGTTGTGCTCTCCTCCAGCTCGTTGTAGTACGCCCATTTCGTGTACAGTCGGAAGCACTTGCCTGGCCCGACACGCCCGGCGCGTCCGGCGCGCTGGTTCGCCGACGCCCGCGAGCACGGCGTCACCACCAGGCTCTCCATGCCCGTGCGCGGGTTGAAGACGTTCTCCTTGACAAAGCCCGGGTCGATCACGTAGACGATGCCGTCGATCGTCAGACTGGTCTCGGCGATGTTCGTTGCCAGCACGACTTTGCGCGCCTTGGGCGGCGTCGGCTCGAAGATCTTGGTCTGGAGCTCGGACGGCAGATTCGCGTAGATAGGACAGATGATCATCTCGGGGATTTTACTCCCCAGTTTCCGCGCCGTCTCTTGTAAGCTCTGCTCGGCGGCCTCGATCTCCTCCTGACCGGTCAGGAACACGAGGATGTCGCCCTGCCCCTGCGTAATGTGGATCTGGAAGACGGTGGTGATGGCTGCGGCGAGGTAGTTGGCCTCCGGCTGCGAGGTGTAGTGAATGTCCACCGGGTATCGTCGGCCGGGGATGTTGAAGATGGGGGCATCGTCGAAATACTTTTGGAACTTCTGCGCGTCCATGGTCGCCGACGAGATCAGCAGCTTCAGGTCGGGACGCGCCTTGGCAATATCCTTCAGCAGACCGCAGGCGATGTCTGTAGGCACCGTCCGTTCGTGGGCCTCATCGATCATCAGCGCCGAGTACTGCCCCAGATCCGGCTCGGTCAGCAGCTCCCGCAGCAGCATACCGTCCGTCATGTACTTCAGCACAGTCTTGTCGCTCGTGTTGTCCTCGAACCGGATGGCATAGCCGACCTCGTTCCCAATCTTCACGCCCATCTCCTCGGCCACACGCGACGCCACGCTCATGGCCGCCACTCGCCGCGGCTGCGTGCATCCCACCTTCATGCCGTTCTTGGTATACCCGGCCTCGTGGAGATACTGCGGGATCTGAGTCGTCTTACCGGATCCCGTCTCACCGACAATGATCAACACCTGGTGGTCGCGCACGGCGTCGATGATCTGCTGGCGGAACTGGTAAATGGGCAGACTCTTCCTGGTGTCCTCGATGGAGGCGGCCTTCTTCTCCGCGGCGTCCAGCTGCTCCTGCAGGGCGCGCTGCTCCTGCGTCAACGGCTTCCGCGTGCCCTCCATCTTGGCGTCCATGACGAAGTTGATCTTCTGCGAGTCGTCAAACACATACTCGTAGTCGCCCTCGTCGGCGATCTCAGCGCGGTTGATCTGCGCCTTGGCCTTGGCCGTCTGCTCCAGCTCCCACTCCTCGTGCTCGGTGACGAAGCGCTCCTGGCCCATCTCGTCGCGCTCCACGTACCGCTTGTACAGCGCCTCCTCCTTCTTCTTGCGATCGATCTTGCCCTTCTCCGTGATGTAGTCGTCCGGCATCATGTACCCGTCGCGGTGGTCGTCGATGCGCATGCGCTCCTCCGCAATCCGCAGCACCTCGCGGTTGCGCGCAAACTCCTCCTTCTCCCGCCGCGTCAGCCGCGGGTTCTCGCGCAGCTCCGCCGTCTCCTCCGCCACCTGCTTCCGCAGCAGCGCCAGCCGCTCCATCTCGCGTTTCTTCAGGTACTCCTGCCGCGACCGCAGCCGCAGCTCCGGCATGGCCGCCGCCCGCGCCGACGCATCGTCCGCCAGCGCGCGTCGTCGCGCCGCCTCGCCCGTCCGCGTACGGTCCTCCACCACCTTCATCGACTTGCTGTCATCCTTTTTCGCCAGCCGCTTCGCGAACTCATCGCGCTCTTCGAGGTCGCGCCGCCGCTCCAGCTCGCGCCGCGTCTCGGGGTCGAGGTCTTCATCCTCCTCGCCCGCGCCAGCCGACGCACTCCCCTCTTCTAACCGCGTGCGCTTGGCCGGCGACTCGGCAAATTCCCCCTCGTCTGCATCCTGCTCCTCCTCCTCGGGGAGGTCCTCGTCGCCCCAGCGGTCCTCGAAATCTTCGTCCGCCGCCGCCCGCCGCCGCAGCTTCTTCGACGACCGCGCGCCCTCGTCCCGACTGCGCTCGCGCTTGCGGCCGCTACTGCGATCGCCCCGGTCTCGGTCGTGGTCGCGATCCCGCCGGCGCCGTCGCTCGCGTTCCCGATCCGCCTCGACATTCACCGGGCCCAGAGAGTCGTCCTCCATCTCCAGCAGCGCGTACCGTTTCGACGAGCGCTCTTTTGTCGAAGTCGATGCGGATGTAGAGGCAGAAGCAGAGGTGGCGGCAGGGGCCGGTTTTGAGCTAGCCCCGACACGCCGGTACAGCTTGTCGCAGAAATCGCGCACATCGTCGGGACTGCCGCCGTCGAGGAAGGGGGCGAGTTTGTCTTGCAGCGCGGAGGGCGAGCGAGCGGAGGTGGCGGTTGCGAGGATGAAGTCGACGACGGTGTCGTCGGAGGCGTTGGTGAGGCGGAGGAGGGAGTCGGAGATGAAGGTTCGGGTGTCCATTGTGTGGGATGAGTGGTCGGTTTGTAGTGTGGGTGTCGGTCAGTACGGCATTGTTGGTTGAGTCTCGGTGTAGACACGAGAAGTGTTGTAGGTGTAAGGTAGGTGGAGTGGTGATGGTTGTGGATGAAGGATGTGCGAGCTCCGATGGGAGATGTTGCGCCAAGAGTGCGTGGCTTTAGAGGTGCGTGGCTTTATATGGTATAGTATGTATGTCATTTGTATAAGTCCTACTGCGCCTATACCCCATCTACACTAGATAAAGAGCTCATCTCCCTCGGACTCTCGTGCACAACCCGCCCATTATGATCCTCCACAAACGGCATCGCCTTCACCCATTCGCATTATGCAGATACTAGTCTCTCCGCCACCGGCTGATTTTCGCGCGGCCGGCGCACCAGCGCCCAGCGCTTTCGATGCAGCCGGAGCACGTACACGGGCAGCCCAGTGGTGGTCTTATGGGCCGTGTAGAATTTGTACTTGCGGTTGTTGATGTCGATGGCGAGGAAGGCGCCGTCGCCCCAGATCTCCATGGCGTGGAAGAGGATGCGCGGGTCTGAGGGCCACGATGGGAAGATGGTGTTTATGAGGGTGTTTGTGGAAGTGGTGTAGTCCTCTGCAGAGAGGTGGGTGCTGGGGGTTTTGAGGATGAGTCTTTTTGGTTCATTGTTTTTGAACAGTTCGCGGATTTCACAGACGTTGGACAGTGGTATGTGTTATAATAACGAGAGGGATGATGAATGTACGGTAGTTGAGATGTTGACCTTGATGCATACAGGGCTAACCCAAACGGGTAGACAGTCTTCCATTATACTACCCACGGCGATACTCCAACGGCGTCAACTACTCATTCTCCTCCACGCCAATAACGGTCGTCTTAAACTTCCTCGCCGACACCCTCCGCTTAAACAAGATATCCGCCTCGCGGTACGAGCGATGCTTCAGCTCGGGCAGCCAGAAATACGCCGACACCCAGCACACGAGCGCCGTGCAGCCCCAGACATAGCCGCACTTGCCGGCGAGGTCCCAGCCAGTGGTGTTGAGCATGCGCGAGGCGAGGTAGATCATGGGGATCTCGGTGATGTAGTAGGCGGAGCGGCCGACGGCGGTGGAGAGGGCGCGCAGACGCACCGACGAGGTCTCAGAGATGATGGTGTAGGTGATGGGGCCCTGGGCGCAGGCATAGACGAACGAGATGATCACCCCCAGACACGCCTGCGCGTAGTTGGTCTGCGAGTTCTGCGGCACGGACGCGCAGATGCCCAGCAGGAAGAGGAACAGGACGTTGGCGCCGGTGCCCCAGAGGAAGACGGTGCGGCGGCGGAACCACGACGTCAGGCCCCAGGAGAGGGCGTTGCCGACGAACTGCAGGCAGGTGGTGATCAAGTTGAGCATGAAGGCTTTGTTGTGGGCGATGCCGGCTTCTACATGGCGTTAGTCTCGTCCAGGAGGAACGGACAGAATGGGGAGGGGAGGGGAGGGGCGTACGCTCGAAAAAGTAGGTGGCCTGGTTGGCAATCAGGTTGCCGGCAAAGTTCTGCGACGCGTACACCAGACAAGTGATGATGGTTCTGCGCCGGTCGGTGCCTTTCCACAGGTCCAGCAGGGTCGGCTGGCCGCCCATCTCCTCCTCGATCTTGACGGTGCGCTCGATCATAGCCAGTGACTGCTGAGCCTTGTCCTCGGTCTTTGCGCCGAGCCGCCGGATGGAGCGCAGGGCGTCTTCTCTGCGGCCGCGGCGGATGAGCCACCAGGGGGATTCGGGGGCGAAGAAGATTAGGACCATGAGGGGGGTCTGTTGGTCAGTACTGGCACTCGTGAGATGTGATAGGGAGGAGGGCGTACAGGGAAGATCCACTGCAGGGCGAGCGGCATGCGCCAGGCCCACTCGTTATCGAGCCCATTGTAGGCATACGTCGCGCCGGCGACGATAATGGACCCGATGGACCAACCCATCTGCAGGGTAGCTGTGCAGGCGGCGCGCAGGGGCAGCGGCGCAATCTCACTGGCGTAGGCCGGCGAGTTGGCAATGAAGAAACCCCACGGGACGCCTTCAAGGGCCTGACCGACGACGAGGAGGGTGAGGGAGTTGGCCTGCAGGTATTAGACGGTTTTCACGAGACAGGAGCGTACGACGTACAAAGAAAGAAATGAAAATGGTGGCATTCATCAGGAGCAAGCCCAAGAGGGTGGTCCAGCGGTATCCGATGCGGTTGGTGATGGGCCCAGACAGATAGACGCCGATGAAGGCACCGCACTGGCCGGCCTGGAAGAGGGCACTCTGCCAGCGGGTCGGGATAGCGTAGGTGTCCGGGCCGGTCTGGACGCCATACACCTTTTGAAAATGGGTGAGGGCCACAAAGTTGGTGTTGAGGAACATGTCGAACGATTCCATGACCTGACAGCATTAGACCACCACGCGGAAGATACAGATAGAAGATACACGTACAATGGTGAAGCACATCACAAAAGCCCAGAAGCACGCCCACGGATACTGCTTGGTGGCCTCCCACACGCCCATCTGATGCTCGCGGTTCTCGCCGTCAAAGGCATCGTGCAGTCGATCCGGGTTGGCGAGGATCTCCTTCTGCTCGACCTCTGCCTTTTCGCTCTCCAGCGCATCGTGCTTGCGGTCGACGCTCTCAGTCGACATGTTCTCAATAATGATTTTCACTGCAATCCAGAATGAAACGGAACAGCTCTGGACTTGAATAACACGGGGCGTGGTCGTTTTAAATCTCTATCCGTCGGCTTCTTCCCCTTCCAGGATGCCATCCGGCCTTTGTCCATGACCCCATTAGGCCGCGGACGGTAAGCAGCAAGGCCCTGATATACCGTGATCGAGCGAGTTTCCATTGGAGACGCGGGGCCCCGGACGGGGTGGTTGGTGGACGAACGACACCAAAGGAACTAGCCCGGCGCCACGTTACATTAGTTGGGTTTGTGTGCCGGGGTGAGATGCTGTCAACATGGCCGTTAGTCTGCGGTGCTAGGTAGATACGCGTCTGACGGGCTTCAAGATCGAGGTCATGCTAGTCCGGATGTGCATAGACAGTACACACACACATACATACGTACGTACCTGACTGACCTTCAACAGACAATAGTCAGCCCTGAAGACTCGCTAAGCATCGACAAGCCGTGCTAAGGGGGTAATAGGCTCCCCGCCAAGCAAAGTAGCCTCAAGCGATGCAAGCTTCTTCTCGGTCCTGCTCCGGACGCCTCTCACTGGGCTCCCGCCGCGAAGGATTCAGTCTAGCCATGGAAGCAGTGCGGTCGGCTAACAAGCGGGATCGGGTTTCCGTACAGCTGGAGAGAAGAATAACCGATCTGAACGGATGGGGGAGATTCATTACCCGACAATAGCCTGTGACTGACTTGGACGGACAGACAGTAAATATCCCGCTCTATAGATCCAACACTAATATTGTGCTTCTACATAGTACAGACTACAGACTACACATATATCCTAGAGTAGAAGATAGACATATTATTATTTACACTACACCATCGGCGCATATAATCACATATTACCAGTTCTCAAGCCCGCTTGATCACATCAAGGCATCATCCCCATGCGGAGTCGTCTCGACTCCAACACAACCCAAGGAAATAAAATACAGTCGCCAGTTCGGGAATCTCAACAGGAGTCAGCAAGTCAACAAGTACACAGGTAAACAAAGTAGAAACGGAGAATCTCTCTCGCCGCTAAATCCAATCATACACGACATCCGGACCGGGCATCAGGAAAGCATCAACGCTAACAATCAGACAAAGGAAACGTTCAAACGAGTGTGAGACTGTGACTTCGATAATCACAGAGTTGGCAGAATCAGAGCTCTTCGCTCCATTGGAATCCAAGTCGAATCCCAGGTAGGCAAAATCATTCCAGATCACAAACGCCGTCATTATATGGTATGTACCGCATGCACCAACTCCTCCCAAATGCATTTGATATGTCACGCCGATTACACGTCGATCATCTCCGCGTCTTCGGCAAGCACTTCATCGGCTGGTCCCCAGTTCCCCTCGTAGATCGTCGCGCCAGCCCGACGTCGCCGCGCAATAAACTGCACCCCGTACGTCTCCAGCACTTGATCCGCTGTGGGCCGATCCTGCGGGTCCGGAGAGATCATCCACCGCACGATCTTATCCAGCGCTTGCTCGTGGCTGGCGTCAATCATGAAGCTGGGCGGGTCCACGAGCTCGCCCGTCCGCGCCAGCGGCACCGCTTTCCGTTCGCTCGACGGCCGGCCCAGGAAGCTATCCTCACCAAAAGTGTCATCGCCAAAGTCCGACGCGCAGAGCTCCTCGAATGATGGCTCCTCCGAGACGGGGTTGCCAGATGCATCCCGGAAGATGCTGGTCTCCGAGCTCCACGTCAAACTGGGCACATCGCTCATATCCCCGTTCCGCAGCTTTTGCCAGGACAGGCCATTGTCCGGGAGCTCGACGTTGCCGGCAATCTCGAACATGATCAACCCCAGCGAAAAAATGTCGGCCGGCTTGTCGTACCGACCCATCAGGATTTCGGGGCCGATGTACTCTCGGTCGCCTTCGCCTTCAATGCCCTCTTCGGCTGGCCACCGAGTGGCCATGCCAAAGTCTGCGATCTTCAGCACACCTTCAAAAGTAATGAGGATATTGGCCGGCTTTAAGTCGAGGTGAATAAAGCCCATGTCGTGGATGTGTTTCAAGCCCTGTGAAAGTTAGTATCTCTATCAAAAACACAGAATCAGGTACATACCAAGGACAGTTCCAGCATGATCTTCCAGATCCGGAAGTCATCCAACCGGGCCTTCAGTCCGACCTGCGCCAGAAAGACGTCGAGGCTGCCTTCCTCGCAGAATTCTGTCTGAATGTAGAGATGACCGTTGTCCTCCCAACTGTCCATAAAGGAGATGATATGATCCGAGTTGGTGAGCGACTTGAGCACATCGACCTCGCGAATCCGGCGTTCCCGATCTTTCAGCCCCGAATACGGCTGCTTGGACTTCTTGACCGCCCATACCTGCTCCGGCAGAACCTTGGGGGACTTGGGGCCACTCGAGAAGATCGACAGCATGGGCGCCTTCTGAGCTTGGGCGACGCGGTATACCTGCGAGAACTCGCCGGTTCCAATCAGCTCGACTCGCTCAAAGCGAGAGGTCAGGCTGGGGTCCACATCCGGCGCGGTGAAGACATTTAACGGAAGGCTGGGGCGCTTGCCCGACTGTAACAGTGAATCCCGCGGTCCGGTGGGCGTTGCAGGGAGATTGGACGAGCTGAAGTCGGGTTTTATCGGTTGCTGGTCGTTCGGCGCCGAAATCGACAGACCACTGGGGTCCGGAGGGAATAGATTGTCCTGCGGCGTGCGCGGCGACCCGCGCTGGAACCGGTCATGCAATGGGGTCGTATTGGTTCCCATGGCTTCCGATAGTCGTTCCAGAGAAGCGATTTGAGACGTGGCCGGGGGGTACGTCCGCGACGGGAAGAATGTTTGTTTGGTCGGCGTGGGCGGGAGATCGAACTCACTCAACGGTTGGCTATCGTGTCGACCGGACGGCGACTCCGACTGCATCTCGTCTCCGTCCACGCTCACAAAGCTCCCGCGACGGGACGCCTCGGGCCGATTGAAGCTGCTTCCAAAGATGCCCATGCCCCGCGCAAAAGGCCCTGGCTTGGGACGTGCACTGAGGGGGTCGGATGGCGACGGCGGAACTAGATCGGCCGGACGAACCATGGTGGACTTGCCGAACGGGTTTTCGGCCGATCCCTGTTGCGCCGATGGGAACAGGTTAATAGGCCGCTTGCAAGGAGTGTCGGGCATGTTTTTGCTCATGCCGAGCAAGTTTTGCGGGTCCTCGGCGTTCCGGTTCTTCTTGGAGATGAGGCCGGTCGACATGAACGCGGCCGGGAGCGGTTTCACGAGCTTGTAGTTTTCGGGCGTGGCGAAGGAGTCGTTCGACGACGTGGACTCTTCGCGGGTGAGCTGGCGTACCGGCGCTGGGCGCGTGGCCCCGGCAGGAAGAGACTTGGAGAAGTCGAAGACGCCCCTTGGTCGGTCATTCTTGTGAACGGGTTCATGGGTCGGCGAGTCCTCGACTAGGCTCGAACTCGAGGAAGACTGGGTGATGGTTCGCGAAAGCGGATGGGCGGCCGGGCGTGTCTGTCCCGCTCCATTGGCTGTGGACGAGAACAACGGGCTAACAGGAGCCGGACGAGGGGAAAAGATGCTCTCCCGATTGGGTTGGAAGAGGTTGTTGTCCAAAGACAGGCGAGGGCGGACAGACGTCGGCGTGCCGGCATCAGGAGAATCTTCCATGGCCTTTGCGCGAGAGAAGAGCGAGCGATCACTCTGGCGTTGCTGGAGAGTTGATCGTCGAAGAGAGGAAGAGCGTTTTGGGATGGTGGCAAAGGGACTAAACGGAGATACAGGGACCGGGAACGATGGAATCTCGGTTTCTTTGGATGATTCGCCCGGGGACTCTTCTCCCGGCGCTGGGGTGTTTTCACTGTCGAATATGCTAAACTCGCCCGTGAGATTGGCCGCATGAACACTCCGTCGTTTGGCCGACGGGCTTCCCCGAGACGCGCGGTCCAAATTCATCAGCCCGTCGCTGCGCTTTAGGGGGCTGACCGTAGGATAGGTGCCGAACGTTCCGCTGCGCCGCTTTTCGATGCGGGACAAGGTGGGACGAGGCGCAAAGGCGCTGTCTGTCGGCGTAGGCGCGAGGAAGTAGCCACTGCCACTCGCTGTGTCGACGGGCTGAGTGTTTGGCTCCGGGCTGGTTGGGGAGTTTTCCACATCAGGCGTGGCGGGTACGGACTGCGTGGGTTTGGCGTTTCCCTGATCGGACGATATGTTCAAAGCGCGCTTCGCCGGGCTTCGGGGCGACGTTCGCACCCGACGCATGACCGGTCGAGTGATTTTGGCACTCGGAGGATATGGGACAGCGAAGGGCGATTGATGGGAGGAGCTCGGGAAGAGGACGAAGTTGCTCTTCTGGGGCGATCTTCGGGATGGCGACAAGGGAGAGGAGATGTATGGTGTTTTGGAAGGAGACTGGTTTCGTAGAAGGGAGAAGTTCGAACTCTTCGATGGCGAACGTGACAAAGAGCGGCGTAGTTGGCGGATGGCGGAGCTCGCGTCCACATGGTGGATGCCCGAATGAGACGGCAAGTGAAGGGTGCCGCCCGCATCACGGTGCGGCGAGAAAGTTGCCACCATGATGTGATATTTGACGTGATATGATTTCTGGCGGATCAGACACGCGGTCTGAGGCAGTTAAGGAACCTCCAGAGCCTGAGGGTGTCCTGCAGAGGCGGAGGGGGGCGTAGTTGGTAAAGAGACGGAGGGCCTACGCGATAGACAGACCCGAGGTAGCGACCTGTTTCGACCGCGAAGGGCGTTGATGACAACAACAGAGGATGTGGCGGTGCGGCTCTCGTGTCTTAGCCAGTTAGGAAGGTGGGTTCTGGAAATAAATCTCAGAGAGGAATGCTGAGAACGTAAGGCGCAGCGTGATCCAGGGTGAACGACGAGTCAGCGAGAGCTGAATGCGCATTCGCACCAGTTATTACAAAGTTCGAGTGCTGAAGACTGAAACGGTTGATCTTTCCATCTACTCCACGATGGCCCTTGGGAGGAGGCGACCGTTGGGTGACGGTCCTGATGGAGTCAATCCCAGGCAACTCCGGGGGGGGGGCGTCACGTAATCGGTCTAGTCTGAGGTCCGGATGAAGGCCACCCGGGGCTTGGAACGAAGTGGAGCGATGAGGAATGTTTCAAGGTGACAACAACACAGTCTAAACACGGCGTCGCGTCGCGAGGATGCAGGCGAAGAGCGGTTGGACAGAGGCGGACGGGGTGTTCGCGCGCGCGCGCGCGAGACGAGGGTTGACAAGGAGCGATAAACAGGATGCGCGCGCGCAGCGGAGAGATGCAAGAGTCGCTAGCAAGACGCGAAAGGGCGGAGGCGAACCGGAGGGATGGATGAACGTCTGGAGTCCCTTCCGTCTCCCTTTCTTTTCAATTTAAAACCTCCAGTGTGGGAGGCAGCGGACAGGCGCAAGGGGGTGGAGGAAGGCCCGAGACGAAAGAAGCAGCAGGCTGTGATATCGAGAGCCACGCGACAGGCTGAGAGAAGAAAGGGATGGAGCGCGGCCGGCCGGGACGGGGGAAGTTGCGGTATGCAGCCTCACTGCGTTGAGGATCAAATATCCGAGGAGTCGCCCTTACGGAAGGACAATAGCGAGTGGGGGGCTGGACCCAGGTGAAGTTAATGAAGAGAAGGTAGAGTCGAGAGATAGAGAAAGAAAGATCAAAATTAGACGCGGTAAGTAGCGAAGGGAGGCTACTGCGACTAGTCAGGCATTGCGCTGATAGGAGTGAGCAGTAGGGGTGGTGGTCGTAGTGGTAGTGGTGGTAGTAGTAGAGTAGCGGTGGTGGTGGTGGTGGTGGTGGTGGGAGAGATGTTTCGGTTGGGCACGCGCGACTCGCGTTGGTGTTGTTGACCCTCCTTCTGTTTGGAGTTTAGCGCCGGAAGCGTCACGCGTCTGGATCAACAACATATTTTCGTGCGTATCGTGATTCTCCTACATAGTCTCTCTCTACTCATGGTTCTCACTGTAGAATCTGTCGAGAATATTCGCGAATATCTTCATCATTCGATGGTATTATCCAGTACCTAGTACTGTCGGATTCTACCACCACCTACAACCCGAGTATCATACTCATGACCCCACACAAACAACCTTCTTCTATCGATAAATAATCGATAAGGGAACGCGGGGGCCCCTAACCGTGGCTCCCTTGCATGTGCTGGACTATGTGATCCGTTCTATTTATTATCATCATGACGATGGTTTTGCCGCTGGCGATCAACAACAGTGGCGATTGCCACTGTAGGCCCAAAAGAGTAAGTGATAAACACGCGCCTTAGGCTTCAGGCCCTCTTTTTATACTTCTCTCTCGCCGCCACTAGGTCAATGCTATCGCCACGGATTTAACCAGCATATCCAGCAGTCGTTCACTCACATCTCGCCTGTGGACTTTCTCGCAGACTCGTGAAAAAGAATGGTTGAAATGCCGACCAAAAACCCTCATCACGTGTTTGCCATCGCGATCATTGCCACCGGGAAAACCATTGATCCTGATCACTGATGCTGTAGTACTTGTACAAGTAGTACTCCGTACTCCCTAGATAACTGATTCAGCCCGATTGCTGTCCGAAACCCTGGAATCCGACTCCACATATCGGCCTCCGCATCGAACCTTATGGTCCGAGCTTGGAGTAACGGTCGAGGGACTATTGGGAATGAACGGTGAAGTAGAAGACCTGTCACATCCGAGATACCTAACTTTAGAGCGAGTATCGTACGGAGCATAGTCTGTATTTAGATACCGCCTAGTAAGCGGTATCCTGGTAAAAGCCGATGTACGTAGATAAGATCAGGTCCAACAATCCGGAGTATACAGAGATATATATCTTGGACCACCACCCATCACTCCCTATATACAGCACTCACATCCGCCCAACTTAACCATAAATCCCTTTAAAGAGTTAATTGAACACCACTAACTCCCTGACTTACTCTCCAACAATTATTAAGTAGATCCCAACCTGATATTTCAACCCTTGATTCGATTCTTCCGATTTCCGATTATTGAAGTATTAAGGACCACCACCAAACAGGTTATCTCTGTATGCATCTTTCATCCCTTACACCGCATCCTCCGCCCAACTTACCGGTAATCACGACGATCCGCAACAGACTACCGGGATCGATATGACAGATCGCATCGGCCCTCCGCCTCGGCCCCAGGCCGAACCCCTCGCCGCATGCCATCTCGTCCTGCAGCACTAACGAAGTCCCCTCCGCGGCAGCCCGCAGATCATGTTCCGTGCGCTGCGCCGCTGTTTGCTGCTGTTAGTGTCTCCACGTGCGGCCGCCTGCGGGCCCCTCGTCCGGCCGATATTGGAATATCGCAATGCAAGAAGCAGGGCGGGGTTATGGCGTTGCTTGCGTGCGCTGTGCGGATGCCCTAAGATTATGATGAGCGGCGGTATCGCCATGGTGATGTCCCGGCTGGTCCTCTCGGGACATCATTTCGTGAATGAGCCGGTCGAAATTGCAGGCGCATCCATTGCCGCAGTAACAAGACGGGGTTGAATAGGGAGCAGATTGCGTCTGTTTGTTGACGAGGGTGTTGGTTGTATGAAGGGGATATAGCTCCGGCGCTAGACTTAGTTCTGCTTGTTGATATAGACACCAGCTTATTCTGTTCGTCTGGCTTAATGCACTACCGTTGACACAAGACCATGGACGATTTCCCAGACAGCGCACGCTGTCTGGAACATTCCGCGTAGCTTTCCAGAAAACTCCTTCGCATCTACCGCTCACGGAGGTAACCTTAACATGAACCTTGCCAGAGCGAGGAGGTCTGCGAGGGATTTGCTTGCGTCAATATACAGGCTGTCTGCTGTCCTCGGACATGGTGACAGAAGACATGCAGGGCCTCCACCAGTGCACACAGTGACACAGGGATAGTGGGACGGTATATTTAGCGACAAACGCTGCCAACGCTACCAACGCTACCAGCACAATGCTGTACTGAACATATATCCTTGTTCCGGTGGCAGCTGGCTTATAGACCCTGTCAGGCGATGTCACGTGCATGTGGCTCCGGCCATCAACCTCAGCCTCCTACAAAGACTCGTATTCCGTCACTACACTTGTTCAATCATCATTTGGTCTCCCGAAATCCTTCTCTCCATACTAAGTGTCTTCTGGTCCAGCAAAGCGATATCCCATCAACACTCCCGCCTAGCGAATGACCATGATGTCGCCGAGTCAAAAGGGGCCTTCGTCCACCGCTTTAGTGAACGCATCCAAACCAGTCAACGACAACCCTCTGAACCGGTGTTTGGTGTTACTGGCCATCAAACTCCTCAGACGTATTCGACCTCGAGGTGGGCCCGTTCTCATGTTAACTGGCGGACACTGTGTGAAATACGGGCGCCGCATACATTTATCTGAAGCAGCATCAATGCGTTTCATAGCGCAACATACATCTATCCCAGTACCAAAAGTGATATGTGCGTTTACTCGTTCCGGGAGCACGTACATCGTGATGGAAAGAATCAAAGGAGATATGCTCGGAAAAGGCTGGGTGAGACGAAGTGAGAGTTCAAAGCAGAAGCTTCTTTCACAATTAGCAGAAATGATCTGCGAGATGCGAGACCTGCAACCCCCTAAAGATATAGGGATCGCTTCTGTTGATGGCGGATCACTGTTTGACTTTCGTGTTCCGGGTCCTTCCATACACTTTGGTCCTTTTGATACTATCCAGGATTTCCATCGGCATTTACGCAGAGGAATGGAATATGAGTCAGGGTTTGACCCTGAAGTTGAAGAGCTCTTCAAACAGCAGAGCAGCAAATCTTGGCCTTTGGTGTTTACCCATGGTGATCTTAGCAGTCTTAATATTCTTGCTCGCGGAGATGATATTGTTGGTATTATTTGACTGGGAAACTGCTGGTTGGTATCCATCATACTGGGAATATACTTCTGCCCATCAGGTCAATCCGCAGAATCCTTTCTGGGCCAACGAGATTGACAAGTTCCTCCAACCCATGCCCGAAGAGCTCGCGATGGAACGGACCCGTCAAAAATACTTTGGAGATATTTGAGTATCATATAATGTCCCTCCGCTCCGTCAAGTCATAATACACAAGTCAGCCTTAACAAGGAATGATGCCTAGCCGGTGCTAGAGCGGTGTCTCTTCCAAAGGTGGTAAATGTAAGGCTTTCCCGTTGGTCTTGGTAATCTTAATATCCTCCAGATCAATACCATGGAAAAGGCGCACCTATATCTGTTAGCTTCGACGCGCTCTCATGGGTAGTGCTAAGCAAGAGCAAGGTAACCAGGGACAAAAGCTGAAAGGAATGGAAAGAAATCGGTCCACCTACATTCACTGCATGTCCGCCATGTCTAAACTTCGGGTTCAGTGATTCGTTGTACACGTTGGCACCACAGGACCCGCAAAAGAAGATCTGTATAGTCCGTGTGCCGAAGCGATATTCCTATACAGAAGCGTCAGTTCAATACTGCGGACTGTAAGAGAGGTAGATACCAGCAGACCATACCTTTAGTTCACTTGCACCGTGGTGGATTTCAAGATCGTCTACGAAGACGAGCAGACTGCCGGCGATATGACAATAGCTACCTGGAGAGTTTCTTAGCATAAAGACAAGCTGTTTTATAATCATGCAGGGTTATGTGATAGTGCACATACAGTTGCAAGAAATCACAGTTGATTCAGATAACGGAGACCGCAGTCTCGCAGCGAAGCGCACGGCCTTGCAATGACAACTTCCTTCGTAAGAGACATGAGCCGACAGGTCGACAAGATCCTTGTTCTCAGCATCCTTGGATTGAGCCATCTTTTCGACTGTAGAGGTTTCTTCCCAGCTTGCGCGCGTAAAAGTGTTGGATAGGTCGGGTGTTCTAGAGACAGCGAGTACAGAAGAGTATTTATAGTGGTTGACAGGGCTCTTCTCAGCAGCATCTCACGATGTTGAGCGAAGGTTGAGCCCCAACGGTTAGGATATCGGGACTGTGGGGCTGATGATTCCAAATGTTGTTTCAATCTGTTCAAAGAGAAGGATTCTGGTGAGAGCTATAACTAATGAGTCAGTGAAGCAAAAGCATGATTAGTGAACATCTCCGAGCCAATACGAGATGATCCGGATGCTGCCGCTTCTAGACCTCGCCAAAGCCAACCGAAGCCCATAGGATCTAGGCCTATAATTCATGACAGACTCCCAATATGGATGCGATGAACTGCTAGAGATATAAGAGATAAGTAATACTCCTGGGTGTAGGAGTCTTTATATTTCAGTGCAAATCCCTCGCTCCCGAGACCCTAATAAACCTGACTCATGCTTCTATCGATTGAATCCTACCACCTACACCCCGTCTACCCGTAAATTCCCCCGAATCACACGCACATCATCCTCCGACAACCCCAGTCGCATATGCAGATACCGCTCAGCACCGCCAATCTCGTCCAGCGCGCGCAGAAACCCAAGCATACCCTGCATCTGCACGCCAAACAGCGCAGCCATACCCGTGCGCTCGAGCTCGTCCGCCTCGACGCCATGGTGCGCCTGCAGCATAGCCGACAGCCGCGGCCGCGCAGGCTCGATACCCGCGCGCGTTAACATGTAGTCGTGGAGGATGGCGGCGTCGGCGCACCCGGCCACGCGGAGGATCAGCGCGGCGAGCACGCCGGTGCGGTCTTTGCCGGCTGCGCAACGTTAGCCCTAACCGCCGAAAGCGCGTCCTGGGAGAAAAGAGAAAGAGAAACCTGAACAATGGAACAAGAACGGCTCCTGCGGCCGGTCGCGGATATGCTCAAATACGCGCTTGTAGATGGGGACGTGCGTGTCGAGATAGCTGCGGTACAGCCGGGTGAAGCTCTCCATGCCGCCGTCGCGGCCGCCAAAGTCGGCGTAGGTGGGCGGCGGCGCCTCAAAGGCGTACGGCAGCCAGACGGTCTGGACGCCGTCGATGACCGGGTTGGGCAGCTTGGCGCGCTCGAGCGGGCGGCGCAGGTCGAAGATGGTGGTGACGCCGAGCGAGTGCACGAGGGCGCGCTGGGCCTCGGCTGAGAGCGCGACTGGCGGCGCCGCCGAGCGGTAGGCGATGCCGCGGCGCACGGCCGAGTCGACGCTGCTGATGTCGCGGACGTTGATGAAGCCCGGGACGGAGACGAAGGGCGGCTGGGTGATGATGCGGGCGACGGTGTCGGAGGGGAGTTCGGTTCGGATGTCTGTTTGGAGCAGACGGTGGAGGTCTTCTGGGTCCATGGTTGTATGTATGGGGGTATGGGGTATGGAGTATGGAGTATGCAGTATGCAGTATGAGTGGGTGTTGCAGACAAGAAATGGAGCAAAAAATGATGGGTTTGGTTCGGCGGGGTTCTGGTACCGATATCCGACTGCCTAGGCTTGTTTTATCAGACCTACGGATATTGTAGATGCTTGAATGGATGGTATACTGACATACTTGATCTATATGTTGAGTACAACGGTATTGCAAGAGTATAGAAACAACCTCAGACCCAGCTACAACCAAGACTCAATTACATGCAATATTGGAAATCATGGGTCCCTCTGGTGAAATCAAACTCTCTCCACGCTGCTCCTGGTGTCTGCTCTTCCACTGCGACGAACCAGATCCGCCTCCACGGCCATAAGAACCATCCAAAGCGATATGTCCCTCCATGGCTGCTCAGACGCTGCGCCAGCTCCGCATTGGACGCCATAGAGGTACCGGCAAACGCATCCAAGAGCCTGTCACTCCGGCACACGTACAAGATCTGGCTGGCCAGTGTCGCCGGCCGTCGCGGCATGAACGGCCTCGTCCTCCCGCTCAACAACAGAAAGACCAAATTGCAAAAGATGACAAGATGGATCGCGATGCCGGTAATCGCCAAAGCGAGCCCCTTTGAGCCCGTCAGCACGCCGATCTCGCGCTGTTTGAACGGCGAGGCGTCCACCATGCCAGCCGCATACACCAGCTCCAGCAGGGGCGGGATAAAAACTGTCGCGACATGCACCATGAGCACCGCAAAAGACGCCCACACGGACACCAGCCAGCCCTTCCGCAGGCTCAAAAGGCCGCCACGAACCACTCCATACCGGGACACGTCTCGCTCCACCAGCGTCTCCAGTGCCGACGCAGCGCGTCCCCGCGCCAGCTGTCGCCACGGCTCGAACAGCTGCACATCGCGCTGGATGCTCTGCCACATCATGCCGCCGATCGTCGTGCACAGCGTGTACACCATCTTCGCGATGGTCGGCTTCATGCGATCCGCGACGTCGTCGGGAGCGACTACCTGCGCGACTTTGTAGATCGCGGCTGCGATGGCCGCCTGCCCCAGCCAGAGGAAGATCTCGGCGCCCCAGACGGCGCGCTTCTGGAGCCACCACCCAGAGGCGTCGGTGCGGTTGTGGTGGAAGACGCTGTCTTGGCTGCGGTTGACGATGGCGGGTGCGGAGTCGGCGGCCAGCTGATATGCGTTGCCGAGAGTGCCGTCCTCTGGCGCCGTCGACATGTGCTTCAGTCGGAAGCGGATGTCTTTGAGCGAGCGGGCGAGTACGTCGGAGCTGCTGAAGGACGGGATCTGGCCGAAGACTGTGAGCATTTTGGAATCGCAGCGCTTGGCCTCGCTGATTAGCGAGACCGGACCGGCTATCCCCCGGGGATCGTGGTAGAGGCCGGTGCGGCGGCGCCAGAGGACGAAGAGCAGGACGATGCCACCTGCTGTGACGAGCCCGTGCAGGGCTTGGGTTGCGATCGCGAACCCATGGTTGATCGAGACGGTTGCGTATCGTGGTCCATTAACTCGGTCGGAGGAGTAGGAGAGACTGCCCCATTCGATGCTCCACATGGCGCCTGTCAGGGCTGGTATGATCGATGCGGAGAGGACGTATACGGATGCAGCGACGGCGACGGCATAGTGTCTGTTCTTGAGAGCGATGTACGGCACAAAGAAGCTGAACTGGGCGACGTAATCGAGACCTATGCTGTTGGACCAGTCGCCTCCCTCCTCGCTGGAGAGTTGATGGAACGGTTCGAGTTTCCGGACAGTAACGTCGAGGGTCTCCCAGCATAGGCCGATTATGGTGGCTATGGCTACGGGGAGGTATTGCCAGGCTAGAAAGGCAGTGGCACTGTTCTCCTCGAAGATGAATATGCTGTGGGGGTTGATGTTGGTCGTGTTCTGTCGGACCAGATCGATGTCTGCGATGTCCTGGCCATGTTTACTCACCACTATCTGGATGCCCGCGATTGACGCAACATGAAGGGCGATCAGAATGAGAAGATACAGAGGTTGAAAGGAGAGAGGTTTCCAGTTTGGTATCCCCGTTGGTTTGTCGGATAACATCGTGCTTTCTTGGACTACACGAGACTGGTCATGTCGAAGCTCATGCAGTTGGTATATATTGCCGTGGACACTTATCTCATATCAATAATCACGGTGAAGAAGACTTCTTTCGCAGTGAGAAAAACACGGGGGACATACGCTCTTAACTCATGCGCCCCTGATAGCCTCCAAGCAGGCCAAGAGGCAGAATTGAAGGATCATAACAGGCCCTAATCTTATCGAATCTCTGCATGGGCACGCGGGATGAAGGCTACAAATATGTAGTATCATTGGATGCTCCATCACCATCTCTCGTATTCCCATTGCTAGCTTGTATTCCATGCAGGATGCCGCTCGTATTTATTAAATTAGCAGTTCAGCCTAGTAAAGCGGACGATCAGCTTGACAAATATAACTCAGCGGATAATGTGCAGCAACAGTCGTCCATACACGTAGGAGTAGGCAACTTGCAAATTCGGGAAGAAGAGAAAGGTGTTCATACCGGTGTCCACACCAAAGGCCGTCTTGATTTCATTAGTTACTTCCATAACCAAGAGGGAATCTATACCCAGGTCGTCAGGCCGACACAAGCGATATGCTGAATACACTGGCACATGGGGCCAAAGCAAAACCAAGCGCTGGATTGCTTGGTATATTCCGAATGGTCTAGGATCTTGCGCGAGCTGGGCGTGTCTGTGCTCTGTTAAACGAACAAACCCAGTCGTCTGTGCAAAGCCTTCCCTGCTCTCCATCGCAGGCTGCGACTTTGATTGACTGGAAATGAGAAAGCCTGTCAGGGTCTCCATCTGCAGGTCCTCGATGTGGCTCACTTGTGTCCTGTAAGCATCCGGATCAGGATGGAGCATCAGAGCGGCGCGTGAGACTAATTTAATATAATGCGCGACTGGTGCTAGGGCTTGACTAGATGCAATGTGGCGATTCAGTAACATGCAATACCTCTCGCTTTATGGATCAACAAGGAACCGCGCCCGGTTCGCTGTGCTGCCATTTCCGTAGCCGCTAAATGGAAAAACTCATGACCTGCTGGTGCCAGCCCAGAATTGGAACTATCCGTTGGTGTGGCAGTACCGGCAGTCTTGATAAATGGTAGCCAGTGTTGATTTTTCTCGAATTGATAGGGAGGCCGTGTCAAGAAATAATACCCTATCTGTGGGCAACGGTGGAAAGGCCAGCACTGCACTGGGGAGCCCGACTTCCATAGAATGACAGTGAGGTCAGATATCTGATTCACTGAATTGGACGTCGTCAGCTATAAAGTGAATATCCACTGTTCAGCGGAGGGCCCAAACAGCCTCGTAGTAACTTCCAGGATTAGTCGGTCTTCAGGTCCCAGAAGAGTGCTCCCCTTGCTGGCTTCTTGAATGACTGATGGTCAAAAGTATCTGGACTCCGGAGGAAGTTACTCTCACCAGTGAATACCTGCACGGTCTTGTACACGCAGGTCAGAGTTCGCATACAGATGGCTGAAGCAGGTGAGATCTTCTTTCCAGCCACCTTACAGCACCTTACAGCCACCATCATATACTTATCTCCAGGGAACCAGAGCAAGCCCGGATTGGACTGCGTCTGGTAATGCCAACTACGGCGTATCTCCGTCCAACCAGGTAGGCGCTAACTCATAATCCCAGCCCTCAATGATGGCCATCTACTCCGCACATCCCGACTTGGCTAGCCCAGCCAAGGAATGCCGCAAATGCTTGTTCCAATATAGACTACGGATCCTTTCAAATCTAGATTGTTGCCCGAAAGACACCACCGGCTCCCACCGGAACATGAAAGCACAACAGCCTCCTGCTCACCGGTCGCTCAGGAGAAGTCCGGTACATCACAAGCATATAAAGTCGGCCAAGGATTGGAACCTTGATGATAGAGGTGTTGCCATAGAGGTGTTGCCATCCAGTCTAGGCAAGTGGAAGTGGAATATTCCCCTGCACGCGTAGTCGTATCTCAAGACGAGCTTGAAGCCAGAGGGCGCCGCAGCTTATACAGTTCCCAGGATACCAGGACAGCAGGGCTCAGGGCAAAGAACGGTAACTTGGAGTCCTTCAGCCTCAACGTAGAAGTCATCTGATGAAATTCCGGGTTATCCAGGTGCTTGCTAGCCCTATAGATAACGGCAGCAAGAATGCGGCAGTGCAGCAGTTACTAGTAGCCCAAAAGCGTAGATCTCTTCGTTGTTGGCGGAGTTTCCCTAATCTCCGCCCATTAAGCCCGATTTGTAGCTCACGCTATCATATTACGTCTTAACCCTCTCACTCCCTCTGACTTGCACATACTCTCCCCCCTCCCTCTCAACATCTCTATCGATCATGCCGGCGAATAACAGCGTCAAGAAAGCTCTCTCCCTAATCAAGCAGGACTCGTCAAAAGTCCTCGGTCTACAAGTTGGCAGCCATACAAGCGTTGAACCGGGCCAGTACATTGGCAGGGCAGGTCAGCCGCTGAATCGTGTTACTCGCGATGACAGACAGGTTGGGGCGTGAGACTGACCACTTCTGTATGATTATGTAGATGCGCAATCCCCCCCTCAACTCTCCTTCCGCGGTCTCTCCCCAAGCAGCACTTACATGGTTGTTGGCCTCGATATTGACGCCCCCTTCCCTTCCTTCGGCGTCTTAGGCCCAATCCTCCACTGGATCCAGTCAGGTCTCCAACCGACTCCGTCCGAGACTGATCCAAGCACCTATACGTTAACTGCCACGGTACCATTTGTCGCCAACTACATCGGACCCGCGCCTCCCCCTGGGAGCTCACCGCACCGGTACATTTTCATCTTATACGAGGAGCCACCGGCGTTCAAGGTGGAGAAGTATGCGCCGCCTAACGGGCAGAAACTGGGCAATATGCATCGGATGAGGTATGATCTCGATGCGTGGGAAAAGAAGATCGGGTTGAAGTCCATTCTGGCGGCGAATTACTTTACTAGTAACTGATATCACTCTGGAAGGAGCTTTTGTTGATATTGCGCATTGATAGGCACGCATCAGGAAGGATATAGTATAATGTTAACTTTTATATCTTTTTAGTATCAGCCAGGCCAGCTACGACAAGAGTTAAAAGATTATAATAGGCTCATCTTTTCCAAAAATGCTTCATGGGCACGCGAGATAAAGACCATAGACATATACCGGTAGTATTATTAGAAGTAAAAGCCCTCTACTACAGGCTCCTGATGGCTTATCCCACACAGATGCCATCGTAATACTCGGATAAAATGGCAGGTTTAATGGCCTGAAGGCAGTGAACAGTCTCTCTGCACTGTAGACACGACCTCGAGCTTAAGCTGTTCGATGCTGGTGTATTGACAAGTCCAACACTTGTGTATTATTTCTCGGTAAGGAAGACCATCAAGACATGGAAATTGTCCAGCAGAGTAGCGATCTTCAATCTCCTCGTCATCGCTGTCATTGATTTCCTCGTATGGGCGATGGCCAGTCGTGATTTCGTACATCAAACACCCTAGAGCGAAGATATCCGTCACCTTGGACCGGGGAGAATCCGGGGCCATCCGATACCGATCTTCCTCCTCAACAAGGGAATCAGATTCGCCAACTGCTGAGCCAGAAAAATTGCACAGCTTGATCGATAAGTCATCGGCAACAAGAAAGTTTCGTGTGCTGATGTCGGCGTGGACAATCCCAAAGCTATGGACCAGGGAGACGGCGCTGATGGCCATTGCAATCCACTGTTCCCGAATGTGGCTTTGGATTTCTCGATTGTGGGTTTGAAGATACTCGCGCAGGGTGCCGAGTCGCATGAATGGGAAGCGGATGCAGTCGTCCGTGATTTCAAGGCAATTGAGGATGTTCGGGTGCTTGGGTAGAATTCGGTAGATGGTCTTTTCGCGCTCAAAACATGACCGGGCAAACTCATCTCGGTGCAGCGTTGTCTCAACGATATCTTTATTGCATCCTTCAAGCCTGTGTCGGAGAGGAGCTTTGATAACTTGCTCCGGATGGCGAGAGTCCAGGCAGACGATTCCCGTCGTACCGAATGCGATTATACGAGAGATACCCTCGGGTCGCATCATCACCGGATAGCCATTCATGACTGTCCTGGTTGCAAGTAAGAGGGAGAAGCGTAGCGGCTCCGACGGGTGTGATCGAGCCCCTTTATGTATCCGGGGTCGTGAGTTGTACAGGGTATCCGAGCACCACCTCTTCCAAACAACCTACTTCATTTCAAGCAAATATGCCATCCTACCGCCAATTGTCATAATATGCTAGGATACCTCGCTAAGAAGAACAGCATCAAATCATATCTCCGATACCAGAACTCCCGCGGTGAAAACATTCTGCATTTGGGTTCAATTACCTGCAACACCGAGATGGACCACCTCTTGGGAGGTATAACGCAACTAAATGGTCGAGGAGACTCACCCTTGGTATGCGTTATTATAAAAATTTCAAACACTGGATATTGAGAACGTTCGAAGAATCTGCCCCAGTTCTACTCTTACGCAAACATCGTGCAAAACATCATCCATGCAACGATCGTGTCCATCAATGCCAGTCTCTTTAGCGAGCGCTAGTGGCAATCTGTCTCGCCCCCACCGTCAGCCTATGACTCGAGTGATTCAGTTGAAAACTTGAACCTCCAGGATTCTTTCTCTAGACACCATTCTTTCAGTACCCCTTCAGATATGGCGGATATCGACCCAGACTACGTGGTGGTAGACAACGTCAACGTAGGGGAACCGGCAGAAACTGTCGCCGAGATCAAGGACTGGCTGTGTCCAACGGACTCGGATTCCCCCGCGAGCGAATACCAAAAACACATCCATTCTTACGTCCCCGGCACGGGAGAATGGATCCTGGAGACGGATCAGTACCGCCGCTGGCTGAAGGACGACGACCAGGGCGCCTTGTGGATTCGAGGCATCCCAGGAAGTGGAAAGTCCGTGGTCGCCGCTCGTTTTATCCAGAGACTCCAGGCCCAGGGAGAGTGTCCAGTGTTGTTCTTCTTTTTCCGCGAGATCATCATGTCCAATCGGACCCCTCGATCCTTGTGTCAAGACTTTGCCTGCGGCCTACTGCCTCATAGCCCACAGCTGCAGACAAGTCTCAAGGCGTTGAAGGAAAGACACCACTCCGTGGACGCAGCTCCATTTGAAGAGTTGTGGAAATGTCTCTCTTCAGCCTTGACAACGACGAGCCGGGTCTTCTGCGTGGTGGATGCACTCGACGAAATGGAACCCAGCCACGAGGACTTCATCCGATCGCTGATCGATCTCGCCAATCGCCAACCCGCTTCCATCAAGCTCGTTTTGACCAGCCGTCAGCTACTCTATCTTGAGGAGCGTTTCCGGGGCACGTCCGGGCTGATCGATCTGAGACTGGACCGTCGACACGTCGATCAAGATATCGAGAGATATATCGAGCATCGACTGAGCACGCACCAGCCTCCCATTAAGCCGGAGGAAGCAGCCTCCATCAAGACGTCAATATGCGAGAAAGGGCGAGGCCTGTTCCTATATGCACGGCTGATGATGGACGAGCTATTGTCACACCCCGAAGACATCACGTCGCAGCTTGGCCAGCTCCCCGACGGTCTGGGAGACATGTACACTGACATTCTCCGCGAGCATGCTGAGCGTTCTGGCACGACCCTCTCGTTCCAACGACTGGTACTACAGTGGATCACACACTCTGCCCGGCCACTGCGTTTGCTGGAACTAGCAACCGCGATTGATTCCCTACCAGACCGTGGAGGTCTGCGGGTAGACCAGGATGCAAAGGTCGCCGTCCGCACAGCATGTGGCCCGCTCCTGGAGCTCTGCGAGGATGGTGTAATCCAGATCATACACCATTCCCTGACGGAGTTCTTCCGGGATCCGAATATCAGCCACGTTCGACGGACAGAAGGAACGTCCGGCGACACGCCTGTGCTGGATTCCACCAAAGCACATGCTCATATTGCCCGCACCTGCATTAGTTATCTCCTCAGCGGCGATTTCGACGTGAACCTGCCGTCCGGTGCCTTGGGGCAACAGTACAACATTAAGCTCAAGGAAAGAATGCAGCAATTCCCACTCCTGCAGTACTCGGCACTGTACTGGCCCGTGCATGCCGCCGAGGCGGACAGCTCTGATGAAGAGCTACTGGCGATCATCGACAGTCTTCTCCGTCACAATCCTGTGAAGTTTGATACATGGAAGGACTATTATAGGGCAAGCCGTGGTGGTCTCATTGCGTCATCTTCGGCCTTACATGTGGCTGCGTTCGCCGGTCTCAGAAGATACGTGGAGCGCATCGTGTCCGACATGGATGTGGACATCACCGACGAATGGGATAAGACGCCTTTGGCATATGCGGCCAAAGCCGGCCATGCGGATATCGCCACCCTCCTATTGCAGCATGGTGCTCACCATGGTGCCGTCGATAAAAACGGCATGGCGCCAGTGCATCATGCCGCTAATGAGAACCGTCCGCGTGCGATGCGTGCTCTCCTTGAAGGCGGCGCGGACCCGATGCTGCCGAAATCAAAAGACGACAGCTACTATGGGCCTATTGGCCGTACCGCCCTATTCTACGCATGTCGCTATGGGCATTTGGAAGTGCTTGAGGAGCTCCAGCGAAAGTTGAATGTGGAGCATCTTCGAAACGGCCCCCTCCACTGGGCCGCGGCTGCTGGCAAGTCCAAAATCCTGAGCGCATTACTCCAGGATCCGGAGGTGCGTCTCTCCATCAACGACAGAGACGCCGATGGGAATACGCCGCTGTATCTGGCTGCCTACGCCCGTGAGCCTGATACGGTCGAGGTGCTCTTGGAGCATGGCGCGGACCCCAACGCAGTATCCGAAGACAAAAGAAATCCTGCGATGTTTTCGAAGCGTTCGAGGTTGAGGAAGTTGAAGGCAGCGACACGCGGAAGGAGTGCGCCTTCCCGCCCATTCTACTCGCCTCTACATGGGTGGGCTCATTTGTCTGAAGTGCACGCCCCTCATGGCTCCATCCACAACATGCACCGTGTAGCTGATCTGCTAGCGAGGGCTGGGGCCGATGTCAATGACCGAAACCATGAGGGACAAACGGCACTTTTTGCTATCGAACACCTACCCCGCGAAGAAGAGGAGTTCGGTCGGGCAATGGTGTCTGTGCTGCTTGCACATGGTGCTGATGCCACCGTCACAGACTTTGACGGCAACACGCCCCTCCATGTCCTTAAAGTCATCCCGGTCGACTTGGAATTGGTAAGGCTGTTAGTTCATGCCGGCGTGGACATCAATGCTGCTCGAAAGACAGATGGGAAGACGTTTATAATGGAACGTGATGATTTATTCGCATATATGGACTTGGAGCCCTTCCATGAGTTGAACGTTGACTTCGATCGCCAAGATGCAGACGGGAACACCGCAGCTCATCTCGCTGCCGCTTCGATCGCTCGCCTCCGTGTGGAACGCTGGGTTGATATGGCGAACCCCGAGATCCAGAATCAGGCCGGCGAAACGGCGTTGCATAGGCTGGTCAAACGCGGACAACACGAGCCGTCGGTCATACAGAGGATGCTTGATAAGGGGTTCTCTCTTGAATCACGAGATTACCGCGGTCATACCATCCTGTTGGCATTCCTCGCTAAGCCCTGGGCTCGAAGCATTTACGATACCGTAAAGGTACTGTTGGACTTGGGAGCCAACGCGCAGGCTACAGACTATGAGGGAAAATCAGGTAACTAGAAGACTGCACCAATTGCTATCCTTCTCTGCTGCTGACAAGGGATAGCCCTACACCTCGTCGCCGAAACCGAAGTATCATACGTTAACTCAGGCGCGGTAGACGTTGAGAACAAGCTGAAAGTAATGAGATTGCTGATAGCCGCTGGAGTTAATGTTAATTCCGTCGACCATAGTGGAAACACCATTCTTCATGCTAGCATTGCATGGAAGGAGGAATGGTACTGTGCCCAGTCCTCTGCATGGGCTGCTCTCGAGCTAGGTGTGGAGCCTGGGAGACAGAACCACCGAGGAAGGACGATTTTGCACATGGCCGCAACGATAGACATGCATAGAAAGACCCGTCAAAGCGAGAAGAGAGGTGCAAGCTCTTTGATGACGTTTGTCCTGGATCCACAGAGAGGACTTGATGTAAATGCTCCAGACTACGAAGGGATCACGCCGTTGCACCTGGCCGCAAGCAAGGCGGAAAGAAACTCGTGGATGCTGATCCAAGCGGGAGCAAACATACAGTCCAGAACTCACAGAGGGGAGACGCCTCTTCACTTTGCCGCGAGGGCCGGACAAGCTAACATCGTGGGCCTTATGCTTGACCTGTATCAGAAACAGTCCTTGGAAGTGGACTCCCCGAGCTTGTCTGGACGTACAGCACTTCATGAAGCTGCTCGGTCAGGCCGGCCAGAGTCCGTAAAGCTCTTGCTAGATGCCGGAGCTGATCCTCACAAGTTCGATCGCGATGGTCGAGCACCCCTACATGCCGCCGCCGAGTTTGTGGAAATGAATCGTTCACTTGACAAACCCGGCAGGTGCAAATGTGGTTCTGATTGCTCTAAACCGAATTGCCGACGAGACGTGTTTGGAGCAGACAGAAATGCTCTCCATTTCATGGGGTTGGTTATCCAGGATGAGGACGGCGCACGGAACATACGTGAGGTTGTGCGGCTGCTACTTGGCGCTGGGGCTGATCCAGCGCATCTCGATAATTCCGAATTCATGGCAATCGATGTGGCCTTGATGTTGGGTGCATCTGCAGTTGTTGATGAACTGAGAGCAGCTATGGGTGTTGCATACCGTGACCCTACGCATGAAGGGAGTCTATTACCAATTGACTCGCTCGGGGAATCGCTGTGCTCTCTTATCAGCCAGAACATATCAGCGGTTGTTGAAGCGGCCCAAGTTCCGGAAGACAGCCACGTATTTCTCGAAAGAGCCATGTCCACAAAGAATGAGCTTCTCGTAGAGGAACTTGTCAGGTCTAAAGGTCTCCGTCTAATGCGCGAAAACGGCATCACCCCTCTTCGTCTAGCTGCACGTTGGGGGCTGACATCCATGATGAGGAGGTTGATACCATATGCAGGGGATCTCGAGCCTTGCTACGCTTCACTGATAGCAGAAGCTGCAAAGCGTGCCCTTCCGAACCTCGACATGATCAAGCTACTGACCCAGTACAGAGGAAGCCAAGAAAGCTTTCGGTCTAGTGTTGACGAACCCATGCGCATCTTTGCCAAGGGCGAGCACTGGTGGCACCCGGCTGCTCTAACTTATCTTCTCGATTGTGGAGCGGATCCCAATACCAAGGGAGCCAAAGGAGAGACTCCATTGCATTGTGCGCTGAGTGCTGGAGAGTCGGAGCACTCGCTTGGAGAACTATGGCCTGAACAGACATTGAAAGTACTCCTTGCCTATAAGGCGGATATCAATGTAGTCTCATCTGCTGGCCTCGCGCCTATTGGCGCAGCTATTAAGAGCAAGAAAAGTCCCGCAGTATTAAAGATGGTGCTGGATCACGGCGCAGACCTGTCTCTTGGAAAGGAGCCGGTTATATGCTCCGCGATCGACGGTTCCAACATCCCTGCAACGGAAATCCTTCTGCAGGCAGGAGTTGACCCCAATACGAGGCTAGAGACACCGGCAGAAAAGATGCCATCAAAGGAGTTTGGCGTGCAAACAATCTTGGAACGTGCAGCCTGCCCAGGGTGGGAGAATATTGTACCAGCGCGAGAGAAGATCATGTCTTTGCTGCTTGAACATGGCGCTGATCCCTATCTTCCTCTGGAAAATGGCAGATCCACGCCGTTCCATGAGATCAGCGGGAGAAATGGGATTGTGAACCCGATCAACCAAGCGGGCTACGACATGGAGCAACGCGATATTAACGGCAGGACACCCCTGATAAAAGCATGCAAGTTGGCCAGCGACCGAAGGCAACGAAGCCTGGACGAGGAGCATACTGCGATCGACCTAGTAGCCGGCGGAGCGGACGTGCATGCCAAAGACAACGACGGACTCACCCCACTGCACTACGCAGCATACTGCAAGCTGGGCCGCACTGTCCAGACTCTCCTAGAGCATTCAGCATCCGTGACTGCCAAAGACAACCGCGGGCGGACACCGTTGTACTACGCATTTATTCCAAGGGAAGACAGACGGGAGTATCCATTGGGAGACATCAAGGTGGACATGATCAATGATCTCCTAGACGCAGGTGCAGATCCGCTGGAGCGAGGGCCATGTGGCAGGACGGCTCTTCATTTGATTGCTCCCTCTCTTATGCAATACAGCTATACCGGCCGTCGCCCAGAAGAGGGCAAAATGCTCGACGACGGGGCAGTCCGGTCAGGCGATATATACGGCGCATATGCGAAGCTGTACCGACGCTTCGTCGATGCTGGCTGTGACCGCAATGCCCGGGATGATAAAGGGAATACCCCAGTATTTGCGTACGTGGCTACAGAGAAATGGTACCAGGAGGATGTTGAGACGCCGTACCCGCCTATGCGGGAGGAGATGACGGCCATGTTTACGGATCATGATATCTTCGTTGCCAATGATGCGGGGGATACGCTTCTGCATGTCGTTGCTCGACGTAATGACGATGATAGTTTCATCCAGGATGCCCCTGCGATATTTTCTACGCTGGCCGGTTTAGGTCTGGATCCGTTGGCAGAGAACAAGGATGGACAGAGTGCGTTGGATGCTGCGCATGCATGGAACCAGGAGGAGATATTGGCCATGTATGCTCGAAAAGATGAGTAGCTTTCCCGACGATTACTTATTGGGAGATAGGAATATGATGCGTCTCTCCTCGTTTAGTATCTTCTGCTTATATCTGCTTGAGCATTGCTTAGGTCCCGTAACAGCAATATCCTGTCATACACACAGTAGCAAAGAATAGATGGCTTTGACACAGACTGGACAAGACTCTTCTGCCTCATATGTCGCCACTCTTACTAGTAATCTCTGGATTTTCTTTTCCGAGGACCTCTCGACAGAACTTCTCAAAAACATCGCCCCATAAATGATAACATTTGTACTCTGCAACATCCTCCGGCCAGTTGCGTACATGATCCCACAATGCCTCCAGCTGTTCAGGCTCCTTGCAGAGCTCAGTCATAGGTGTAAGGTAAGTACGAACGGTAAACATAATAGCCTGGGACTGGGGAAGCCGACTGAGCGACTGGAGCTCCGTGCGCAAATGGACTTGCTCGATGGAAGTGCAGCGAGGCTGCTTTTGAAACGGTACTATATGAAACAGTCCGCCGCCTGGCTGGATGAAGAGATTGTTCCTTTGTATGGGCTTTGAAGGCTGGATGTTACGGAAGAACCTGGGCATCATTAGCTCGAGCCGAACTACAGGGGAAATTAAACCCACCGCTCCATAGGCTTGCGCAGTTTCTCTTTCCACAGAGGCACAGGATCATGAACCTGGTGCAGCGGCCAGCCCAGTCTCTGCTGGAGCTCCCAACCCGTCGGACACGCGAGGAAGGCTCCCCGACTTGCCGTCTGCGTTAGCCCACACACATGTATATGCGTAGCGATAAAGCAACCCAACCTACAGGTAGTACAACCCGCCCTCCCCTCTCTTCAGCACATACATATCATCCATAACCAGCAAGCCGGCGACAGCCAGCGGATGCAGGTCATACGGCGCGCGAATCCGGTACTTCTCCGCGAGACAGTCGATATAGACGTATTCCCCATCCGCACGGAACATATCCGGAAACCGCGTAGTGATGTACGCGACGACGGTGTCGAGGAGCTCGACGGCCGCGTCGTCGATCCCATCGAGATAATCCACGTATTTCTCGGGGTGCGGGCTGCGGACCATGGCTAGCTTTGCGGCGTGCTCCGCCGCGAAAAGCCGGTCGTACTGGAACCAGTTGTTGATGTCGAGCTTGCGCAGCGCCATGGTTAGCTGGAATTTGCCTGGTTTCCAGTAGCGCGGCCATGAAGGAGGCTGAGATAGGGGGGAGCCGGGGAAGGGTTTGATGAGGGCGAAGTTGAATGGGTCGGATTCTGTGGGTTCGGGCGGGCTGGTGGTATGGGTGGTTGAGATGTATTTTAGGAGGATAAGGAGGGTCCCCAGGATGAGCATGATAGAAATGTAAAACATGATGGCATCTTGGTCAGGGAGATTGAACATATTCATGACCTCTCTCTTTTCTTTGGATTGGGTCTTATGCAAAGCAATACATCCATCAGGTTAGATACGAGCTTTATTTATACATGGTCTAGAACGAGGCCTATAATAGCGCGCCAACCGCGCATTTTCAAGGTTCGAGCTACGACAGTCATCTGATGATTGACATGTAAGCAGTAACGGTACATGTTGCGGGGAGAATGAAGATAGATGTGGACTCTAGCTAGGCCTTTTGAAGCTCTCTCCGTTTGTGCATATGGCAGGGCCCCCCGATTAGGTCTTTTTAGAATACGGCCTCTGCAGGGAACTTTCTGCACAGTGGTCTATGCTATCGAGCCGTGCAGACTATGTGATTATTTCCAGTTTACAACGAGCTCTAGCAAACGAAAATTATATACCATTGTGCGGTATATTTACTGTAGTCATTCGCCAGTCTACTTCGCAGTATGAGAAGTAGTCTCACTCCTGCGTACTTACCTAGTTCTTATATAAGAATGGACAATAAAGGTCGCATATAGATGTGAAAGATGCACACCAGAAGGATTTCCAGACCCAGGTCTTCCGTGACCGAAGCCCCTATATCTGCCAAGCTTAAATTAGAGTACAACGTATGTTCTTCCATCTTTGCTTATTGTATAGGCGCCACTAAACGACAAGGGGATGACACACAGCTATCTCTCGTCGCTCATTGCTTACAAGCCCCGCATTCTGCCCCGGGAGGGCGTGGACCAGCTAGCAAATAGGATGCAATGCAACTTGTAAGTCATCTTTTGCGTTGTCGGTCGAGACTGGAAATGGATTAAAAGAAAGACATATACTTTGTGATGGAGGCCTTCACTTCTCTGTGATGCTGCTGAGCAATCCATGGTCCCACTCTTTCCCATTCAGCGGTTCAGGATTTAAGGAGATCAGCGTTTGCTACAGAAGGTGAAGAGCAAAATGAACGACCAGAAAAGCAAGTAGGATATCTGTCAAATGGAAATGGGTATCTTTCCAATTGAAAATCCATCATCCGAGACTGAGAAACAGAGAAGTTTTTAAGACTGTTCTTGCTTGAGCACAGCCAGCAATGACGGGCTTTCAGATTTGACCCCAGTGACAAAATTCTCCGACTTTGTTCATTCTGCAAGCCAAATAGGAACAGAGAAGTGTCTCTTGGATTTTGGGCAACCTATTGAAAGCCTCCTCTATCATAACTGCTCCCGTCTGTGTGAGTGATACTTTGGGACGGAAGATGTATGAACATCTTCGGCCCCAATACATCCAGGTTTCGCAGTAGGTCTGCGTGTACTGGGGCGAGAGCGTATGTCGATGCACGTGAAACCTCAGTCCGTGAATATAGAACGACACGGACAAGACTTGATTTGATTTTTGCAGTGAGGCGTGAGTCTGGAGTTTCATGTGCACACTTCGAGTGAGACTATAAGGTTCGGAGAGAGGCTATTGTTGTATACCCAAAGCATATACGTTGGTCCTGGAATATATTGCTACGTTTTGTCGTATCCGGTGCTGCATCATCTGCTCTTGACATATTAATAACATGCCTAAAGTATCGACAGAAAATCGGCCAACTGGTCTAAGGTGCCATCTTACATGCTTATAAATTATAAATATGTCCCATGCCCTGGCAATAGAACAAAGACGCGATAGTAGCATGACCCCACCTCGATGTCGTGATATTGTAACATCTTCCATCATCATCTCATTTGTAATCAGACTGACAGACATATCTATATAATAACGTCCAACATGTTTCTGCACTTCCCAGAAGCCAGGTAACGAGTTCAAACCAACAAGAACATGTCTGAGTCAAAGAAACTACATCTCACGGCCTTCATGCGGCCCGTCAGCCTGCACACCGGCGCATGGCGATACCCCGGGTCGTATGCCGACGCCAACTTCAACCTGGAGCATTTGAAAGAGTTCATTCAAAAGCTCGAATCCGCCAAGTTCGACGCCTTCTTCATGGCCGATCACCTGGGCGTCCTGAACATGCCCGTCGAAGCGCTGAAACGTAGCCACACCGTGACATCTTTCGAGCCGTTCACCCTGCTCTCCGCACTATCAGTGGTGACCGAAAGAATCGGCCTTGCCGCGACGGCCTCCACAACCTACGACGAGCCGTACCATATCGCGCGGCGCTTTGCGTCGCTCGACCATATAAGCCACGGCCGCGCCGCGTGGAACATCGTCACGACGGGCAATCCCGAGTCAGCCAAGAACTTTGGCCGCGACGAGCACGTCGAGCACAGCGAGCGGTACAAGCGCGCCCGCGAGTTCTACGACGTCGTCACCGGGCTGTGGGATAGCTTTGCCGACGATGCGTTCATCCGCGACAAGGAGAGCGGCGTCTTCTTCGACCCGGAGAAGCTCCACGTTCTGAACCACAAGGGCGACGAGCTCAAGGTCCGAGGACCGTTGAACATCGCGCGACCAGTGCAGGGCTGGCCGGTGATCATCCAGGCGGGCCAGTCCGAGCCTGGCCGACAGCTAGCAGCCGAGACGGCCGAAGCGGTGTTTTGTGCGCCGCGGGACCTCCCCTCCGCGAAGGAGCTGTACGCAGATATCAAGGGACGTGCGAGGCGGGCTGGGCGCGATCCCAACCACCTCAAGATCCTTCCAGCGGCATTGGTCGTCATTGGTGACAGCGTCGAAGATGCCCGCGCTAAGCGGTTGAAGCTCGACAGCCTCGTCCACTACAACAGCGCGATTGCCTCCCTGTCGGCTGCTCTTGGGACGGATGCGTCTGGGTTTGATCCGGATGGGCCTCTTCCGGAGGACATCCCCGAGACGAACGGCAGCAAGACTACGCGGGACGGCGTGCTGAAGTTGACCCGCGAGGAGAATCTCACGGTGCGCCAGCTCGCGCAGCGGATCGGCGGGCATTCGGGGCTTGCGTTTATTGGGACGCCAGCGACTGTGGCAGACGAGATGGAAACCTGGCTCAGGGAAGATGCGGCTGACGGGTTCACGGTGGTGTTTCCTTTTGTTCCGCAGGGATTGGATGCCGTGGTCGAGAGGCTTGTCCCCGAGCTGCAGCGTCGGGGGATTTTCCGTCGCGAGTATGAAGGCACGACTCTCCGGGAGCATCTTGGTCTGCCGAGGCCGAAGAATCAGTTCTTTTCGTAAGATTGTCATAGTTAGGGTGTGTACCTAGTGGAGTTCGCTGTTGCGAGGCAGCTCAAACAGTATAGATCTGGACGGCAAGCACTAAGAAGTCTGGTTGATTCGCGAGGCGAACTCAAGTGTCGTGAGTAGTATGATTTAAAGATATGCCTATATTCTAGAACTATTGCTTTGCTTTATTCGGCGGTCTATCCGGCCGGCAAGACTAGTGCTTAAAAGGTTTTAATATACATACAATCATAGTTATCCCTGGATATCAATTGGAACGATACAATTAAAAGTTCTAACAGTTGTACTGTCAAACACAGGGGGTAAACGAAAGCGAGTCCGAGCAAAGGAAGAAAAGAAGATTAAACTGACAAAAAGGCCTATTTAGTTGGTTCTTCAGGCCTATACACCCCGTATCTTGAACCTCATGCAGCAGCCGTAGCGGCGATGAACAGCCGCTCCCATTTCATACCGAATGTCGCTAGCAGAGTGACCGCACCAGCCACAATGCAGAGGATATAAGTCCGATCGATGGCTGTAACGATCGCAGAGAGAACTCTGCTCTTGGTGGCCGGGTCCAAATCCTGAACGAAGGTCGAGCCAGTTCCAGAAATGGCATCAATGATAGTCGAACGGGCCTCGTTTGGGAGAACCCATGAGATTCCTAGAGAGCAATATCCATGAGTTTCCAGCCTGTAACCTGGAGGGAAAGAGTGACTTACGCTTTGCAGCCTCATTGACAAACACGCACTGTGCGATGACCAAGGCAAACGTCAATCCATTCAGCTGCGCAGTGGTGGTGAACGCAACGGCGGCCGGAACCTTTTCAGGCTTGACTTTCGCCTGCGCAACGGCATGGCCCAGTTGGAGATACATTCCCGCTCCCAGACCGATCAGCGCACTGTATCCGTAGGTCGCTCCTGCGCTGCTGTGAGGATGAATTGTGTACATCAGCGCGGAGCCCACCAGACACAACGCCCCTCCCATGATGTACCAGGGGATGTAGTACCCCAATCGGGAGGTGAGAAATCCCCCTCCGACGCAGCTGAACACGAGCAGGCAGACAAACGGAAGTAGCCGGATGCCCGACTGGAGCGACTCATCCGACGCAGTGAACTGGAAGTACAGAGGGATGATGTACGTGGGGACTGTCACGCAGACTCCCGTGCAGCAACCGCAGATAAAGAGAAGAGTCAGGAGCGGCTGGCGCCATGAGACCAATTCCACGGGGAAGAGGCGTGTTTCTTCGGTGGTAAAAATGCAGAAGGTCTGCTGGACTCCGAAGACAATGAACAACACGCCACCGAGCACGAGGGCGACGATGATGCCTGGCGCGTCCCAGGGATACATGGCGCCGGCGAAGTTGACACCGATGACTCCCGCCGCAAAGGCACCCATGAGGAGGAGGGTACCTACTAAATCCATCCGCTTCAGCCGCTCGAGAACAGGAGTCACCACGGGCTGCGGGTGCAGCGAAGGCAGCAAGAAGATGTACACCGGGGTGAACAGGCCACCGACACAAAGATTGATGTAGAACGACCACCGCCAACCCGCCGAGCTATCGGTAAACGCGCCGCCGATGATGGGACCGAGGACGGTGCCCGCGCCCCAGGTCAGACCCATCGCACTGACATACATCGGGCGTTCTTGCATCGAAGTCAAGCGAGGGAGGAAGTTCATGACGCCGACGTACTGGCCCACGCCGCCCACGCCGCAGATCACACGGCCCCCGATGAGCATGTTCATCGACTGCGCCGCTCCGCAGACGGCGGAGCCGGCCATGAACACCGTAATGGAGAAGATGTACATCCACTTGATGTTAAACTGGTTGAAGATCTGGAGCCAAGTCAGGACGGTCGCGCTGGAGGCCATCACGAATGCGACGCCGGACCAGGCCAGTTTGTCAACTCCGTTCAGCGATTTGATGATGGCCGGCTGGATGTTGGCGACGATGGTATTGTCGAGGGCAAAGAGGAAGGTCGAGCTGTAGATGGCCAGAACGACCGTCACCCATAGGAAGCCGTGGACATTGCGTGGACTTGTTGGAATCTCCTTGCTCTGATCGCTTGTCGAGCAGTTGCTGTCTTGCTTTTCTGTGTCTTGTGCGGTGTCTGATTTCGACGGCCGCGTCTCCGTATCGGTGAGATCAGCCATGTTGAGGATGTATGGTCTGAAGAAATACTGGACGATGTCCTAGTCTCGAGGGCAACGGATTACACGGAATAGCCTGTTGTAGGAAGAAGAATCCTGACTTAAGTTGATATAGGGTAGACACACCGCGTCTCCAGACGTCAACTACGCTGACAAATGTCATGGAATGCTGAAACTTGGATTAGAAATCGCATTTGACCGAGAAGATAGGGAGATTCAATGCAGTCGACTGATTCCATTCTCAAGTGACGATGTTCGGGTGGTTGACGGGGCATTAGGGCTGGAGTTGGATCGCCGAAAGGGGTAACAGAGGGCTTGTATACAACACAGCAAGCATGATATGGGATATGGGGTCCACCAGTTCCTGGCCACCACTGGTGATTATTAAGGTGATTAGGAATTGTTTCCTGTCTTTTGTTCCTGCTCCTATGTTCGTAGTAGTAAGAGAGAAAAAGGACCCGATGAGGGCTGACTAAAAACCCCCCGAGATCGGGCTGTTTTCCTTTGCCCTAAATGGGTGTCTACGAAGTATACGAAGTCAAGTCACTTTCGACTTCCATTTAATTCCATTGATAGAATCTGTCAACATGATCATGGTCGAGGAACCCATTCTCTCTATCAATTCTGTTCCCACTCTCTTGGTCACTGGAGAGCAGCTAGTGCTCCGAGACTACGACTGACCATGGTTGACACTCTCCTGAACCTGCAAGATGCATATTCTTCGCGCGAGCAGATGCCCTTCTGGGCCACCAAGTTATTGACGCCAATTTTCATGGCCGTCGCCATCCTCACCACCATTCCTTCCCCAGGTCCCATGCGGGTCGTCGTCGGGATGTCAGCCCTTACCAGTCTATGGCTGTACGTGCTCACCCACTGGGTATCTGGTCCAGCTTTTTTCATGGATGCGATCTTCATGATCTCCATCACGGTGCGCTGGGTGTTAATGTTCCTGACTGGAACTCCCGAAATCGACTACTACCAGAACGGCAAAACCGCGACGAAGCTTGGCAGCACCAACGCGGACGGAGAAACCCTACACGGCTCAGCGTTCCTGAATAAAGCCAAATGGAGCGTGGAGCTGTGGTCATGTTGGCGCGGCCAGGGCTGGAATTTCGCTGACCAGCATCTCCGACGAGGCGCAGAGCAGACTCAATGTCGGTGGTATGTCTGTTTCCCGGAGTGTTTCGAAGTGCAGCTGCTGATAGATCTTGGTAGGGATTTCCTAATTGCAAATGCTGGCAGAATCCTTCTGAACCAGTACATCTCCGACATGGTGCGCAAGTACGCATTCTGCGCGTTCTGGCCGGCTCACCACCCAAACGTGGCTAGTGTGGATTTTCGCGCATTGCACATACTCCACCGACATCTACTCGTTGGAGCTCAATTGGTCCGAGACAGTCTCATGCTGGATAGCGAATATCGCAAGGCTTCCCTGCTATGCGTTGGGCTGTATCTGTCCACGCCGGATCGCTGGCCAGGCCTCTTCGGCAGCCCGGTCGACCTATTCACTGTTCGGAATTTCTGGGGCAGAGTCTGGCATCAAATGTTTCGGCACATGTTCACAAGATCTGGCGAGGTGGTGGCTAGAATCCTGGGTTCGGAGAGAGGGACTCTGGTCTATAAATATACGAAGCTGTACGTGGGATTCTTGGTATCCGGAATCCAGCATTACGCGTGTCCGCTGATGATTCCATCTTTGCGCTATGGCTGGGGAATGTTTTGGCAGATGCCAGCGTACGCTGCCATCATCACCCTGGAGGATCTGATCAAATACTATGGCAGGAAAGCTGGGATGCATGATAGCGGTGAGTTTTCTTCTTTTTTAGGTAATTATAGACCACATTTGCTAAGCGGCCCGCAAAAGGGTTTGTCAGAGGTCTAGGGTATATCTGGACGGCATACTGGATGACGTTGATTTACGCCCTACCTGTTGGATATGTGTCGGACATTGGGGGGTTTGCGGGTGTGTGCGCAGTCTGAAACCTTTTACAGTACTACGCAAGCATCGATAGCTGTGTGATATGCAGTTGGCAATAAGAAATGACCGCTCAGCCACCAAAAGTGTGAAGACGCTAATGGGGCCTTGTACAGTCCATTTGTGGTTTGACAGTAGTTTCACAAGATTTCCACATCCTCTAGTAAATGAACGTAGATCTGACAATCTCAAAACATTGCTGTCCTGTAGCAGAGGCATCACAACATCCTCAAGCATAACAGGCGACTGTTCGTCTGTTTACACATTGGAGATAGTACCTCCTTGAGACAATGGCAGGAATGCTGCCTCAGTCATCAGGCATCAAATTGAGAGCTGTCCGCTGGTGACTAATCGTCTTCTCCACACTCGGACAATCATCACCATGGTGTCAACCAAGCTCATCATGCTCCGATCATGTCTGCAACTCATACATCCCCATCGCCACCAGGGGCACAAGCTGAGGTGACTGCAAGCTGGGAGCGTCTGCGCAAGTCCTGTGATTCATGCCAGGAAGCCAAAGTCAAGTGCAGCCAGCACAAGCCCTCATGCCATCGCTGCCTCCGTCATCGCCAACCATGCGTCTACAGCCCGCAACGTCGCACCGGACGACCGCGAAAGAAGCCGACCTTGGTCGGGATGGCATTTTCCCCCGTTAATTCTGGGAACGACACAAACAGCACAATAATCAGAGAGCCCACTAGCTCAACTCTCAATGGACAGGACCTCGTCATGGCCGATGTCCGCGATGATGAGCCACGCTTGCTGGCCGGTGACGTTACTGCGAACATCAATCCCATCGACAGCGTCTTTCAGTCATCGTTCGAAGCTCTGCTAGCAGCGTCGCCACTCAGCAAGGATCCGACCGGCAGAGATATCAACTTAGACACCCATCATACAGGCCGTGCCGCCTCCCCTCGCTCCTCCGATGCGTTCGGCGATTTATCCCTTTTCTTGCACGATTATAGTACCCCGATTCCACCACACCCGGCGCATGTGCTCGACCTCGAGCAGCTGCCCTCGCTCAGTGTAGACACCTCGAACACAAGCAGCGAGTGTGGGGACTGCGGAGCGAAATGTTACACGACGCTTCTTCAACAGCTGTTATTCTTGCGCCAGTCGCTTCCTGAGACCACCCGTCCCTCAATCGACGTGATCCTGCAGGTGGAGCGCCATGTGCACAGTCTTCTCGACCGGGTTTTGGGCTGCAGCCTGTGTCTCAGTAATCGCTCCTCTGTTCTCCTCATGTCGGTGATTACGGAGCGTGTGATCCAGATGCTTGACTGGATTATCGAGGAGAAAACCCTGCTAGACACCGAAAGCGCGCGCTCCAGCCGGCGAACATACAGTACCTGGGCACGACTTCCCCCCACTGGCAGTCGCGCCGGCAATCGGACACATGTCTGCCGCATTCCACTCGTTGTAGGTGATACTGAACTGGACGAGGATACCAAACAGTACTTCCTCAAGCAGCTCATCCTCATGCGGATGAAAAGGCTTGCCGTCAAAGTACAGGATGTGCGACGTAGCACTAATACGCGACCTGGGGACTGCATCTACCGTGCTGCCGAATTGGTGCTTGCAGAGTCTCTTCAGCGATTAGACTACCTTCGTGGCCAGGTTCAACTGTGGGAGTGACGTGATCACCCACTAACGAGGTAAAAGATGACATTAAGATACCCCGATACAGCATTCATGACCGTCATGTTCTGTCGCAATAATCCCTAAATTACTTCCTCCCGCTTCTCCTTTTTCGTCTTTGAGTCTTCACTCGATTCGACATATATTTGCCTTCCGCTGCTTGTTCGGGTCAAAGGACAAGTCCATGTCTACCGAGTCGGCTGGACACGCTGTGGGCTTCCAAGGTGTGATATGTGCCGAGGATGCACCTGTTTAAGGATCCCCCGTATCAGCTCAGTGGCCGGACCTCCAGGGAGCAAGGGAGATACTTGGGCCGGTCCCAGTACCTCAGAGTTTTGTAGCGAAATAGTCTACGACCACGAAAAGCGCTATGGTTTCCGGGCGTAGCACTCCCGGTGCATATCCATCGATGTAAAGAGAGTCCATAGGCGCTGTCTTAGCTCGGGCTCTACTTGCACCCTGTCTCTCGGCGTTATACCCATAACGATTTGCATTGTCTATGGAGGGGATCTTCGAAACGATGGTTGCGAAAACTGGAAACTCCACCGAGGCCAGGCCCCTATATTCACGTCGGGTGGTTTTCCACAGCGAATATCGTGCCATAGACGCAACCCAGGCATCCCACCAACGACTAGTTCCCCTATGCGTCCTTCACTCCGGAAACAATCTCCCTAGCAGCGCCAACACCCTCGACAAAGACTGACTGACAGGCCCGTCCCCCTCCCGCCCGTAAAGCCCCGGCCTCATGCTCGCAGCCACGCCCAAGTCCAAGTCCACCCCGGCCGCCTCCTTGCCACGGGTATACGCATCGCGCAAGAGGACACTCAAGTTCGTGAGCACGGTGTAGATTACCTGTCGCGCGAGGAGGGTCTCCTCCTCGACCTGGAGGGCGAGTTTTCCCAGTGCCATAGGGGATTTGGTACATGTCAACGGGGCGCCTGCATTGGTAGTAGCGGTAGTGGCGGGACCGAGCTCATCGACGAGGAGGCCGTAGGCCGTACAGGCTGCCTGGCAGAGGGAGAGCACCGCGTCGGAGAGATCCACGAGCGGGGCATCCAGGCTGTAGCTGTGGCAGGAGTTTCTACAGCCCTCGGTGGATTTGCAGAGCTCGGCAAGGGGCTGGGTGAGAGTGGCGAGGAAGCTGAAGTCAAAGGGGCCTTCTATCGGGAGGGTGGAGGAGAGGTGCTCTATTTGGAGTGAGCAGGAACAGAGGGTGCTCATTGTTGAGATATCGTCGGATGGGCAAGATCATTAATTTAGGGTGAGATAGTTAACTAGTTAGTAGTTAACTAGCATGACTAATGAGTTGGATGCTGTTCTAGTGTGTTCGCTAACATCCCTGTTGAATGCCTTCATTCTAACTGAATGCACAGCATTGCTCGATAGCTTCCTCTACCCCATAAACACTTATCTTCCCCATAACCGAGGAATGGAATCCTTCACGTAATCGATTGCGGAGAGTTGGAGACGTTGCGGATAGCGTCGGACAAAGCAGACGAGAGTATAAATACCCCTCACGCCCCGTATACTCGGCTCCTTCTATACTTCATTCCACATACTCCATCCACACCATGACACAGAACACTTTCCCCGCAGACACTGTAGACCTGGCAGACTATCTGCTCATCCGTCTACGCCAACTGGGCATTCAGTCCGTGTTTGGCGTGCCGGGCGACTACAATCTCCGGCTGCTGGACTATGTCACCCCCGCCGGGCTCCATTGGGTGGGAAACTGTAACGAACTGAACGCTGCGTACGCCGCCGATGGCTATGCTCGCATCAATGGCCTCTCGGCGTTGATCACGACGTTCGGCGTCGGGGAGCTGTCCGCCATCAACGGCATTGCCGGTGCCTACTCCGAGCGAGCCCCCATTATCCATATTGTCGGCACGCCTCCACGACCTCTGCAGGACAACCGTGTGACGATGCACCATACCTTGACGGACGGCGACTACCGCCACTTCGCCGCAATGGCGGCCCACGTCACCGCCGCTCAGGTTGAGGTCCGCGATGCCGAGACCGCACCGGAGAAGATCGACTACGCCCTGCAACAGGCTCTGGTTCACAGCCGTCCTGTCTACATCGAAGTGCCGGATGACATTGTCGACGTGCAGGTTTCGGCAGCGAACCTGACTACTAAGAGTATTGCCCTGCCGATGGCGGTACCGGCGAAACACGAATCGCATGTGTTGGCGCAGGCGCTGGAGCGGATATACGCAGCCAAACAGCCTCTCATCCTGGTCGATGGCGAAACGAGATCACTCGGCCTCGTGGACCAGGTTGAGAAACTTGTGAAATTGACGTCCTGGCCCACGTGGACGACGGTTTTCGGCAAGGGCCTAGTAAATGAGCAGTTGCCAAACGTCTACGGACACTACGCAGCCGACTTGGGAGACCCGCAGTGGAAGGCCTACTTTGACTCGGCCGACCTGATCATCGTATTCGGTCCTCACTACAGCGATACCAACAGCCAGGCGTTCGCCGCAATCCCACGTCCTTCGGTGACTATCTCAGTCACCCACGGTGGCATCCAAGTTGGAAATGACATCTACCGCGACGTATCGCGCAAGTTCGTGGACACCCTCCTGGAACATCTCGATAGCACTAGACTTGCCCGGACTGCTGGTCCACCCATGACCGCGAACACCGCAGACCCGCTCGATCCCGCTGGAACCATCACACAGAAACACTTCTACCGGGTGGTAAATTCGCTCCTCCGGGAAGGAGACCTGGTCCTCACGGAGACGGGCACCGCAGCACACGGCGGCCGTACATTTAAATTGCCTCCTAATACCCGGACCTTTGGCGCCGTGACCTGGTTGTCGATTGGATACATGCTTCCAGCGACGCTGGGCGCCGAACTGGCGCACCGCGAGCGCAACCGAGGCAGCCCTACCCGCTCGCTTCTCTTCATTGGTGACGGTAGCCTGCAGATGACGGTGCAAGAGTTGAGCACTATCATCCAGGAGGACCTCAATGTGATTATCTTCATCATCAATAACGGAGGTTACACGATTGAACGCGCCATCCACGGACGAAGGCAGCCGTACAATGACGTCGCCGTCTGGAAACATCCGTTTGCCTTCAACCTGTTCGGCTACGACGAGGAGCGCAGCAAGAAGAGCACCTTCTCTGCTCGGACATGGGGAGAACTGGACGAGGTTCTGAAGAACCCGCAGATACAGGATGGGACAGGGGTCCGGATGGTCGAAGTTTACATGGACCGCGAGGATGTTGAGGGCGCGCTCTTGCGTCTGATGAAGACGCAGATCTCAAAGGAGAAGCAGTAGTCAGGGGTCTTCACTGGTTATTGCAAGTCTTTTTTCTACCTTACGCCCCGAGGGACTCACTGTTACCTCCACCAAGCCTTCTGTCCTTAGCTCCTGTGTAACGCGGAATAATGCCGACCACCATATAGACATGAATCGCATTGCTGGAAAACAAGATGTTGACTTCCCTCTGTTGGCTACATGAAACGTACTAAGTAGGCATGTCCTCCAGCGATGAGACAGCCTCAAGCAGAGTCATGCGTTCCTGTACATTTTCCCTGGTCAAGCCATCTGCAAGCTCATTGAGGGTGATTGACATAGAACTATCCTCTGCATATGAAGCCATTTCAGATAAGAGTTTCCATAAGCCCAGACATCGTTAGACTGTTGGACTTCAAATGGAAGACTGCAGGGCGAGATTTCATCTCGAATTTCTGGGGCACGCCATTCATATGTAATCCCACCAATGCCACTGATATCAATGACCACAGCGTTTCCACCTGCATCGATAACGACATTTGACGGTTTGATATCCATGTGGGCCATTCCCGCGTGATGCATATGATTCAGTGCAATAGCAATCTGAAGAGCCCACCGTCGCAGTGTAACATCCGTCAAGCGATTCCCTTTCAATACATTGCGCAGAGAGCCGCCCTCGTGGAATTCTAACACAATTCCAACGACAACCTGCGGCTCGTTGCTCAATCTCGAGGTCTTGTAGGGGTTGTCAGACACCGCAATGCCAGCCGCCTGCACGATGTTTGGAACGCCTCGGAAACGATGCAGATTTTCAAGCTCTTTTCGTATGACGTTTGTGTCACGGGGCCGATAGAGAGGTCGATTCACGACTTTGAGTATGTACGGCGTCTTGTCAGTGACATCGAAAACATGGAAAACACCGTCGACTATCTCTGCCTGCTCAGATAGATCGGTCACGTTGATGGGTCGGAAAGAAGGGTATTCAATACAGGACGGATAAACCACTCTCGAGGGGTCTTCTCGGATCCTGTATCCTAGCCTTCCAAGGAAATTTGCAAAAGGCGTAGTGCAGGGCTCCTGACTATCGCGTATCACTAGAGCATTGCGTTTTCCAACTGGCTCCTCGAGGATCAGTTCAGTCACGGTGTCATCAAGGAGAGGAAGCAAAGCGTAATCTATAAGGTTGATAATGTTTTGGTACATTTTGCGTCTTTCACGCTTCGATGGCCTGGATTCGGTGGTGGAGCTGGCCAGTGTGCGACATAGCTCGCCCTTAAAGGTCACTTTTACCCACCATCTAGAGTCTTTTGAATGGTAGATAAGATATTGCGAGCGACTGCTGGGCTCTGGTTTGCCCTCCACGAGGTAGTCCTCATCCTCGCAGTACGATTTGAATTCGATCCGGGTAGGAGACATTAGGGCTGTTGACGAGGGAGTGTTAAGAGAATGACTTTTGCAAGGAAGATAATGTTGGACATGCAGAGGATCCGTAAGCAAGCATGCATGTAAGAAGTTCCCCGCCTCATAACTTCATACAATGGTTTTGAGTATGTACATGATCCTGACTGGCGGTTTAGTGGCCTTCACGTATGACAAGGCCAAGAAGTACACAAATGAGAGAGAACTTTCGGAGGTTAGGCTGGGAGTATTCTGGAACATAGTCGGATTGATATAAACCCAACCTTTGTATTTTAGTTTTTTTCGACTATGTCAGTGAATAGTCTCATCTCTTTTGGCTACTAGGGATCCTTAGACGCCATGCACTGAGCGAGCCATGTCGTGTGAAGTAACCAGAGTTAGCGACAAGGTCATTATCTATCCGTCTCCTCATTATATATGCACAAATAAACCCCAATAAAGCATCTTTTTATCTAAATCATGATACAAAAGCCACTCGCCATGCTATCCGCAGCTCCATCAACGCACCAGCCGTCATGCCTTGACATCCCACGCCCAACCCGCCTTTGCTATCCTCGCAGCTATCGCCGCTAACGCCCCGACAAGAATGGACGTGGCAGCAAATATCTGCGCGTAGAGATAACTCCCCCCAGCGCGGTGGATCAACGCCCCCTCGATCGCAGGCCCCGTCAGCGTCGCAATACTCACAATGCTGAGTATCATGCCCACGCGCGTGCCTGTCTTCTTGATATCCGGGCTCATTGTCGTAATGGACGCGGGGAAGAGGGCCTGCGCCGCGCCACCCACAACCCCATACACGGCCGCAAACGCATACAGCCCGCCCTGCGTCGACACCGGGATCCAGCAGTAGATCAAGACGCTAGAGGCCAGGCTACTGGGGATGAGCGTGTTGAGGCGGCCCAGCACCCTGTCCCCGATGAGGGTGGGCACGATGCGGCCGACGACGCCGACGCCGTTGAGCACGAGCACCAGGTCCTGGGTGTGTTCGATGCCGATGCGGTCGCGGGCAAAGGTGCCGAGGTAGAAGAAGGCAAAGTACAGCCCCCAGAAGTTGAGGAACATGCTCAGGGTGATGAAGACGAAGGGTCGCTCGGTGAAGGCCTCCCAGTCGATCAGGGGGCCGGTGGTGCGGGGCGGCAGACGCGGTCTGAAGAGCACAAGGCCGGGGAGATGGGTGATGAGCATGACGAGGCCGGCGGCGCGCGTCGTCCACGCGAAGCCAATGCTGTGCGTGTACAGCAGCTGGTTGACGACGACGGGGTAGACCATTCCGCCAGTGGCGGCGCCGGACGCAGCCAGGCCGACGGCGAAGGCGCGGTTCTTTTCAAAGTACGAGGACATGACGGACAGCCCCGGGGTGAAGACGAGGCCGTTCCCCAGCCCCATGCAGACGGCCTGCGCCAGGAACACCTGCCAGTATGTTTTGCAGAGCGAGAGCATGAAGATGCCGACGAGTTGCAGGAGCACGCCGGCCATGTACACGGGGCGGAAGTAGCCAGCGTCGGTGGCGCGGCCAGCCAGGACGCCAATGAAAAAGAGGAGGAAGACTTGCACGCTGCCTATCCAGGAGATCTCCGAGGCGGACTGTGTGAAGGATGCGGTGTATAGCTGCTGGTACACGGAGAAGCTGTTGCTGACGCCCCATGTGTTGAAGAAGACGAAGTGCATGCAAAGGACTTGAGTCCACGCGCGAGAGCCTCCATCGGGGGGTAGTGATAGAGAGAAGTCTGATCCGTGAGAGATTGAAGCCACTCTCGTATTCGACGGCATGTTCGAGTTGTAGTATGGGGGAAGATTAGAAGAATCTGCATGGCGTGAAGGGAGGAGATCCAGGAAGCTTATATATGTCCCTCTGGAGTGTCTGAGTGGATTTCAATTTGGAGTCATCCTGTTAGCTGCTTTTCAAGATATTAGATCGGCAAATGTCCATGTGTTCCAACCACGGATTCGGCTGACGGATGTAGATTTTACGTATACAGAAGTTGTGTAGTTACTGCTGGGACCTCGTATACGGACATTGGTACAACATTAAAGGTAAACATGACTTCTCGCTTGTTCAAATCTCCTTTTTGAAGCCACATCTCAAAATCTACACCCATTACTTGCACATTGTTCACTTCCACGCCCTGTGTCACTGCAACTCCGCTATACCCGTTCTTCCGCAATACCCGCAGTACCCGCTCTACTCCCGCAATAAGCACTCGCATATTATGGGATTTCCCCATCTTGAGTCATCCTGCTCGGGGCAAATGTTGGAGAGTATCAAATAGGCTGCCATGACTCGGCATTTGCCGAAAGTTGATGCTTATTGGAGCGGTCACTGGTATAAAAGTCGGGGAAATATGAAGATATATCACTAATCTCATGTATCACTTTAGCCACTATGAACAACGTTTATAAGGATTTCCATCTTGATAGATATGTTGTTCCGTAAGAGCTGTAGCTTCAGTCCAATCTTCTATCAGCGGTGTTGGGGTTGATGTCGCCAGCCACATATACAGGAAAGTGGAATGTAATTGGGCTATGTCTGTCCCTAGCATGGGTGCCCTCCTGCGGGACTGTAAGGTCGAAAGAGATGAGCAATAGAGACACGCAGGCATCTGGGTCTTGTAGCCTTGTTGCGTGGGTGAACGGGTTGGTTGATAAGGGAGTGATGTTAAGGGTGCCCGGGGATATCATGATCGTACAGGATAACTGGGAAACGACACGATGTCCCCAAGGGACTCGGAGAGACTGTGTTGTGTCGTGTAGGATTTGGGTCTCGCCAGGAATCAAGATGAGAGACTCCGAGTCTGCACAGTCCAGCTGGACAGACTCGAGGGAACTGCAGATACTGCTCCTTTCTCGGAGATGCGTACAGTTGCCACTTGGTGACTTGTTTACCCTGAACTCGCGCAATAGGGTGGTAGGCGGCTCCAGAGCTATATACTCCAGAGCTATATATCTTTATTGGGGCTTAGAGCGATACTAGAAACTCGGTGTGGACCTATCTTTAGTTACTATTCTCATGTTGTCGGGGCTTGGATGCTGGGGTTGGATGAACTGGCCCTAATATATACTCCTTATCGGGAGGATTAGGCAAGTAGGTATGTATTCTCTAACTATATCGTGTTTACCTTCATTTTTGTCCTTGCCGCTTTCGCTATTAGTTCTAGATTAACATGTCTGTCTACTTATAGAAGCTGTTAAATCTTACTCTGTTAGTTAGGCTATAAACATGGTGTAAATCAGATCGAGAAGAATTCTTTCATACAATGCAAGAGTTGGCCAAACTCTTCAACAAGCTTTTGCTGTTAATCTTGACTATGTAGATTAGATGTTCGCCTCTCGTTAGCCAAAAGGCCTAGTACTAAACGAGGACAGACCGAGCCTAATGGTAGATAATACCCGGATCATTTCGAATAGAATATTCCTTTAGACCCTACATGCGAAGCTAGGTTGAACGTGAAGTGCAAGCCTGCTCCGCGACACTTGTCGCACCAAACTGTGCCCGCGTGAGAATCCTGGTAATTATAGCGTTGGTTTTCGAAGGGACATCCCAATCCCAACCCATGACTGATGCCCCCGAATGGACGGGGGTGTAGACCACGCCAAATTCGTTGGCGTGGGAGCTGTGAACGATCTGCAGCAGCAGAAGACTTTACCACTTTATTTTGCCTGACAGGACGAGCTTGAGATTAAGTTGAGGACTGTCACGCTACTTCAAATCATCCAAAAGACTGCGCGTGCTACGATCCAAATCAGTCAGAATGCAGCATTGGGTTTGATATAAGGTTCCAGGAGGGGTAATCAGTCACACTCATGCATCCACTGCAGTCATTCAGCCAACGATTCTAGCCGTGCATGAGGTGGAGAAGATCAAAGGGGACTAGTGCTCAACACACTCGTCAATAATGATCCAGCCAAGATGTTGTAGCGAGACAAGCGCGGTGAAAAGCTCCGGGATAAGCAACCTGCAAGGAAGACCTTGAGAGGTGGACTTGATCATCGTCAGATTTGCTTTTGATACTCCCGACTGCGTGGGATGGGCATGCCGTATCCACTCTTTTTGAGTATACTAATGTCTGATGGAATGACACATGCATGTAGTTGGTCGGATGGCATGTCCCTGGACGATCGATCTGTAGGGTCTGTACTGTAGAAGTGGGGAGATTCTACTCTGTAGCTGGATGGATTGATTCTCTTACTTTGTATTCTGCTACCTGCTACGGAGTATCTCTGCGGATTACCCCTGTGCCCAGTAGGTGGGGGATGACGTAGCAGCGGTGCGAGCGCATTCTGTAGTAATCAGTAAGGTACCTAAGGTATCGACTCTGGTAATCGTATGAACAATGGCATTGTTGTATTCTGTTTGGTACGAGAATAACGGGTATGGGATGTAACGGAGACTCCACCGTCGGCTTTCTCCCGACATCGGTGACAATCAATCATCTCACTGACCAGGAGGAGGTGGACAGAAATACAAGAAATAAGAAATACAGAATACAATAAATGCGCAAGTAATGTCAGGATTCCACGTGCGTGCATCTCGACAGATCTGATGCCTACTAGGGAGCTACCAGATAGAAAAGTCCTGCTTGTATGCCTATTAGTACAGTACAGATGAGATCCGATTATCACGATCAGATATGATTGATACCGAGGGGAACCATGGATCCATCTGCCCATTTTCCCATTTTTTCCGAGCGAGAAAAACTCGAGAGGCGAAAACGGCATGAAGAGAGCCGTCGCGATGGATCCGCTTGCTCTTTCGTCATCCCATCAGATAATTTTAGTCTCTTTTTCTGCCAGAGACTAACTATTATTTAATTTTTTTTTTCTATTTTCTTTTATTTCTTTTATTTCTCTTATTTCTCTTATTTCTTTTGATTTTCGACCTGCTTCTCCTATTTAGAGCTTCGGGTCCCTACATGTGAACTCTCCACCTTCTCTTCTCTTCTCTTCTTCTTCACCATCCTCTTCTTCCCTCCTCCTCCTCCTCCCCATGCAGTCGGTCCAGCACAAGCCCACCGGCTCCCAGAGCTATCGCACCATGTCCGCTCACAGAGCCCCCTCCCGTCTGAAACCAGCCCATCAGGATGAGATGCACGATCTGCTCTGTGTAGGTTTCGGGCCCGCCTCGCTCGCCATCGCAACGGCGCTCCACGATGCTCTGGATCCCTGCCTCAACAAGTCCGGCGTGCCCGCCGGCTGGCAGCCCAAGGTCGCCTTTATCGAGCGCCAGAAGCAGTTCGCCTGGCACTCGGGCATGCTGGTGCCCGGCTCCAAGATGCAGATCTCCTTCATCAAGGACCTCGCCACGCTCCGCGACCCCCGCAGTAGCTTCACCTTCCTGAACTACCTGCACCAGAAAGACCGCCTCATCCACTTCACCAACCTGAGCACCTTTCTGCCCGCCCGCGTCGAGTTCGAGGACTACATGCGCTGGTGCGCCGCCCACTTTGCCGACCTCGTCGCCTACGGCGAGGAGGTCGTCGACGTGCGCCCTGGCAAGTCGGACCCGGCCGGCGCGGTCGTCGACTACTTCACGGTGACGTCGCGGAATGTCGAGACCGGCGAGCTCACCACCCGCCACGCCCGGAAAGTGGTGCTGGCGCTCGGCGGCCGCGCAAAGCTCCCGGACGGCCTGCCCCGCGACCCCCGCATCCTGCACTCCTCGCAGTACTGCACGGCCCTGCCCGCCCTGCTGCCGCACGACCGCGCGCCCTACAACATCGCCGTGCTGGGGTCCGGCCAGTCCGCCGCCGAGATCTTCCACGACCTGCAGAAGCGGTATCCCAACGCCCGCACGACTCTCATCATGCGCGACACGGCCATGCGGCCCAGCGACGACTCCCCATTGTACGTTTTTCTGTTCTTTAATTTCCCCCATCATCAAGACATCCGCTAACAACTTGTCTTCAGTGTAAATGAAGTCTTCAACCCCGAGCGGGTCGACAAATTCTACCAGCTCACCCCGGCCGAGCGCCAGCGCTCCCTGGCCGCCAACAAAGCCACCAACTACAGCGTCGTGCGGCTCGAGCTGATCGAGGACATCTACAACACCATGTACCTGCAGCGCGTGCGCACGCCCGACGAGACGCAGTGGCAGCACCGCATCCTGTCCGGCCGCAAGATCACGCGCGTCGAGCACCACGCCCGCGACCGCCGCATGCGCCTGCACATCAAGCCCGCCAAGGACGCCGCCGGCGACGCCAAGGAGGTCCTCGAGGTCGACGCCCTGATGGTCGCGACGGGCTACGTGCGCAACGCCCACGAGTCGCTGCTCCAGCACGTCCAGCACCTGCGGCCCGCCGGCCAGGAGGTCTGGACGCCACACCGCGACTACCGCGTGCAGATGGACGCCGCCAAGGTCAGTGGACAGGCGGGCATCTGGTTGCAGGGGTGTAATGAGCAGACGCACGGGCTGAGTGATAGTCTTTTGTCGGTGCTGGCGGCGCGCGGCGGGGAGATGGTCGCTTCGTTGTTTGGGGAGGAGTTGGCGGGCGCGGCGGTGCCGGACACCCGGGTGCGCGCGATGCTGTAGGGGGAAAATTTGTATTGATTACGGAGTATATTATACTATATTATTGCTGAGTTGATCAGATACCGTTTTGATTCTTTAGAGGATTCAGTATGCAGGCATTTGCATGAGTATACGATAGCTGAGGTAGGACCTCCGGTACCTAGGTATCTAGGTAGCTAAGGTAGGTACTGTAGGTACAGTAGGTAGAGAGATCGATTATCAGATCAGATTCTTTATCAGATGGCGCCACACCACCAAAAGGGAAACATGGAGTCTCGCTTCCTCTCGCCTAGGCCCTACCGAATACACTAGCCCAGCCTCCACTGCAATTTCTGCAGCCCCACTCGTTATCTGATGATCTGACGAAGCCTGAGTACTAGGTCGGTTATGTCCCTAGGAGTAGGTATGTATTCTTCTCAATTGAGAACAGTGGATGTCTACTTAATGCAATGCATTCCTAAAGTCCAGCTACAACACAACAGAAAGAATCAAGATAATGATCTAATCACTGATTGATAATCCCGCCAAGCCCCCAACCACCCGCACTAACCGCAACAAGAATCCCGGCCAGGCGGAGTCCTGAATAAAAACCCCCGAAACCTGCAACCTGCATGTCTTGGCCCGATTCCAGTTCCTCCCTAGGTAGTACTCATATCCTAATACGATTGAATAAGAAAAAAGAAAGCGACAGAGAAAAACAAAGAATATCCCGCAACGGAGTCCGCCCCAAAATCAGCCCACTCGGCTCTCCCCTCCACTCTGGGTTGGCAACTTGGCTGGTCCGATGCTATATTGCTGATCGTAGTCTTTTCTAGCCCGAACCTAATGCCTGCCTAGGTTGGGACGGAGTTTCCATTATGTACTGGTTTTCGTGCAATTTCCACTGGTTAGCTGAGTCTGTGGTCTGATCGGCTCAGGGGGAGTTTCAGGGTCTGCTGCCGCGTAACTACTACGGAGTAACTACAGTCTGCAGAAAGATTGTGAGAAGTAGGCTGGGTAGGGCTGTAGATCTTCAGGCCCCCTGACACTATGCGCAACTATGCAGGGACCAGAACCATGTCGACTGTCTACTACCTACGGAGTGTATTGTACCTGCGGTGTGACTGAGATGTCTCACGGCCAGAGATTGATAACCAGCTTCCGAGATAAGATCCTAGCGCCCCATCCGCTTCCGCTTCTCCTGGTTCCGGCGGTCAAGGCCTTGCGACATCGGATGTTTCGGTATATACCTTACCGTCGTAGTAAAAGAAAGTATTGTACATCGTATTACTGTGTACTTACTCCACGTACCTAAGGTACATACAGTACACAAGGCTGCCTCAATATCTACTATTACCTAGGTATACTACCATACAACCACCGGCTCTATCCTCGCTATATCATGCAAAAGATCATGTCATCCGCGTCGTTATCCCCCATGCCAATCCCACCCCCATCACTAACTACACCGGCTCGTCTCCCGCCAGGCTGTGATACGCACCGCCCCGATGCATCCGCGACGGCACCTCGTACATCCGCGTGTAGTTGACCACCTCGCCGCCGAGCATCGCCGCACCAGGCTCGCGGCGTCCAAACACCGGCGCCGGGTCGCACCAGAAATCCCGACAGTTCGTGACCACGCCTCGGGACCAGGGGTTGCGCGGACGGGCCGCACCGCCGGGCCCGTCGCGCAGGCCGTCGCGCGCTGTCGCGAAGAACGTGTCGATGCCCAGCAGCGACGACCACTGCTTGAGACAGCCGTGTTTGCGGTGGCGATGCGGGCCGCCTCGGCCCACGGCTGGGTTGGGCCCCTGGCCGGACGCGGACAGCCCTGCGGCGTCGAGCGAGGTCGTGCCCGCCGTCATGGCGGAGGCGAACGCCCGCGAGCTCGGGTAGCCCCGGTCGATCGAGTGGCCGCGCATGTTCTCGTACGTCGTCTGGTTGCGCGAGATTTGCACCAGCTGCACGGCGCAGAGCATCGTAACCCAGACCAGCTGAATGACAACCCACACGTCCAGGACCAGAGTGAACGTGTCCCTGAGCACGTAGCCGCAGAGCGTATCGTTGATCACGTTGCATTGGGGGTTGGCGGGGGCGGGCAGGACGTTGATGTCTGGATATGTGAGAAGAGTGTCAAATTGCGGCATGGGGGAACTCACAGTTAAAGGTAAGCTGGATAAACAGGATGATGCCGACTTCGAGACAGACAATGTATAGGACAAAATGGCGCAGGTTGTTGGCGCCAACACAGTTATCGATCCAAGGACAATGACTGCAGAGGTTAGCTTGATCGGACAGCGGACCAGGCATTACTTACTGGTCATGCTTCGCCACGCAGCGCCCGCAACGCTTGCAATGTTTGCTCCGCAGCGGCTTCCGGACCATGCAGGACACGCAGAAATTCTCCTCGTCAAACTTCCATTCCTGGAACAGATCCGAGATGACCGCCCGCTGCTGGTTCCGGCTGCCGAGCTTGGGCACGAAGCCCGGGTCTCCAATCATCGCAAAGATGTAAAAGTACGTCGTCAGACAATAAAACAGCACGAAGAAGAAATTCAAAAAGGGCGACGTCGAGTACGTCGCGGGCATCACATGCAGGACGTATCGGACACCGACCCAGAACAAAGAACCAGCAAAGACGCCAGCAAGATACGGCTGCAATAGTCAGTTAGCGGTAACACATACCAACGTCACGGGCACATACAGTTTTTTGAAGGATCCGGTACTCAGAAGGCCCTTTACTGGCGATCTTCTGAGCCACCCATTGCAGTCCAAACAGCGCCACAAGCGTGATCGGGATCGCAGCGTAGATCACCATGTTGCTGAGGATCCACACGGCGACAAACACCATCATGAAAGGCCACAGGAAAAAGAACTTGGACATGACGCTCTTGTTCCGCACCCAGGATCCCATTCCCATCGGGAGGACCTTTGCATTCCCGTCGAAATCATACCCACACTCGTCCAGAGCACGGTACCACGCCCGCGTGGTGTTCATCTCTCCCGCCACGACCGCAGGCGTCTTGCCATCACTCGTCTTAGCGAACCGATCCCCGCCGTACTCCAAAATCTTCAGGACACACGGCAGCGACCCCTTGACCAGCGCCCAGTGGAGCGGCGCGAGCCCACCATCATCCACGGCGTTCGGGTTGGCGCCCCAACGCAAGAACAGATCCACGCACGCCGGATACCCCTTGTAGGCCGCCCACATCAGCCCCGTATGGCCCTGCTGGTCGGGAACGTCGACGGGGATCTCCTGGTGCAGGAGGAGGACGAGGAGGAAGGCGTTGCCGTCGATGGTGGCCAGATGGAGGATGTTGTAGCCTTGGACGTCGGTCAGGAGCGGATCGGCGCCGTGCTGCAGGAGAAGATGGACGATATAGTAGTGACACCGCTGTGCTGCCCACATGGCCGGTGTGGCCACGGACTCTCCTCCTTTCGCGTTGACGTCGGCTCCGCAGTCGAGCAGGAACTTGCACATCGCATACTGGTTGTTGATCGCAGCCCACTAAACGCCGTCAGTATACCCCATACACTCATAAGCGGAAGGGGAACCCTCCGCAGCTGAAAACGCACATGTAATGGAGTAATCCCCTCTTCGTCCGTGTAGGTCGCCGTAAACTTCTTCTCGTCGAACAGTCTCTGCATCGCCGCGACCTCCCCTATCCGGGCCACCTGCATGATATCCTCGCCGAGGGGAATCGATCCCTTGACACCTCCGCGCTCCGGTTTCATTGTCTTGAGTTCGACGCTGGCGTCTTCGTCGCTCGTCTGGGGCGTACCCTTTCCACTGGTTGCGGACGGAGGACTCGACCCCAGACCGGCGGTGCCACCGCGCGGCGGATCGGAGGGAGACCCGGAAGACATGCTGTCTGTACTCCGGGGAATCGAGGGAGGTGTGTATCGCTGGATGGGAGACTAGAAAAAAGGACAGGTGACGAGAGACGAGGACTGGAGAAAGATTCGGCGGCTGACGATTCGCGGTCGATCTAACACATTGCGCGGCACAGACAATTCGGCAATCCGCAAGTCGATCGTGTTCCCGAAAGGGGGCGTCCCTCGTCACTCCTAACAGAGGATAGGAGGGAAAAGAAGGAAAAGAAGGAAAAAAGGGGAAGTCAAGCGCAAGAGTGATAGAAGGTGAAAGGGTTAAGAAGTTGTAGGCTACATTTTACCTTTTCTTCGTGCAGCGCGCTTTGGCCGCTCCGGATTCACGCTCGGCACGAACCAGCTAACTATCGGCCACGTTCTCACAGGCTGTCTATCCCATGGTTCTACAGCTGGAAATCTGACTGAGAATTACTATATTCGATCACTTCGAATCCTGAATACTCTGACTCTAAGACCAACCACGTTGCCAGGACACTACACTTCCAACTGTCATATTGGTAAACGCTGATTATTCAGCCGCACGCGATCAGGCAACCGCATTTCCATCCCCATCCCCGAGAACGATTCCAAGATATCGCGTCTGTTCAGACAGCATGCGGGCATCCACCCGCAGCTCAAAGTCCACCAGGAAGCAAAAACTAATCTCGAGGCGCGACAGTTCGCGCTCCGTCACGCCACCCACCTTGGCAACGCGGCTGTGCGGGTAGCTGAGGTCCTCCACGGCCTTCATGGCGACGCGCAGGCCCGCCAGCAGCAGCCGGTGCACGTTGCGCGGGTTCGGCCGAATCACCCGGTCGATCGTGACCATCCGCGTGAGGTAGAGGCTCGTCGCGAGGTAGACCGCCGTAGACATGGGACAGTACTTGTGCAGGCGCAGGAGGTAGTTCTTCAGGGTGATCGGGGGCTCGCGCTTGGAGAGAAACCGCTTCGACAGAAAGCCCTGCTGTAGACGGTCGTGTCCTGGATCCTCCGTGCTCTCCGGCCCGAAATGCAACTCCGTCACCCGCAACGAGGGTGTGACTTCCCCGCTGGACACGCTGTCGCTGCGGGAGCGCACTGGAGGGGAAGAGGCATCTTCAGGAACCTCCTCGTTCGACGTGACGAGGGTTTCGACGTGCGCGCACAGTAGATCCAGCGCCGTCGCTGGAGGCATTTCCCCTATCTTGATAGCTGGGTTTTGCCCGTTTTCTCCTGCGGCCGATCCCCCTGGTGTCTGGGTACTTTCTCTGGATGGACTTCCCACATGCTCGATTCGTTCCGAGCTAGTCATCGTGACCGGTCGTGTATCGGCGATAACGCGAGCGCACGAACGTCTGTTGGCACCGGAGCCTCCCAGTGACATGAACCTCAGATGAGATTAGCATTGTAGGACCAAGCCCGGTGTGTAGACGATGTTGAACGGCGGATCGTGGTAGGATGTGAATTGATGATTGGATTGAGGATGGAATATTCGAGCAGCACGGTGGTGGTTCGAATCGATCGAGACCGGGGATGCGCAAGGCCAGATAAGCTGCAGTGCGGTCAACACTCCACTTCTGGTGGTATCAGGATGTCAACAATACACGAGCACAAAAGAGCATCTCTCATCTCAAGCGGTGTAACCAAGTCAACTGTTCCAGCCTCCCCGGTGTAGATGGAAAGGGGGGCAGGTCATGGTGAGAGAGTGTGGAGGGGAAGAAAATCGTTGGGCGCAGACAGACGATCGAGATAAGCTTCTCCGTTCCTTGTTTGCTCCACTGCGGCATGCAACTGGCCGTCATATTACTTACTGCCTGATATCTGATATTCTATTACAATCCATACATCTACATAAACGCCATTCAATCCTCCTTATCCACCGTCAACGCCAGAAACCCTGGTACACCCTTGTAACCCACAATACAATAAACGCCTTGTCATGCATGTCATATGCTACTGCCAACGTCCATCCCGCTGTTGGGGGCTCCTCTCATAGACGATTCTCTCGCTCCCCGACCGGGTCAATCGAGATCGCTCGGATGATCTCCAAGGCATCGAGACGCCATGGAGAAACCCCTCGCGCGTTCTTCGTCGGCGGCCCTCTTCCACCACCGACTGCCCTTGTTGTGCGATCTCACGATTGCCCACTTGGATGATTCGGGGTCGTAGACGGTTCGACCGGGGCGGAGGGGACGTCCTGGCTGTCGCGGGTCTTCTCACCACAACCGGCGATGGCCCCCTTCTGAATGATGAGTGACGGTCACGACACAGACTGCGATCGATATGCACATACCTCCGGGTGGTGCTTGGAGCGGGGCCCTGACTCCGACCGGACGTCTCGGGACCAGGAGACCGGTTTCTCGCACGGTTCTCGTTGAACTCAACATCAGGTGCGAAGCGTACCTGGCGCACTACCGGGCTACGATTCCGCTGGCGCCCTCGGCTAGTAGAGCGGTCGTTGTGGATTTCAACCGTCGGCCGTCGCCGAGGCCGCTCACGCTCCGGACTTGGTGTCCGCACTCTGGGTAGACGGATTCTCCGTATCGGTTGAATTGCGATCGTGCCCGATTCATCAACTGCAGGTGTGTCTGTGTCCCCTTCGGGCTCTCTGGTCTCCACGCTCCGACTCCTCCGTGGTGAGATCGACTGGATCCGCAGAGAGCTGCTTCTTCTCTGTAGCGATCTGATTTGGACATCCCGCGGTGGATCCACGATGAATGGACGAGGTGATCGGCCCCGACCTCTGGGTCTGGATGTTCCCGTCTCGTCCTCCCGTCGTGACACCCTCCTGAGAAACGGGAAGCCGAATCTCAGTGGTCGACTGCGCACGGGGGATGACGAGAGAGAGATGGACGAGAGGCTTCGCCGTGGGCGTGGTTCGATGACTGGAGATTGCGGAGGCGCCATGGTGCGTGAGCTTCGCGGGCGTGCGTATCGAATGTACTGGAGATCGATGGGTTCTTGCGCGCGACGCTGCCGGGAGGGTTCGAGACTGACGGGGAAGATTCGTACGCGGATTGTATTTCTTGTGCGTATTTCCATGGAATCTGTGCTGCTGGACCTTCCGGTCAGGCACATCGTCTTGCCTCACGCCTGTGTCTGGATTGTTGCCCTTCTCGGGCTGCACGGTGCTAGAGTTACGTTGCAGGTTGGGTATTGCGCCGCTCAAACGGCTCAGTGGAGCAATATATAGATTTGAACTGTCGCAGGAACAATGAGTTCTATTTCGAAACAGAGTCGTCGTCGAACAAAGAGCCGGCCAACAACGTCTCGACATACTAATATAAACAACAAAGGCGCAATCCGGTACCTTGCTGCGGCCCGCATATAAACCAGCCGGGGGATCAAACAGACAAAGTCAGTGACCACCGGCATGTGGTGGCAGTCATGGGTGCGCCGCGCCTGATTGGAGTGGAATCCGAGGGCGTGCAGAACAAAGGCATAATAGTCAAGGACACTCTTTGTTGTGATTGTTTCACGGGACAAAGAATAAGATTCGACAGGCGGCTGAGGGCTTTCTTTTAAAGAACTGCAAGCGGAGGAGGTCCATGATGGTATTTTCCAGGATCGCATTGTATGCAGACCGTCCACTGCGGCCCACCAGATCCATTGGCGGATCGCGCTTGATGGAAATTTTTTTCTTCTTTGCGCCTGCATGAAGACCTGCAGCTGAACCAACACTCTGGGCACAAAGTAGCTCCCGATGACTATTTGGGCGGAAGCCTTGGTGCACATGGTGGCCTTCGGAGGTGTGGCTGCTCCTCGGTCACAGGGCGCATTTCAAGTCAGCCGGGCAGCGCACACAAAGACGGCCGCCGTCGCGGACAGATGACATCACCCCATGGATTCCCGCTTGTCTGCCGACTTCCTAGTTGAAACCATGTCGGAATCGAGAGAAGAGCCTCACCCTAACCTGCAGGGACGCGGGAAGAAGCGTTGGACAACGTGCGCTTTCAATAGACTTGCAGGGTTCCTGAGTGTGGCTTAAGCTCGTCGTAGGCAGCATTATTTCGTTGACAGGATGACTGAGACATTGCCACACAACATGACAGGGTTGGTCTGCCTTACCAGCCATGTGGACAGAAGCGACGCAGGTGTGGATGAGTGGGTGTGTTGATAATGATGGTGGTGGTGATGATGATAGCGGTGACTGCGGCTGTGTGGCGCAGAACGACCTCCTGCACCAGCCACAATCACCGACGAATCATCGCGTTAGATACCCGAGGTGAGAGACGAAAACAAGGAATTCTTCTTCTGTCCTGGTGAGGACTTCTTTGCGGTTCCATCGACCGGACTGGGATGACTCAACCATCATCGACCGTTCATCGCCCGTCTCAATATTCACCCTCATCCAACCGTGGCCGCGGGACTATAAAGTCACCTCACCTGGACCAGAATATGCTACCGTCAAGGACAATATATTAGGCCTGGCGACCAGTGCCCGAAGTGAGTGTAAGTTTGTGCGAGTGAATACTGCCTTGGGTGCACCGTCGAGCACCGTAATTACATCTAGAGAACACGAGGCACTGTCCACATACCTAACTCATCTACTGGAGGAGAATGCACAATTTACATGACCCTTTAGTTCGATTCCCACAACAATTCTACTTTTCTAACTTCCAGATCCACAGGACCAAGGCACTGCTCGCGATCATCCTCTAACCAACCTTAGGATACTGGCTACTACTTTCTGAAAGGAACCGCCTCCGGCAGAGAAGCAGGAGTATCCTTCCGGGCATGCGAGGAGATCAAATGCTCGAACGAAGCAGCTCCCTCGACACGGGGGTTGAACGGCTCAAAGTCCCACAGGTATCCCAGAGTGCGGAGGATGGAAGTGGCGGAGTACGAGACGGTCTGGCCCTTGGCGTTGGTGCCCTTCTGCTCGACAAATCCCTTGCTGACCCAGGGAGAGATCAGCAGCGTGGGGATGCGGCCACCCAAACGGTCGAACGGGAAAGTGTAGTTCTGGCCGTTGGGGGTGGCAAGAGTGAAAGTCAAGTTGTCGGGACGAGGAGCAAGCGGGGGAGGGACGTGGTCGTGAAATCCGCCGCTCTCATCAAAGGACAAAATGAACAGAGTGTTGTTCCATTGCGGTCCCGAGCGGAGAGCCTCGTAGACACCCTTGATGAGGGCTTCGCCATCGGAGATCAGACCACTTGGGTGCATCGAGTTGGTGCCCACGCCGCAGCACGAGGGATTGATGTACGTTAGCTCGGGCAGCTTGCCCGCTGCGGCATCAGTGTAGAAGTTGGCCAACGGCTGGATCTTGTCCTGGTTGTTGGTCTCGTAGGTCCAGCTGAAGTAGCCGGCGTCAGGGCCTGTGCCACCCTTCGGATCGACGTAGTTGATCCAGGAATGACCCGTCTCGGTCAACTGCTGGAAGATGGAGCGCTGCGGGAACTCGTGATTGTCGAAGGCCGCGTCATTGAGACCGTGGCCGTAGGAGGTGCCAGAAACCAGCGCGGCACGGTTGGGATTGGTGTTCTTCGCGAATATGTCAGAAAAGCACGCCACGTAACGAAAGGTAACTTACACCAGGAATATCCGAGTGCCAGTGGTTGAAGGTCAGGTAGTTCTGAACCAGAGTAGTGAGGACGGGCACTTGTTCCTCCGTGTAGTAGTGCATAACCTGGGTGGCCAACTCGGTTTTGTTGGCCTTCTTCTGGTACAGGCGCATCTGTTCATGGACGAATCCCTGCTGAGTGGGAGTCAACTGGCCTGACGCAATGGCATTGTTGTCCGGTGTGAATTCGCCGTAAAACTCAAAGTTGTTGCCGTAGATGGCGTGATCCGGGTCATTCAGAATCGAGTCAAAGTCCTTAGCCGCGCTGCACGCGAGCCCCTGAGAGGGGTCGGTGATGTTAAACGGGTTGCAGAAGGGCCCGTTGTTAACGGGGTTCTCCAAGCCCGGGATCGTCTGGCCACCAAGAAGGTTGTCCAGGGAGCGGTTCTCCATCACCAGAATGACCACATTCTTGATGTGGGACTTGAGGTTCTTGATATCCGCGGGCCCATGATTGCCCCTACCCGGGAGGGCAGAGGCGGCGGCAGTAAAGGCCAGGAGACCAAGAAGAGCACTGGGATGCATCTTGATTCACGGACTTGACAAGCGGAGGAGAAACTGAAGATGGTGGCCCATGGATTGGAAGCAGTGTCGGGGGATGATGCCCATTCTTATACACCTCATGGTAATTTCGGGGCGACCCAGACTGTTTCGCTGCATGAGCCCACGTGCTGGTGTCTGGATATCTCCATGGAACATTCTCCGGTCCTGCAGGCCTCGCTTGGAAGCATTGCAGGGCTGAGGGCCAGGTCTGTCGGAAACCCGACCACATCTTGCGATCTCCACGACGGATCTCCAATGAGAGGGATGTGCCACTGCACGGGGGTTGCACTAAAGAGACCAGGATCATGCAGCGATAATGGGCTGCTGCGGGGTTGTGATGTTATCGTTCCACGGAGGTGACCATGCCGGCTTCGAGAAGGTGTTTGGGATGGTGCCGAGAAAGGACAAGCATCAACAAGCAGCTTACTCCTACTCGGGGAGGACTGAATAATAATCGTAAGGCGGCTGGTTCCGCCCGGAGCAGCCCCCCAAACAGCCACTAATCAGGGGCCTAGCCGCCCCCGTGCTGATCCGTCCGGGTATCATTGGCCCGTGGCTCCCGTGTGGTAATTATTTGTCGTGTTGATAGAAGAATGATGCATCTCTGGCCTGTTCCTGTCGGTGATGCAGTGGGGAAGTATGCTGACGTTGGGATGCTTCAACAGTAATCATTGTCGATTCCGTTTCAGCGTATATCCGCACGACTCCGCTGGAAACTCGAGCAATCCGCGTATCCTCGGGTCTGGGCTGTTCTCCAGGTACATGCAGATGGCGACACACTCTTGTCGAACCCGTCCCTCGACCCACGGCTGCCACTGAGACATGGTACACATCATCCCCATCCACTGCGACAGGATAATCAGTGCGGGCGGGTCTCTCTCTCGGAGCAGGCCAAGAAACCCATGTTCCAGTCGTCCGATAAAGCTTGTGCAGATACTTGCGTTGACGGCTGTTCTCTCTAGGCCGGACAGTCCGGTTATGTACTTCAATGGCGCATAATATAGATTTGTTTGCTCTGTCGTAAAATCATCGACTCCGCAGAGATCAGCCAAGACAGGATCTAAGCCTTCCCGTCCAATATGACCAGAGCAATCGAAGAGTCCCCATTCTTTGCTCGCGGATTCGGCAAAGGCTGTCGCCCATATACTATCGGCGAGGAACGGCTGAGCGAGCTCGATAATGCACCGCACTCCGCTTTGAAGACAGATCCAGTTCATGGCTCCGGGCTTGTTCGTCAGGACCCATGAATCCGTGGGCTCGAACTTCTCCGGACAAATGGAAGTAAGCCCCATGAAGAGGCAGGCTGAGAGAATCGCATCCATATTCTCCCGGGTTAGCTTTGCACTCAGGGCCTTCTGGTACAATCGAATGGCCTGCTGCCAGAAGTGGGCCTCTGCGAGTTGCCGGAGGTGGTTTCCGGGGGAGACCCGGTTTAGGTGAAGAAGGCCGACACCGAGGATCGTGTACATCAAGTATGGGCTCTACCGCTTGTCAGTGTGTGTCGACAGACTTAGTGGGGACGCCTTACACTGAATGCCACCTTTATCATGTCGGTCCGCATCACGTTGCGCATGGACGCGATGGGGGTGTGCTCGGTAGAGTTCTTGATGAAATGCTGCAGGGCTATAGTTGGGATGGAATGAGACGCACCTCGCTCTTTCAGGGTATGCGGCATGATTCCACCACATGGTCCCAAGAGCTCGTAGATCTTGGTTTCCATGTCGGTCAGTGACATGGAGAATGCCATCTGACTTGGTTTCCCTGGAAGCGACAGTGCCTGAGAGTTATCTGTGCTCCTCAGAGATACTTCTAAGGAAGGGTAGGCGCACAGAGCGCCGTATTTTCGGCATCTCAAGCAGGACGGCTTTTGTTCATCACACTGACTTCGTCAGTATCCGGGTCGGCTGGATGAAGAACAGTGCGTACCTTCACTCGCCGTTTTTTGCAGACGAGGCAGCCGGCCCTGGATTTCTTATGGGGTCTGCGCGAATGGTATACATTGGACTCGTCGGGATCGAAGGCTTGAAATACAGTCTGCCATATGTTTCCTTTCTCCGGCCGCAGCGCCATTGAGGCACTCCATGCGGATGAGGTGGACGGTGCCGCCGACATTGCCATCGCTCTAAGATGGAAACAGACACAGAACAATCTCCATATGAAAAATAGAGGCGGCTCCTGGATAGAAGGACGCTAAGAATAGTTAGAGGGTGATCAGTGAGAATCCGGGCTGTGCTGAAGCCAAATACGAGGCTCTCATGTGACTGCGATGGTCCACTTAGTCAGCCGAAGGACTTGTTGTCTTGGATGCATACCTACTTTCTGAATTCAACAAATTTTACAATGCTTATAGTCGCCGATAGTCTGATATAACGAGAGTTGATTTGTATTTTGTATCTCGTGGGATGTAACTTTTTCGGACCAGCGATGTCAAAGGTAAGAACGTCAGTACTGAAGCAGCACTGCTGGTGAACTATAACAGTATTTCGAATGGAAGTGACTGCAGTCCAGTTAAAGTCCCTGACTGATAAATGTATACAAAGTGAGATGTTCTTTGATCTCATTGAAGCCATAAGCTGGGAAGAACCTAAGGTTCGCCACCACGTTGGATACTGTAAATCAAGACGAGCCCATGACAAATCTGATGACAACTGCCTCTTTCCGTCCCAGGGGAACTTTGATATCTTAAGCAAATAGTGTAATAACAAGAGAAAACATTTGATGCTTGTTTGTGAGCGAAATTTGGCGAGGATATCGTCAAGGGCTATCGATAGCCCCGAGATATTGTTCTAGGGATGTGCAATATGGTATATCCTACACATAGATTGACCAGTCTGTCACACAAGTATCTAGGTACCTTTGTAGCTTATAACTATAGCCCCCTGGTTATCTCAGGGGTATCTCATACACCCTTGGTTGAAGTTGTATATACGTACCATGCTACAGACCTTCCGAATTAGGCAACTGTATAACCAATCAGAACACCGTTATATTCTGACGCTACGCCAGAACAGGCAATCCACCAACCAATCAAAAATCCCGTCTATACTTCGACAGAAACATGATATTTTACTACCTACTAAATTCATATAAATATTTATCTGTGATCCAACAGAAGCTGAATTCATCTTTAATTCTGCCTGCCATACAGAACACTCTTCTCTCCAAGATGGTGCACGAACACGACGACGTATTGGAATTTCCAAGCCAGGAGAAGGCGCAAGTCACTACCAGCAACGACATGAATCAAACTGCACTACCAGACCCAGTCACTCCAGAATACCCTTCTGGAATCAAATTGACCTTCATATTCGTGGCTCTATGCTTGACAGTCTTCTTGGTCGCTCTGGTATATACCTACATCTCTACTTCGCCTCAAGGAGGGCCAAAGACAGCATGTATAGCTAACAAAAACCATAACAGGATCAAACCATCATAGCCACCGCCATTCCAACCATCACAACCCAGTTCCACAGCATCCAAGATATCGGCTGGTATGGCAGCGCGTTTCTCCTCGCAACCTGCAGCTTCCAACTCTTCTTCGGCACCCTCTACACCCTGCTCCCGATCAAGTGGACATTTATCAGCGCCCTGGCGACATTCGAAGTCGGTTCCGCGATTTGCGGCGCAAGCCCTAGCTCCGTGGCTCTCATCGTAGGACGCGCGATTGCCGGCATCGGTGGCGCAGGCATCTTCTCCGGCGCGTTGATCATCATCGCCAAGTCGGTGCCCCTCGCGAAGCGCCCGGCTTTCACAGGCATCATCGGCGCTATATGGGGGATAGCGAGTGTGGTTGGGCCGTTGCTGGGAGGTGCATTCACAAGTAAATCCTGACTCTCCCGCCCCGTTCCTTCTTAGTGTGATTAGAACTGACCAGACAGGTCGCGCGTCGTGGCGTTGGTGCTTCTACAGTATGAGAAACCCAGCCTCAGGTAGTTGTACGGTTGAGCTGACTTCACTCCAGTCAACTTGCCGATTGGCGCTATCGCCGTCCCCTGTATCATCCTGTTCCTGCCATCGCCGCCCCGGAGTGAGCGCCTGAAGCAGGGAAGCTGGATGGCCGCGTTTCGCCAGTTCGATCCTGTGGGAACGATCCTCTTCGTCCCGGCTATTATTTGCCTGTTGATTGCGCTCCAGTGGGGAGGGAGCCGGTACCCTTGGAGTGACGGTCGCCAGATTGCGCTGTTGACAGTATTCGGAGTTCTCCTTATTGCCTGGGTGGTGTCACAATGGTGGGGTGGTGAGAATGCGACGTTGCCGCTTCGCATCGTCTCGGAGCGCACGGTGGCCTGCTCGACCTTGTATATTTTCCTCGGCAGTGCGTCGTTTGTCTTGCTGGTGTACTTTTTGCCCATATGGTGGGTTCGAGCCTTTGATATCATTCTCGAGGTATGTCAGGGCTGATCGAGTGAAACAGGTTCCAAGCAATCAAGGGCGACTCTGCTGTTCAGTCGGGAATACATAACCTGCCCACTGTATTGAGTGTTGGTGAGTGTACTCATGTCAGGTACAAATGCTCCGGCACTAATCCAGTGTAGTGGTATTTGCAATTGCAGGCGGCCTAGGAGTCACTGCAGTTGGGTACTACGCCCCATTCATGATTACAGGGTCCATAATAATGGCAATTGGTGCGGGCTTATTTCTCCTGTTTAGAACAGACACACCCTTGTCGATGTGGTATGTAACTGCCCAATAACCCTGCAGTACTCTTCATTCACCTATCCAGGTTGGGATTCCAAATCGTCTTCGGTGCAGGCGCTGGTATCGGACTCGAACTACCCAACATTGCGGTTCAAACAGTCCTTTCCGAGAAGGACGTCTCTATTGGGACATCTTTGGTCGTCTTTGCTCGCTCTCTCGGGGGCGCCATCTTCGTCTCTGCGGGTCAGAGTGTGTTCAACAACCACATTGTCTCTGGGTTGCATGCTCAGGTTCCTCAAGTGGATTCTGCGGTGGTCCTCCAGTCTGGAGCATCCGGTTTGCAGGAGACAATTGGGCAAGTAACTTCAGGTCAGTCGGAGATCGTCACACGGGTACTGGACGTCTACAATGACGCCCTCGTCCAAACCTTTCTTGTCGCTTTGGTTTTGGCTTGTGTCTCCATCCTTGGTGCAGTGGGGGTTGAATGGCGGACCGTGAAGAGTCCTTTCGCGGGACGAGATGCGGAGCAAGACGACTGAAAGTACAATGGCCGGGGAAAGTAATAAATAGTGCATAAAAAGAGGGTGGAACGTGTGTTCCAGGTTCATTTACCTGGAACCAAAAGGAGATAATAGAGCAGTGGATATATCGGTGCCTCAAAATAAATTTTCTTTGGCCATGCCCTAGGAACTGTGTGGAATCATGCTAATTAAGCATCTCAACATTGAAAAACTCCTGAAACCATGTATCAGTTACCACTGTAGGACTGTTTCTACTACTGCTGTTTGAAAGCACAGGAGGTTGGATGACTTCGTCAAATTGACATCCATGTCCATCCGGTGGCGCGACGTTTTCTGGGAGCGTGGCCTCTGCTGCCGACTGCATATCCACCGAGAGATCGTAAATTCTAGCTGTCGGACCGTGTGTTGAAGGGTTCCCTTGTCCGTTGTCGATTGGTAGGTCACTTGGCTTATTTTCCTCCGCTTCTGACGGCCTTCTGAATCGACGGTAGAACCAATCTTTCAGCTGAGAAATGATCAAGAAGGCTCTGCTCAAAGCGCTGCGTTCGTCTTTCGCAAGGAGAGCCCTCGAAATACACTCAAGGGTCTCGAGGTACACCTCTAAGCGTAGGTCTTCAGAACATATAAAACTCTGGCATCCAGTTCCTGGCATCGTGATTGCGGTGTGGATCTTGATCAATATGATGACCGCATATATCACGCGACCACCGTAAATATGCGGCGGCAACGCAAGCATATCTGACACAGATAGCCCAAGAAAAGTATCCAGCAGTCCATGGGCGGCAACCACGATATTGTGAAGCATTGATATGTGGGATTTGGTTGGACCGTGTGTGCCGAAAAAGTTGTATGTCTTCAAAGATTTTGCGGAAAATGGTGCCTTGAATTCCTCAATGTTATGATTCACATGCAAGGTTACCTCATGTGAATACAATGAGCTGGCAAACATGCCAAATCGGATTAGAGCTGTGCGACGGCCGTTAGTCTTTGGATTCCAGGCCGCCATATATTGAAGTTGCTAAGGAGCTTACCGTTCTGCAGTGACTGCATCTGATTGCTGAAAGTCCAGTCATTTCGAGCTTGGAATACTTCTAACATAGCCAATGTTTTTGGGTCCCACAAAGGCACCGAACGGGCTGGGTCGCTTAAGAAGAGCTCTCGATCAATGTCATGGCAAAGACGCTCGGTTGCAATATGCCTGCAAAGAAATTCGTCCGTGTCTGCTATTTGCAACTGGTGGAGATCGGCAAGATAGTCATCCAACTTCACAGTCCAAGGAGTAGTATTTGGCCGTCTCAGGATGATAGAAAGGCTAGACTGGGTCAGTCCCGGGCCCTTCAAGCCGTAGGAAGATGCAGGTACCTTGCAGATAGAAGAAAGCAGCCGAGCCATGCTCGTTGTGCCTCCGCACGATCCCACTTGTCCCGGGCGGTAACAGCTGGCTCTAACATATTAACTCTGTCCAACCCAAGATCTATGGCCATCGTGGTTGCAATATGAGCCAGCTGGTTCAGATTCATCTGCCGGTAGTCATCTGGCGCCCTGTACCAGAGTGAAGTGACCTGAAGCGCTTGGACAAGTTCGAGAGATTTCTCGCCGCGAACAATCGCTCTGTCAGCCAGGTAACCCCTGACATCAACGGCCAGTTGTCGCTGCTCAGCAGCGCTGCAGAATCCAACAGAAGCGATGCCCAGTATAGACAGAAACAGCACCGGCTTATTCTCTCTCACATGCGCGGCGTTCGTTCCTGGTGGAAACACGACAATAGGGCACTTTGGAGCGAAGCTGCTGATGTACTGGTAAAACACTTGCTCTGCCGTTTTGGTGCTGAAGACAGAGTCAATTTTCTGATTAAATTCCTTTTTCTGAGGATCTGATAACAGCTGGGGACCTGCCGCGGTTGATCAGCCGAGCACAGAGCCATACAAAGTGTGCATACTGACGTAGATTGGATTCGGTAAACCCTTCAGAAAAGAATACAGACGGCGGTCTGTCTAGGCTAGGAGCAACATCACCTAACCCTACATTGCTGTGTTCTCGACCAAGGGGATGCGGTATTTCTTTGGCTGATAGGCTTCGGCACTGTTGTGCAGAGTCTTTCGACGGATAAATAGTGCACTCCTTGTTCAACCGCAAGCACCGACGGCATTTGCCCTTTAATCCACTGAGTGGAGATGCACAACGAGCCTTGGAGATTTGGCATGAGATACAGGCAGTTATCCGTCTGGATTCGCCAATTGTGCTGCTCTTTATGTCAGATGCGCCCTTAAATCCAATGAGGTCACCGACCTTTTCGTACAACGAGTTCTTGGGGTCTTTCGATGAAGACGAAGATCGGAGTCTGCCGGATTGTCTTCTATGTTGTCCGCTGGAAGTGCACTGGGTGCTTTTTCGGCTGGAGATTCACCTTGCCACTTTGATGACGCTCTAGGCCTAGCTGCAGCTATTGGAATAGGGGTAGAGCGTTCAGGGGGATGGTCGAGTTTGAATGTTAAAAAGGACATACTCTTGAAATCAGGCTCAATTTGGCCTACATGATCCCACTGGCATGAAATGTCCTGGATGGAAACCCAGACCAGCGGGTTAAGATTCCATTCGGGTATGGCAGCGCAGACATATGACTAAGCGCCCAATACAGAGTGTAGTTAGTGCTTTCAAAAGAATTCTACACAATAAACACCATTGAAAATAGGTATAGTCGTGTTCTATGCCGAAGCCACCCTTCTAAAAACTAGGACCAGGTCTCCAGAAACCTTTCCTGGTTCTTGTCTCGTCGATATAGAGAATCCATGTCGAGTCTCCCAATGCCCTTCTGAATCACCCCTAGTTGCGCTTCCAGTTCAGAGAGTCCCTTCTCGTTATCGACATCGGTGAGCGAGGTCTCCTGGTGCGAATCAGAGTGCAAAGCAGATAAGAGAAGTCTGGTCGCTTGATCGGTGGAAACTGTCTCAGTGACCAAGGGAGAGTCGGCAGCAACACCGAAATTCCGTAGACACTCGAGTAAATGTTGCCGTTTCTCAGCAAGTGCGTTTGCACCACCATCTTTTTCTTCAGACTGGAATACGGATTCGAAAGAAAGGCCGATGCGGCGCAGGAGACTCGCGAGAACATGAGATTCCTGGGATTCGGATAGGAATGCAGGTATGTTCGCTGAAGGTTTCATTGTTTGTTGGATTGACCGCCTCTTTAAGGTATCGCGGCGTGAGCTGGTCTGCTCTAGGAACTGATTGCCTATTTCTGATCGATAAGCGGCGGCGAAAGCCTCAAAGGCCCCGCAGAACGATTCCCGGTCATGCAGAGATTTGGTAAGGAGCTCTGAGGAGGATGTCATCTCAATCATCGCATGGAGTATCTGCAGGTGGTTAGGAGATGTTCCGGTCAAGAGTCTGGTTCATTTCTTACATGGTCAAGTTTCTCGTGGGAGGCGATGCGCATTTGGCCATGGTGGTTTTGGAGCTCACGCAATATCGGCTCACTGAATTGTTGCTTTGTGGAGATTTCCGCCAGGACCTCAATTTCGCTATATAAAGATTCAAGCTCCTCTTCTAAAGCAAGTATCGCTTCATTGTTGACAGCCGACGGTCCACAGTCGGGGTCCTCCTGATTAATGCTCAGATTCTCAAGATACAGCCGGTCGAGTCGGCATTGTATTTCCTCCGCCACGCATTGAGATAAAAGGGCGCCAAGCTCTGAAGTCCGCTTGACGATGGAGGCATCGTCGCCGGTTGGTGTGATTCCGGATGCTACCTTTTCCAGGTCTGCAAGTATTCGGTCGTCCTCTTTTAGTCGGGCGGACAGCAAGGAAAGGATCCTCTTTCCATCTGTTGTTGCTTTTTCAGATTCGTTCTTCATAGCGATATCAAGCTCACGCGCTAAGTCACTGGACTGAGTAGACGTCAGTAAGTGCACACCACTGTGGACTTTGAGGCGCGTACGGCAGCCATTATGGCCTGTCTCCCCGAGTCATGTTTCTGACGGAGTCTCTCTATATCCCGGCTCTGTAATGTAATCATCTCATCCTCCATACGCATATGCTTGTTTATACTCTCGCATTGCGACGTTAGGATCTCGGTTTGTCTCTGGATCGCGGCGGTAGAGGTGTTCAATGCTTCGATGGCTCTCTGGAGATCCTCGTCGAAAAGGGGTCGGGTTGCGTCAAGTTCGGGGTTGTTCAGGATGGAACGTAAGGCACCGGATGATTCTAAAGTGGAATATCTGCGAATGGATCCGATCATTAGACAATGAGATACTTCACTGCTGGAATGAGGCATACAATGTGAGCTCCTCCTGTGATAACAATGGGTCGGGACCAGAGCTTTCAGGGGAATTTTGGCTATTCGCGTCATGATTGCGAGATCGCACAGTAGTGCTTTTCGTGGGATCGACCTTTCGACCTGGAATGCCTGTTCGGCGGGTGTGGGCTGGATTCATGTTGCCGTGGACGGGGTTTGTTTGGGTCGCGGGGAGGTTTCGGAGAAGGTTGTCTCTGACGTTATCGCTCTTCGCGGTTTCTTTCCGCCTGCTCACACATACTCCTACATCATTTCCGGCAGTCTTCATTCCACACCACGAAGATTGAGTGTGTATACAAATACAGACGTTCTATTGATATTCTGCTTGAACGAAATCACAACATAAAAAAAAAAAATGCAATCCGCTGGCCTAATGTGCCGCCTCCAAACTATGCGTGTTCAGAAGCCGCCGCTCCTTCAGCTCCCGCCGCTTCAACAGCGGGATAATACCAAGTGCTGACGGCAATGATGATATAAATCAAGACACACAGGCCTCCTTCGAGGTAGTTGGACTTCCCATCGCGCAGGAAGTTGCCCACAACCAGGATGGACAGCACCAGGAGGACAATCATGAAAATCTCAAAGTTGAGGCCCAACGGCTTGTCCAAACCCCATCCCACAATGACCGCGAGGGGCGCATTCAACAGCGCAGTCTGAATGGACGGACCCAGGCAGTGGAAGAGGGCGAAGTTGATCTGGTTATCCCAGGCTTCGTCGATCGCAGTCAGATGCTCCGCCGCCTTCTCCACGACGGGAACCAGAATCAGACCCATGAAGTTGTCCGACACGTGCCGCTCGTGCACGATGTGCTCGATTTCCTGGACCAGGAACACCGCCGACATACAGACAAAGGTGAGCGCGATTGCGATCGCGATCAGACATTCGGTCATCGTGAGCTTCGTCCGCCGGAGCTCCTCATCGCGGTCTTCATCCATGTGCTCGTCGACCTCGAGGACCTCGTCGAAGATGCTGTGATGACTGTGGAGGTTGTAGAAGAGGTACCTGGTTCATGGGTGAGCTGGTGTGTGTGTTACTACCCTCTCCTGGGCCAACTTACATGAGGAACGCAAATAGCAGAACGACGGCGGTCGCCCGGCTAATGACCAACGTGGATTGGGTCAGAGCCTCCGCGGTGATCTTGGAATCATTCTGCAGGGTGGAGTTGAAAGCACTTGGAATCAAGAGGCCAAACCCGGCTACCAGCAACAGCCCGGTGCCCACCTCGCTCACGGCCTCATGGAACGACTGCGACTCTCTCTTCAGCCCTCCGACAAAGAAACACAAGCCCAGGCAGAGCAGCAAGTTGGCCAGGACCGATCCCAGGATGGCGGCTTGAATGACAGGAATCATGTTACTGTTATTGTCTCTGTGCAGCAGCACCATGAAGAGGATAATCTCGACGACCGAGCTCAAGGTGGTCTCCAACAAGACACCGAACACCTTGGGCAACTTCTTGGCAAGTTCCCCGCCAGCGAAGCCTAACAAGTTCGCCGAGGGGACCATCGCAATATAATTCAGGGCGAAAATCCACACGTGCAGGTCGGGACGAGCGAAATGTAACGCGATCGCGGCGGGCACAAACGGCCAGAGCACGTTGACGAGCATCGACAGAGTACAAGTACTCTTGAAGCAAATTTGGAATAGACGGAGAGGATTCAAACCCCGTCGGCCGCTTTCGCCGGCAGTATTGATGCGGAACAGACCATGGCTCCAATGGGGAGGTTTTTCGTTATGAGTGGGTAGTAAGGAATCGTCGTTCGATTTGGGTCTCTGTTGGCCGGAGGAGAGCAAAGAAGCCCTCTCGGTGCCCTGCGATTTCTCGCGCTGACCAGACGCGTCCTTGGGGGGCGCCGCCATTTGGCCGAGAAGGAGCTGAAATTTTTTACAGGAGTACTCCGGAGTAATCCTATGAGCGTGGAGAGAGTGAGGTTCTGGCCGGCAAAATCACAACAACGAAAGTCACGAGGATTTGACCATCAAAACGATAAACAAACAAAGCCGGAACTTGGGATGTCCACCTGAAAGAACAGAGAGCTCGGAGCTCACGCAAGGAGAAGAAGGCTTCTTATACACGGCACAGTGTTCGGACGCCCTAGAGTGGTGAGCTGGCAGTGGCGTCGCGCAAGCCCCAGATCAACAGCGGCTAGGAAATAAGAACGCATGCTACGGACCGGACACCAGACCTGGGCCGCGCAGGTTTAATTCAACCGGAACATGATTCTACGACCCCTTGAACTAGAATGATTGGGCAAATGACGGCTTGAGCGTTGATTGTCGCAGGCCGTCATTATTTGCACCGGCAGCCCCTGGGATCATTGCACGAAGCCAAACATGAAAGCAGAGGACTGATGAGCATGCGCCGAAGGCTTGGCCCGCCTATGAGGAGCGGATCTAGCGATGGATCCCGATGGCTTGAAACCACTTGGCTCAAGGCTTGTGGAACGGGCAGCGATGCAGAATGAAGACACCATGCAAGAGGGATCTTCCTGGTGTGTCTGTTGAGTTTGAGGCTTATGCGGTCTCTGTATGGCTCGTATGACTTTTGCCATTCAGCTCAGTCTGTCTACTCTGTTCAGCAAGCTTTGTTTGCTTTTCTTGTGCGACTTTTTGGAATCATCCCTCTGGTCTGTGTGGGGAGAATTCGACACGGGATAATCAAACTAGCAGCACAGCCACACTGCTACCATTCCAATGGTCCTCCCTGATCACCCAGTATGGAGTAGACAGCTCGCTAGTCTAATTCCCTGAATCCAGCCAAAGGATTATGCTGGATTTACGGACTGATGGTGAAGGATCTACAGGGACCACCCGAATAGCCATTCATGCTGTACAGAGAAGTAACTAGTAGTATACAACCTCACATTATTCTACCTACCTATATCTATTTCATAGAATATTTCACATTATGCTCTGTATATATATTTTATAGAGACTATCAAAGCCCTATCTATCTCGTACTCCTCAGGCAGATAGCCAAGCATGCTGTGGCGGTTACCGTCGGCAGGGGCAAAACCTCTTACGAGATTTTTTCCTCGGATTGCGACGTCATGGTGAAGGCTCTTCTTCTTTTCTTCTCACACCGAAGAATCCTCGATTCTTCTTCTCTCCCTCGCTGCGCTGATTTCCTGGTGTGCGTCTCCTCAACCTCGACCGCTAGCCTGATCGACAGAACGACGTCACTATGTCCTCCATCACCACCCCTCGCGTCCCTCCGGTGGCCCTGGATACCATCACGCAACACATCGGAAACACCCCGCTGGTGCGTCTCAACCGCCTTCCGCAGAGTCTGGGAATCGAAGCGACCGTTTATGCGAAGCTGGAATACTTCAATGCGGGAGGAAGCGTCAAGGATCGCATTGCCCTGCGCATGATCGAAGAGGCGGAGAAATCCGGGCGCATCAAGCCGGGCGACACGCTGATCGAGCCTACCAGTGGTAACACGTACGTTCACCTCCACCATGTATGAATATTTTCATGCGATTCTAACGTAGGACGAAATACAGCGGTATCGGTCTGGCGTTGGTCGCCGCCGTCAAAGGCTACAAAACGATCATCACCCTCCCGGAGAAGATGTCCGCTGAGAAAGTCGCGGTCCTGCGCGCATTGAACGCGACCATCATCCGTACGCCCAACGAGGCTGCCTACGATTCCCCCGAGTCTCACATCGGTGTCGCCAAGCGGCTCGAAAAGGAGCTGCCCAACGCACACATCCTCGACCAGTACGGAAACGAAAACAACCCATTGGCCCATGAGTTCGGCACCGCCGAGGAGATCTGGACGCAGACCGACGGCAAGATCAAGGCGATCGTCGCCGGTGCGGGCACGGGTGGAACCATCACAGGCTTGGCTCGCGGCCTCAAGAAGCATAACCCCGACGTCAAGGTCATCGCGGCGGATCCGTTTGGCTCGATCCTCGCGCTCCCCGCGGCGCTGAACGAAGAGCATGCGAACGAGCCGTACAAGGTGGAGGGTATTGGTTATGATTTCATTCCTCAAGTCCTGGATCAGAGCGCGGTCGACAAGTGGTACAAGACCGGCGACAAGGAGTCGTTCCAGTACGCGCGACGCCTGATCGCGGAGGAGGGTCTGCTCGTCGGTGGCAGCAGTGGAAGCGCAATCTCCGCGCTGGTGCAGGCCGCGAAAGACAACAGCTTCAGCAAGGATGATGTAGTCGTCGTAGTTCTGCCTGACAGCATCCGAAGCTATTTGACCAAGGTGAGTTCTACGGTTGAGCCGTGTCGACTCTCTGTCCTAACAGTTTACAGTTCGCCGATGACGACTGGCTCGCGGCCAACGGTCTCCTCGCTACTCCGCCCTCCGAGCCGACGACGTCGACCCCGTCGCAGCCCGAGCAGAGAGACGCCTTCGCCGGTTCGAAGGTCAACTCTCTCCGCCTGAAGCCGATCACCACCGTCCGCTCCGACATCCCGTGCGAGAACGCCATTGAGATCATGCGCGACCGCGGATTCGACCAGCTGCCCGTGCTGGCTCCCTCGGGCAAGCGACTCGTCGGCCTCGTCACCCTCGGAAACATCCTGAGCCGACTGACCCACGGCCGCGCGACCGGAAAGAGCCCCGTCTCGGACGTCATGTTCAACTTCAGCAAGATCTCCGAGGTGGTCACCGATCCCCGCGACATGGGGCTGGCCACCACGTCCAAGCAGAACGGCACCGACGCCGTGCGCCCCCAAATCAAGGACCGCAAGTTCGTCGAGATCACCATGGACACGCCCCTCAGCGTCCTGAACCGGTTCTTCGAGTGGAACAGCGCTGCGGTGGTGACCGAGCGGGATGAGCAGGGCGCGTTGAAGCCTCTGGCTGTGGCCACCAAGGTCGATCTGCTCACGTGGATGCTGCACAACAAGCAGAATGGAGCGTAATCATCCTATTCTTGCGCTGGTATGAAACCGTTTGTTTGGCGTTGCTTTCTTTCTTCTGTCGCATACAGGAGTTCAACCTTGTTGGTCTTCTGAGTAGATCGCGCGCATCGAATAGATGAGGCTCAGTATAGATTGGGTTCAACACAATCATGAGACATGGACGGAGTTCTGGATGTTATGTATTTAATGACAAGGGCTATGATTAACCTGTTCTCGTCTTGTAGGTTGCATTGACTCCGATATATGCGGGAGTGACGTAACGGTTAGTAGTTACATCCGCGGACAGGGCGACACTGTTCTCAACTCCAACAACCCATATCCTCAATCAAGTAGCAAAATGTCGGGCCTTTTTACCTACAGGAATTTCTCTCTGAAAGACACTCCCCCGCTTAGTGGGAAAGTCGCCGTGGTCACAGTAGGTATCCACTCCCATACTCGGAACAGCTACTCACAATACAACAGGGAGGGCAAGGCGGAGTTGGAAAAGGCAAGCTATATATTCCCCGGCCAAAGCCATCCGCTAAGCATCATCCTTGGATGGAACAGAAATCACCGCCCAGCTGCTTCTGCATGACATCGACAAAGTGTTCGTCATTGGACGAAATCATGACAAGTACGCTCAAGCGTGCGAAGAATGGCGCCATCGCAAGGGCATCACATTAGGCGCCGGCGATGCGAGAGTCGACTTTGTTCAATGTGATCTGGCGGATATTCCGGCCGTCAAAGAAGCGGCAGAGTATATCAAGCAGCGAACCGATAGGCTTGACCTCTTATTCTGCAACGGGGGTATACTCTGCCCATTTTCATCTCATACGAATGGATGAACTGAACCCAACCACCTCTAGGAATCGGCATATCGAAAGAGTACAAGCTCTCCCCACAGAAGATCGACGTCGTCTTCGCTGCAAACTGCGTCGGCCACCACGTCCTCACAACCCATCTCCTCCCGCTTCTCCGGCAAACCGTATCGCAGAACAAGACAAACGACGCCCGAATCGTCGTCACCAGCTCCTCCCTCCACTCTTTCTGTCGCGAGCTCAACTTCGATCTCCTCGCCTCGCCCAAGCCCCCGAAGAACCGCTTCGTCGACGGGATCTGGCGCTACGCCCGCTCAAAACTAGGTAACATCCTCTGGACGCGGGAGCTCAACCGCCGGCTTCTGCGGGACGACGATCCCGCGAGTCGGAGGATCTACGTCAATATCTTTTTCCCCGGGAACATCGTTACGGATCAGTGGAGCGTGTGGAGTGAGATATTGGGGTCTCTGCTGGGTGCCGTGATGCAGTTTGTGTTCCGTGTCATTGGACAGAGTACAGAGGATGGGGCTGCGACGGCGATGTTTTTGGGTGCGAGTCGCAGGGTTGTTGATGACGACATTCGCGGGAGGTATTTCATCCCCATTGCCACTCCTGATGCGACGACGAAAATCGCGGAGGATGGCGAGCTCGCTCGGGATCTTTGGGCGTATCTTGAGTCCTTGTGTGAGCGTTGAGACTGAGGTGGAGGATCGATCAGAATGGTCTAGCCAATATCGATAAATGCGGACCAGAGAACTTCTATGTAGATGCATCCCACTTCCGCTCTGCACCTGACTGAGGTCAGACTAATCGAGCATAGGTGCCACGGAGGCGCCATCTTCCCCGGCATCATTGACTCCTCCACCGGCAAGTCTGTCATTGCTGGCCGTAAGGTGACCGGCTTTACTACGCGTGGTGAGGAGGAGGAAGGCGTCCTGGACACCATCAAGAGCTGGAGTAGGCCTACGATTGAGTCTTCTGCTGCTGCTGCCTGCGGAGCGAACTGTAAGTTGGCCGTCCCTGATATCTGACTCTTCTGACGGCCGTAGATGTCTCCCCGGCTGGTCCATGGGACGCGTTCACAGTCACCGACGGAGATATCGTCACCAGCGCAAACCCTGCGAGTGCACATGTCACCGCAGAGGCTGCTGTGAACGCTTTCGATGCGTTGTAGTTGCGTCATGTTGACCTGCTTGGGCTTTTCCTCAGACGTAACCTTCAGATGCCACAATGTCAAATAAAACCTCGACTGCTAAGAGCAAAAGTGAGAACTTACCCACTGCTGTCTACAGGCAATATGCAATCAACGATCGTTTGCTCGAGCCTGTTACTCCTTTGCTTCTTCGCTCACTGATCGAGGCCTGGACGAGATCTCTCATTTCCCGCGCTATGGATCCCTTCAGGAGATTTCCTCCTGAAATCATGCAGCAGATTATCATTCACACGGCAGATTTTGTAGCCGTCGAAAACCTCTCTTCAGCATCCCCATGGGCTAACGCTGTCTTCCATGCCCAGCCGCGCGCAATCACCGCGGACCTGATAGCCTCAAATCCCAGCACCGCAACGCCAGAGACCCAAAGGCTAATTCGAGACACGGTCATACTCTATACCCCCTCCATCCACTGCACAAGCTTGGGAGAGTTTCAGCAAACATGGAAGAATAAGAATGGCCTGCTGAGCGATCTTCTCCCGCAGCAAATAACCGCAACTGAGACACTCAGGCTCATCCCTGTCGCGGCAAAGATCCAGCGAATAGCATGCATAACTCGCGACCACATCGCATCATTGAGGCCAGCCAGGACCCTCGCCTGGACCGAGTCCCGCCTGCACTGGGCTCTCTGGCACCTGCTGCGCTATTCCGTCCTCCGGAAGACCGCCCAGCGCCGCTGGGGGTGGACGGCAGAATTGGTCATGGAGATTGGAGATGTGAAAGTCACGCATATCCACTGGCCCTTCGTCGCTACTCGCGACCAATGGCAGATCTGGTCCATCGCCGGATTCCTGGCGGACCTGGTCTATGGAGACCATGCTGAGAATGAAAAGCAGGGCAGCTGCCAGGATGAGCCCGCATGGACATTGATGCCGCTGGTCGACTCTTTGGGGCTAGAGCTCACTCTGCTCTATGATTAGTACCCGATCTGGAGCTCGAAACCGGTCCCCGATGAGCTCACTGTTGAGAATGGTTGGTAAGCCGCTGCTAGATTATGCATAGATCGGCTATGGGGATGTTTGAGTGCATGGTGGAGAACAGTTACTCTCCTCATCCTCCATTATGCAGAGTAGTACCCTGATACGCATGAGAAAGGCTCTTTCTGTCAGTGGTTAGAGATGAGGTTGGGCCAGTAGCTATTATCACCGGCGGCACAATGAAGTCAATGCTAGGCGCTCTATACTTGTTTTGAGGAAGAAGACGAATACGCTTTCATAAGAATATTGATTAGTCTATGTCCAATTCGTTTCCGTATTTACCCGAATTTTGAGCCTAGATAGCAATAACAATGGTCAAACCAACTCCTGAGTGAAAAGACCTCATAGACACTGGCCAATCCATTCTTCCCATTTTCTCACACCAGCCCCGATGTTGCCCTCCTCGTCTCCCTTGACCGCGCCACCGACAACGTCGACTTTCACTCCAATCTCCTCCTCCAAGAGCCGGAAGCTGAACGCATCCTGCGGGTCACTGCTACCCAAAATGTCGTCGTCGCCATCGCTCAGACCCGAGTCCGCGCTCGCATCGAGCAGCCCCTTGCTCTTGGACTTGCGGATACGATCCAGCTCCGCCTCCAGCTTCTCGCGCACGGAGCCCGGCGGGAGAGCGGTGAAGAGGTCTTGTTTGTTGGCGGCCACCAGCACGGGGATTTCCGCGGCCGCTTTCATCGACGACTTGCCCTTTTTCAGCGCACGGCGCTGAAGTATCAAGAGAACGTCGTAGAGGTAGGACGCCGTGTCCCGCAACACATCAGGTTCGGCGAGAGCGGCGGTGTCGACCACAAACAGGACGCCGCGAACCTTGGACCGTGCGTCATTGGTGGTGGACATGGAAACAAGCTGGGCTGTTCCCTGCGATTCTCGCAGCTTGCCATGGCCGGGGGTATCCTTCACACAATATTTGACGGGGTTCCGCGAGATATCCTGCAGAGACGAGTCGTTGACTGAGCGGTACCGATTGGAAGCGGTCGGTACGGTTGGGGGGAGTCGGACGGTGGAAAGGGTGGAGGTTTGGGATGTATGCGTCAGCGTAGACTTCTTCGCGGCAGGAGACCCTTTCGATTCAAGCTATTTCGGGATCCCTGGCGTTAGTATGACCACATAAGACCATAGACGGGGTCGACTCACCAAGGTGAGGAGAGCTGTCTTTCCGGCCCCGCTGGGTCCGAGAAGCAAGAAGTTGCTGGTCGGCGGCGACGCGACGGTACGATAGAAGATGAAATGCAGTAAGACCGGAAGACCAAAGGCAATGAACGCCGTAATCACAATGGCGATAGGGTTTCCATCAAGCAAGCTGGTCAGAATCCCGCTAAAGGAGCTCCAATCGGCATGAGACCCCATGTTGGAAAGACGTCAGGAGATTTGATGACAACACGGAGGGAATCACTGGAGGAGAGAATGTCTAGGCGAAGGTCACCGAGGGGAAGGGGACCATTGTCGACCGCCAGCAGACGAGCGCAGTCGAGTAGATCGAAGTGGATGTTGAAGCTGTCAGCGGGTTCCGTCGGTGGAGAGATCATGCCACCTGTGCTGCCTCAGGCTGCACCCCCCAGAAGCCTTGGTGCCTTGGTGCCTCACTGCCTGACGAGCAACATACCATACTCAACTCAATTATGTAGGAGCCCCAGGAGGCCAACATTGCTCCCGATCTGCTGCTAGAGACTCGGCATCTGGCATGTCGCTTTGTCGCAAGGGAATGGCGGTCCATTCCACCCCTCCGTTCATTGTTTACTCGGCTTCATTCAGCCGTTAAGTCCCTTGTCCTGGTCTGCTGTGCTCGACCACCGTCCATCGCTGCGCCCAGATTGAGTCGTCAACATGAGATTCACACGCTCCTTGCCTTTCGTACTGTCTCTCTTCACAGCTGCCCTCGCGGACGTGGAATTCACGACGCCCACAGTGGACACGGTACTCAAAGCCGGCGACGTTGTAACAGTCCACTGGAAAGATTCGGGGATTCCACCTCGAATTTCTGAGCTAACCCAGTATGATCTCTATCTATGTGCCGGAGAAGACCTGACAGGTCTCAATGTGAGCTTCTTCCGGCCCATCGCGCGATGTTGTGGTTGGTTCGGTCTGCTAACAAATGGTACCAGGAAGAGATCGCCCTTCTCATGAAAGACGTCGCATTCGCGCGCGGAAATTCCGTCTCCTTCAAGATCGATCCAGCACTTGGCGCAGATGTACCAGAAGCCTAGTAAGAATCCCGTTCCTCTGCGCTGAACTCGAATAGCCGTCAGGTGCTGACCCGTGTATCGCGATAGCTTCCTCAAGATGGTCTCTTCAGGCCCAGATGCCTTCACCATCAACTATTCGCACCGCTTCTCCATCTCTGGAATGGCAGGCACCTTCTCCCCGGACAGCATACAGTCCATCAGAGAAGACCGGGCAGAACTCCGCAAACGACAGGCCCAGGGCGCGTATACAATCCCGTATGAGTTGCAGGTGGGACCTACGAGATATGCCCCGATGGCCAAACAGCCAGGAAGCACGATCCCACCGAACTTGTCGCCCACGCCTCAGCATCCGGCCAGTCCTTATACCATTGCCACTACGTTTCTCCCGGCGCCTACGGTCCAGCAGACGATGACGGCCACTTTGACCCATTCTGTGGTGAGCATGGAGAATACTGTATGTGTCGTCAGTTTTGTGGTCAGGATGCAATCTATATCTTGATAACTAACCTATTGGTCTCTTGTACAGGCATCCCCAGCGCCGAACCCTCATGACGCGCAGATGAAGAGATACTTGGAGAGATGGAAGGATTAGCGAAGGACACATTTGAATGTGCCATGTAACACTTACGGGTGTAATGGAAGACTTCGCATTTACCTTCTTTATGCCGGCTTATGGCGTTGTTGGAATTCCCTGTCTCACTGGTCTTGGTTTGCGCCTTGTAGTTATATGCTCAATAATTGTCATTTACCAACGCATAAACTCATGGGTGTATTGGCGGTGTAGGTATATATAGCTGGTGTGACATCTATAAACTCTTGTGCATGATATTCAAACAAAAAGACAGACAAATATAGAGGTATCTATAGTCGAATAGCTTGGATCAAACAATATCGCTAGTCAAAATCATGGCCCACAGAGGTCCGGTTGCAATGTTGAATAACTTTTAGCTGATGTTCGGCATCTCTACCGTTGAGGAGATTCTTCCCCTGCGAAGAATGAAATGTTCTCGCGGAGTGCGACATACTCGCTGTCCGCATAACCCAGGATGGAGTTGATCTGGGTGCTCCGGTGACCCTTGATGCGCGCGATCTCAGGGCTGCCATAGTTCACTAGGGCCCGACCCACTTCTCGCGGCTCCTGACCATGATGCAGAAAGTCTCCATTCAGAGAATCCGGCGACAGCTTCTGGACAACCACCAGTCGTACGGCTTCCTGTTGGGCGAAATGACCATCCACCTCCACCACGCCAGCGGGAAGAAGGCTGGCCTTGTTCAAGAGAGCATTATAGGCCCCGTTGTCGATGTATATCGTACCCCGAGGCTTGAGACCGTGTAGGAGCCAGAACGATCGTGACTGCACCGGGTTATCTGACGGGAGGAAGCGCGTGTGCAGAGGCGGTACAATCCGTGGCTGTGAGCTATCGGTAGTCGTCCCGCGCTTGTCTTCGTCAATCTGTTGGAGATATCTCACAATCTCGTGAACGTTTCCGGGTTTAGAGCTCTTGGTGATGATGGTGGTCACGCCAGCACTAGTTCCCAGCTTTGCAGCAATGATCTTGGTGCTCATGCCGCCAGTTCCCAGCGCGGACCCCGCTGACGAGACGTCTGCCTCCAACGACGAGATATCGGACACGACCTCAATCGGTTTGGCGTCAGGGTTGCTGCGAGGGTTTGCTGTGTACAGACAATCGACATCAGTCATTAGGAAGAGATAGTCCGCTTTGACCATGGCGGCTGTTATGGCTGATAACGTATCGTTATCACCGAATTTGATTTCCTGGATGGATTATTCGGTTAGGCTCGTTCAACAGCGTCCATCATGAGTCAATGACATACAGAGACAGCCAGGGTATCGTTCTCGTTGACGATGGGAATCACCCCCATTTCGAATAACTGGGAGAAGGTGTTTTGCGCGTTTATGTATTGAGTCCTCTGGGGGACGTTAGACCGGCCGTACAAGTTCCACGTTCCGTAGACTTACATCTGCGATGTCGTTTCTGGTAAGAAGAATCTGTGCAACTGGAAGCCGAAGATGCGCGAACAAGCCATCCCAGAGACTCATGAGTCTGCATTGTCCCACCGCAGCGAGCGCCTGTACACGAGGCAAGTTCTTGGGCCTCTCCTCTATATCCATCCTTCGCAGACCCACGCCGATAGCACCAGACGAGACAAGAACGACATTATGACCATCTCTGTGCAGCTTGGCCGCCGTCTCGACTATTAGCGTCAGGATCGAGAGAATCGGCTCGTGAGTGTTCTCGTCGACGATAGAACTCGTCCCTATAGACACATCATGAGTCAGTGCTCATCTGCGGCAGACAAAAGGTCCCCGCACCTAGTTTGATGACGATTGTGAGGCGTTCGGAGGCCATTCTGGTGTAAGCGGCAGGTCGTCCTGGTGATCACGACATATAATTCCCGTCGCACACTTCCCGGCCAAAGAAGAAGAGACTTTCCCCGCAATTCCAAGGAGTTGATGTCGTCGTCGAAATTCCATCCCATTCGTGGAACAAGTCATGGTTCTGCCCCTTGTCACCGCCATTGCGGAGGGCGTCGGGGAAATGTTCTGTCCTCCGCGCCGTCTCGGGGACGATCAGAGCAATTCCGAGCGCTCTGAGATCCTTCCACAATCTCGTTGTCACCTACACCATGTCGGACAGTCAGTCGCCCAACGGGACACGTCCTACGGAGAGTCGCGACACGGGATATATCCCGGGCGACGACACATTCACACAATGGCGCAACATCTTCGCCATCCTGACAGGGAAAATGAGCGAAGAAGGAAGGGAGCAATTTCGGGTCGCAAGAGATCTTCGAAACGAAGCGGCGGATTGCAAGCGCTGCGAAGACCAGCGAGACTATCTACTACAGTGGAGTATGATCCCTATCGCTGGTTGCGCATCCCAGGGAAACGTTACTAAGTGCATTTGTGCCATACAGGTCCGGTAATCCGCTTTCTGAGCGATAATATCCGTCAGCTGGGAGGCGACCTGTCGAGTCACAATATCTACTGCCGTCGTTGTACGAATCGCAAAGCGGGTGGCTTTGATCCCGAGTATGGCATCCTCCTCTGCGCCAACGAGATGAAGGATCAAGGGCACCTGGAAGACACCATGGCCCACGAGATGGTCCACGCCTACGATCATCTTAGGTTCAAGGTCGATTGGTCGAATAACTTGCGGCACGCAGCCTGCACGGAGGTTAGTTTGTCCCTGTCGATCCATTTTCATAACGTCTTTACTAACGAACGACCTTCAGATCCGGGCCAGTTCGCTCAGTGGAGAATGCAGATGGGCTCGTGAGTTCTTCCGACGAGGCCAATGGAAGTTTACTCAGCAGCACCAAGAATGCGTTCGTCGACGAGCCATTCTGTCCGTCCAAGCAAGACCTACCTGCAAAGATAAGGCCCATGCGGAGAAGGTCGTGAACGAAGTATGGGACAGCTGTTTCAGGGATACACGTCCCTTCGACGAGATCTACCGATGATACCATGTCTTTTTGCCTGTGTATACCTGATGTTCTATTCGAGATGCCACCAGACACTCCCACTGTATTATATTGACTGCAGCAATTCAAAGATATCAAATGACACCATATTATGACCGATGCGCACTCCAGAAGCAGAAATGGTGCAAGTTAACAATGAAACTCCAAACCAGGAAACACCATAAAATCTCCTTCACGCAAGCAATGACTTTCAAAGCAAAAAGTTCAACACCAAACACCTTCGAATGCATGGATCATGCTTCATGCTTTACCCTCCTTGGTTGAACCAGAACTCCGTTTGACTCCCTTGTCATCCTTCACGCAGTGTTTTAGAATCCAAGGGTGGCGTTGAATCTCGTCCAGCGAAATACGCTTCTCGGGGTCCAATACAAGCAACTGCAAGAGTTAGCTGAGTATCCATATGAGCCGAGGAAACTTCAGACATACCCGTTTGATGAGGTCCTTCGCCTCGGGACTAACAAAGGACGGCACACTCATGTCAGCACGCGCAATCCGTCTTTGCGTCATGACCGGGGTGTCTTCGAAGGGAGCCTCCCCGACCAAAAATTCATAGGTCAGGACACCCAAACTCCACAGGTCGACCTTTTCGTTGTAAAAGTTGTCCTGGGAGCCAGGCTTCAGCATCTCCGGCGGCAGATAATCTAATGTGCCGCACATCGTCTGTCGCCGGTTGTTAGGAGCATGTACGCTCCAGCCAAAGTCACTGATCTTGATCTCCCCGTGGATCCCGACCAAGATGTTCTCGGGCTTGATGTCACGATGCATAACATGCTTCTTGTGCAGGTATTTCAATGCTGCGGCCATCTGAGCAATGTACTGGGCAGCCTTCCACTCCGGGAAGCGGTGCTCCTTTCGGAGATGCTTGTACAGCTCACCACGGCCAGCGAACTCGAGAATCAAGAAGATCCGCTTGCTGTCGTGGAAGTGACCATAGAGTCTCAAGACGTTAGGATGCCTTAAGTTGCTCTGGATCTCAATCTCCCGTCTGACCTGCTTCTGGACACCCCCTTGTTGTAGCTCGGACTTGTGGAGCACCTTCAGTGCACACACAAAACCGGAGGACCGCTCTTTGGCCAGATAAACCCGACCAAATTTCCCCTTTCCCAGAGGCTTTCCAATTTCAAACATCCCGAGGTGTAGCTTCTTCGGTTCGGGCTGCTCATACAACGGCGTTGACTGTCGTTTTTCTCCGTTTTCGTCCACATACCGATGAGATAGGGTACCCTTGGTTGGTGACGACGAGTTCACGTTCATCGCATTCACCTTATTGTCATTGGTATTCTGCAGGGCAAGCTTCAGCAAATGCGAGCGGTTCGATCCGCTGTTCAGCTGCGTCGTCGGTCCCAGACCTGACAGGGACACAGCGGTAGATAGGGAACCCTAGCAGGTCACGTTAGCCCGGAAGCGTTCTGCGATGGCAACACAGCAGTAATACCTTGTGCTTAGGGTATCCACTGCCATTCCTTCCGGCTTCGTTCTCATCTTTGACAGTGAGGTGCTCGAAGCGAGCCTCCAGCGTTTTGGTCGCCATGGGGGATATCGGTAAGGGTATGGGATTGGTAGGGAAACGCAGGTGCACTGATCGAAAAGGGGGAAGCAATCGAGATGTTCAGGCAAGCATTATATTATGTCGATGCTGAAGGTCGAAGCTGACTGAATGATCTGGGGAGAAGTAGAAGAGAGAAGTGGTGCTCCGGCCAGGTGTTTATCGGGTGGTCCTCAGCTGCGTCACCCCAGCAACCGGTCGGCCCGCCTCTTTCTCCGACCATCGTGGGGTTCGTCCGATAAGGAAAACCACCGCGGTCCTATCTACAAGAGTCGTTCGTCGCGTTCTTTTCTTCAGCGCAATGTCGTCGAACCAGTTCACAAGCTCCTCCTATGCGCCGGGGAACCCGGCCGCTGTATCCCCCACCGCGCAGCGGCCCAACTCCGTATCCGTCCAGGGATTCAGGATCTCCACTCAGAAACGACCGATATTGAAAGCCGAACCGATTGAAGAAATGACCAAGAAGCTAGGCATTGCGCCTCCAGAAATGATATTTGGTGACAACTACGTGACGATCGAGCATGAAAAGTCGAAATGGGGCATTACGTTCAATGCATTCGATGCGCTGGATCGCGTCGATAAGACGGGGTCCTCCATGCTAAAGGTCGCCTATTCGAAGGAATGGCAACAGAGCAGGTAAGCGCGCGATGGCATCTTAGGAGATAGTTCTATCTCATTGGGGCGAAGGCTGATTCTCCCAAAGAGAGAAGACACACGAAGGTATCAAAGAAGTCGTCAAACCATTCGATTGGTCGTACAGCACAGATTACAAGGGCACGCTTGCTCCAGACAGTCCGCCATTTGTAGAAACAACAAAACAGATTCCGATTGAACTGTTGAAGCGCCCAGACCCTATATTGTTCTTCGATGAGGTCATCTTATATGAGGACGAACTCGCCGACAATGGCATTACGATGCTGTCATGCAAGATCCGCGTCATGCCTTCCAGGCTACTTCTACTTTTGCGATTCTTCATGAGATTAGACAATGTCCTATTTCGACTGCGGGACACGAGAGTCTACGTCGATTTTGAGCAGCAAGAGGTCATTCGAGAGTATCAGTCCAAAGAAGGCGAGTACGAGGCAGTCCGAAAGGTAACCGACGGTTCCGTGTACCCCCGCACTCTCCAAGACGCGCTAATCACATTTGAAGGCACTGGCTACGGCCCGCGAAGACGCTCCTGCAGTTATGAGGGACCCCAACCGCATCTCGGAGCTTCTCCCTTTGTTGAAAAGGGACATTGAGTCTGTCTCCCTGGGAGGTTAAGACCGGGAGTCACTTTCCTGCCCCTCGATAGACTACATACAACGCGTACAGGTGCCGTGAAACTACATCCCGCGCTCTGAAATCGGATAGCCATCTGCTACCTTATGCTCGATGCGTCTCTCACATCCCGAGGACTGATGTCGCTCATGCGGCCTACCCTCAGCCTCCTCCTGCACTTATAATGGGTAAACTATAATTATGAGCATATGGGACCCTTGCTTGCTCTTTGAAAGTAATGTAATTGATATATATAATTAGGTCGCGTCCGCTCTAGACTGCGGATAAGATTTCTGTTAGAGACTATATAGTCTAATATCAGATTCAGAGCACAAATTATGTAGTTTACTGGAGGAGTTGACGAACAAACATGTTCTACATACAAAACGAAGCCGATGGCGGGAAGGCAAACACTGCAAACATCGATCTTTCTCCGTCCGGCATTGAATGGATTGCTCGACCTCCAACGGGTCGAACCCTTCAGCTTTACCATCCATACAAATTTAATCTCTTCATTGACAAGTTCCTGCTAAGCTGCGACAATGGTGGCAAGGAACTTGACCACCGCATGCCTGCGTGTCCACCACGCCCACTGCTCAATGCTTCCAGTACGTTCCGCATAGAATCCGCCGCCGAACTACCCTACAACTACAGTACTAATGACGCCCTCTAGAAACAGGCTAAAGCCCTCCGCGCAGCGCCCTCGACCTTCCAACACCATGCCTTTTCCTCATGCGCAACTCTGCCGAACACGCCATCTCCCCTCCGCCCCTCGCGAGCTGTGAACCCTCCGAATCTTTCCCTGCAGAGCTCCCGATCTGCGTCGCGCCTCAGTCGCGCCATCATGCCCCGACCAGGCTCCTCCGCAGAGACATACGTCGCCTACGGTATGACGCAAAAGCTCTTCGAGGCGTGCTCGAACCAGGCCGACTACAGCGTCCCGCAAGTCTCGCAGAAAGGTGCCCAGGTGCCGAAGACTGAGGCCGGCGAAGATCTCGGCGTTGGCGAAGGATGGTGGTATCAAGGTTAGTAATTGATGTTTCAGTCTGATACACTGTGCAGAGATGTTCGCTGGGGAAGGGGCTAACGGCTGTCCAGATCTGGGTCTGCCGCCGACCTTCTCGACCTGGTCGCAGGTCACCTTCCTGCACATGTACCTCCTCACGGTGCGACTGCGGGCGCTGCCGTCGCACGAGAGTCTCCAGACGTATTCGCGGCATTTGATCGACCATTTCTCGCATAACGCGGAGCACCGCATGGACGTGCTGCATGGGCTGACGAGTCGGGCGATCCGGAATAAGTTCCTCAAGGATTTGTTCATCCAGTGGCGCGGCGTAATCGCGGCCTACGATGAGGGGCTGGTCAAGGGGGATGCTGTGCTGGGTGCCGCGGTGTGGAGGAACTTGTGGAAGGCGAGTCATACGGGGCCCGATGGCAAGGAGCTGGACTGGACTAAGGTTGCCCGCGTGGTGGCGTATATGCGCCGCGTCATTCATGAGATGTCGCAGGTGAGCGAGGCGGATCTGATATTCGAGTTGAATCGCCGGAGCGGCGGGAAGCCTGGTATATTCGGGTTCTCTGAGTTGGATAACAAGGCGGTTGATGCGAAGCGGTGATTGTGGTATGGCTTGGGTGGTATTTACTGTCGGCTGTTGTATAGTATTCCTCTCTTCTTTCTGTCTTCACTGTCTTAATACACCATTGCGATATCGAGACATGGTCTAAGTCATAACGAATGTATCATTACTGCTCTACAATGTGTCCTTGTAGGTATGAGTAAGCATGGAAACTATGTTATAGCAATGGCGGCTAGTTCTGATGAGCCTGTAGCCTTTTAAGCATCCTTCTTTCCAAAGAGATCCTTCTCGACCATAGCTCGGCAAATGGGATGGTAGAAATCCTTGTTCTTCTCGAACGTCTCGATGGCAAGAGGACGGTTCACCTTTTGCAGGTTGCGGTAGCTAGCAATCGTTAGCCGATAGGTCAACTCACGAGGACCATGGACCATGGAACTTACAGCGGCCGCACGAATTTCATTCTTCCGATCTTGCCCAGCAGGTCGGCGGTGGGCTCAAAAACGCTCTCATCGCCAGCATTCAAGCCGACTCGGAAGTACAGGTTGGCGACCTCGATGTTTGCGCTCTTGGCAAGCCCGTAAACCTCGCCCATGAGCTTCGACAATTCCGGGGCGAGTGGGCGTTCGAAGAGAAGGACCTGTTCCAGGAACACCACGATCTGGTTTCCGGTCAAGTCCTTGATATCACTCGGCTGTGGCTTGAAGGACGACTCGGGAATGGATTGCCACTTCTTTGCCAGGTCGTAGACGACGTCGACGAGGGATGTATCGAACTTCGGCTTGGGAGGCAACCCAGGAGCATAGAACCAGGTGTCCCAATCAAGCTCGTTCAGGAGCTTAGAGGCCTCGGCATCCGATTTGAAGAAGTCCAGGATAGTCGCCTTGAACTCGTAAGAGTCGAGAGACTTGCCCTTGAATTTCGTGAAATACTAAGGACGGTCAGCATAGGATGTTGTTTGGTAGGAAGACGAAAACACTCACGTGGGGGATAAATTGGTCGAATTTCTGCTTGCCCACCAAGTTCTCAAGGTGGAACAAAAAGTTGAAGCCCTTTTCGTACGGGATGCTTGAGAATGCATCATCGGGGTCTTTGCCCTTCAGATCGGTGATCAGTCTGGTGAACTCGTGGTCATGGCCGAAATGATCCACCGAGTCTGAGAGTGCTTTCCAGCCGATGATGGCGGAGAAATGGCGATAGGCTTCGCCGTGTCTACGGATATTAGTATGGAGTATCGATTGAAGTCCTTCATAATACTCACACAGCAGCCAGAATCTGGGACGGGGTTAGTATGCTCGTGATTACTTGCATTGATAAATGTAGCATGACTCACCCGTCTCTCGAGATAGACCGTCCAGCCTTCGTTCAGCCAGAAGTGCTCCCAGGAAGCATTGGTGACAAGGTTACCACTCCAGCTGTGGGCAAGCTCATGAGCAATGACATCGACGTTTTCCCTGTCCTGAAACTCCGGTTAATATTGATTATTCGACGTCCAGGTCAGCTGAAATCTACCTTGGAGATGATACTGGGAGTGGCGAAGGTGAAAATGGGGTTCTCCATGCCACCATAAGGGAAACTCGGCGGGAGAATCAAGACGTTGTATTCGCCCCAAACATAGGGGTAAACAATTTTCTGTGTTCTGTTAGCAAAGCATTCCCTCTTTCAAGATCACAAACCGACCTCGATGGCATTGATAAAGTTCTCAGTGTCAGCTTCAAGCTCCCATTGGCATTCACGAAGCTTGTCTGGGCTCGTTGCCACGACGCTTCGGGGTCCGATTGCAGCCTCGGAGATATCACTGTGACAATGGTTGATTAAATCCAGGTCCTTCAATATAAAAGGTTTGCGCTACGTACCCACTAGCCAAGGCGAACAGATAGCTGGGAATTGGCACTTTCTGGTGGAACTGATACAGATTCTTACCACCAGTCTGCGGGGCTCCCGATGCATCACGCACTAGGAGTCCGCTAGCAATCACGGGAAGAGGGGAAGTGATGTTGAAGTCGATGGTGCTCTTGACATCAGGGGTATCCTGACAAGGGAAGATGGACCGGGCATGGATGGCCTGGCACTGAGAGACTACAGAGAGGGGCAGTCAGAGGCGTTCTGATAAGTAGCCATTACTGAAATTGTCAGTCAGGCGAGGACCTACACATATACGGATGCTTCTTGTTTGAAGTTTGGGCGGGAGTGAGCCATTGAAGTGCGGTACACTTCTCTGTGGTCTTGACAGAGATCTAGATTTGCAGTCAGGTACTATGTAGGTAAAAGTGTTTCCAAGCGCGTAACGTACATCGACATGAACGATCTCGTCCATTTTCACGCCCTGGTCAAGTTTGATCTTGAGCGCCGTGCCGTAGGGCTTCACGGGGGGCAGAAGCTCCCAGACGGAAGGCTTGCCGTCCACCTTGACGTCGGTGACGTCGACATGGCTCGTATCCAAGACAATGTCCGTGGATTCCGCGTTGGTGATGGACTTGAGCTTATGGATGACATTTCCCACCAGCTTCTTCTGATCGAAGAGAATGTCAAAGTTGGCCGTGATGTGGGTGGACAGCCAATTGTTGTAATTGCTCAGGGTGTTGGGATCCCTGGGCGGGTTGATGGTGGTCGCCATGGTCCGGGATTGGAACGGAGAGAACTGCACGGTCCAACGGACTCGAGTGGGAGCTTGGCTGGAGGCTGATACCAGGACAGAGCGAAAGGAGGCTCGGAGGAAGCCGGATCGCCAGGATGGAGACAGGGCGGTCATATATGAACAGTCTTGACGCTGGAACGTTCGGTTACCGTCGCAAAAAGCGGAGATGATTACCAGATAGAGTGGGAGATGTATTCGGCACGACACAAATTCCGTGAGCCGTTAGTTAGCAACTGGGCCCAACAGTAGGAATTTGTTATAATTTTCTATTCATAATTCATGGTTGACTGGAGAGGTTTAATAGAGAGAGATATATAATATCAACAATTGTACCTAGGTATATAGTGTAGTATCAGAACAGACTAACCTAAATCTATTGTACAACCTATTCTACTACAAAGTACCTACTTAGTACCTAGGTATATAAGTACTACTGATACTTATCCAAATTACATGCTCAGACAGTCGAAAAGCACTGCACTCAAGTAATACAGTACAGCTTACCGTACCTGGTAATTTCTTACAACAACACCAACATCAACACCATCAACATCAACATCGTCGATTTCTCTCCGCATCTCCACATCCACTCTTCGCACTCCTCTTTGCCAGACCTTTTCCTCCCTCCATCCCAATCAAACCTTACTCTACCTACCTTAATCTCTTCTATTCCAACCCAACTACCGCCCAGATTCCAATTGCACCGACGCAATGGAAGGGACCCCCGAAGTCCGAGTCGCTGGGTTGGAAGCCTCCCCAGCGCCAACAGACACCCAGAATGCGCAACCTCCGCAGAACACACAAACCCCAGAAATCAGCGTAAATGCCACCCAAAACACAGACGCAGCAAACGATCATCCCTCCCAATCACAAGACATCACCCTCCCCGATGCTGCGCCGGAGCCCGAGCCAACTCCCGCAGAACCAGCACCTCCGAGAAGGAAGCCCGGGCTTCAGTTTCTCGAGTGAGCATTGCTCTGCAACCATGCATTCCGCGCCCTAATCTGACTGACACGGTGCAGGTTCTTGACGTCGCCGATCGTCGAGATTGTAGTGGGCCAGGGCGACAACACAACTAGCTTAACAACACATCAGAGTCTCCTCATGGAATCGCCCTTCCTCGCGGCCTTGGTGGAGAAATTCGGACAATCGGCGCAGGTGCGATTCGCATCCCCAACCTGAATATCTGGCCTGTACAATGCAGAGCCCGGGCGACTAACGAGACCAGCGGCGCATTGAACTCCCAGACGAGAACGTCGAAGCCTTCGGTTACTTCCTGCAATACCAGTATACCCGCGATTATTCCACCAGCGCGATCGCCGGTGAGCAGGAGCAGGTCGTCGGGGAGATCGACGACAGTGGCGAGGAGCTTCTGAAACACGCTCGCGTCTACACCCTCGCCGAGAAACTGGGAATCCCGTCGTTGAAACACCTCGCCCACTCCAAAATCCACCGCATCAACAGCAGCTCTCAGGGTGAGCTTGCCTATGCTCGCTATGTCTACACGCACACCCCGGCCGACGACGAGACGATCCGGAAACCGGTGGCTGCGTTCTGGGCGCAGAGAAGCTACGTTTTGCGTCACGAAGCCGAAGAGGAGTTCAAAAAGCTTTGTCTGGATGTCCCCGAGTTCTGCTTCGACGTCCTGACGCTCATCCTTGACTGGAAGGAAAAGCGCGCTCACGAAAAATCCGAGACGGAATCGGGCGTCAAAGGAAGTGGTCGAAAACGTCTTCGCAGTGGCGTTTAATCGCGGATCCCCTCCTCGATTCCAAAATGAATATTTGGGGTTTTAGTATCGGTGTACAAACAGGTCTTCCTCGAAACTGGAGGGGGTTGTTCGACAGGATTGTACAATTGTGCCATTTGAAGCGTTATATTCTTGGGACAACGGCTCGAGAGTATGGATACCCTTTGCCTTGAATTTATCTCTCGGTTTCTTCTGCATGTTGCATTGTTCCTGGAAGTTGATAGTAATACGGGATCCGCATGGAAGCTCGAATATGGGTGTAGATGCTCAAACGCGGTACATTCACAACGCCAGACTCTCCACCTCTTCCATAATCTTGGGTGCCGTCGTCAGATTCTCATAGCCATCCTTTGTAACATGGACGTTGTCCTCGATGCGGACACCGCCGACGCTCCAGTATCTTTCCAGAACATCGGTATCGATATACTTGCTGGTCTCGGGAGACTTAATGTAAGGCTCAATGATGAAGCGGCAGAAGTAAATCTGCGTTTCACATGTCAGTGATAGTAATGCGGTGAAATGCATTCATCCACTTACACCAGGCTCAACGGTAATGACAGACCCCGCGGGCAGATGGCCTCTGACGCGAAGATACCGAAACATCTTATCCTTGTCCCCGTAGTTGGGGTTGCCACCCGTGTCGTGGGTGTCCATTCCAAGATAATGTCCAAGACCGTGGGGGAAGAAGGCCACGCTGACGCGCTTCTCGAACAACTCATCCTCAGAGCCGCGCAGAATTCCCAGCTGCAGCAGACCCTTGATTGCCACGCGGTGAGCGTGCGCATGCACATCATCCCACAGCACACCGTCCTTCAGCATGGCAATGCACTCCAGCTGCATCTGCAAGACGATCTGGTAGATCTGGCGCGTCTCCTGGGCGAACCGTCCGCCCAGCGGGATCACACGGGTAATGTCCGCACAGTAGGTGCGGTACTCGCCACCCGCGTCAATGAGGACGTTCTTCTTTCTCTGCTTCGTCACGGGGTCCGTCAACTCCGCGTCGTTCTTGGGGTAGTGCAGCGTGGCGCCGTTCTCGCCGCAGGCTACGATCGGGTGGTACGACTGCTCGCGCGCGCCGTTGGCGATGCAGGTCGCGATGAACGCGCCCTCGATCTCGCGCTCGTTGGTCGCAGTCTTGGCAGCTTTGATGGCGGCAATGTGCGCTTTGGTGGAGATGTCGTTGGCTTTTCGCAGCAGCGCAATCTCATATGCGTCCTTGACGACGCGCGCCTGTTCGATCCACCCATTCAACAAGGTGAAGTTGGCGTCTTGGAAGCCCTCGAATTTGGTCTCCGGCGAGGTGCGGCCCTGGATGGCGTATGCGACGGCTTTACCGTTGTGTGCGGACGCAATGGAGGCGAGGGTCGCGTTGACTTCGGGTGTGGTGAGCACGTTGTCCACGTCGTAGAGCTCCATCGCTTCCGACGGGGAGAGGGGCAGGCCGGACCAGATGACGTCCTCGGGGTCAATTGCAGGGATGAAGAGTGTCAGCTTGTCGGCGCTCACGTCGTAGACGAGAGAAGCTTCGGGCAGCAGACATCCAGAGAGGTAGAAGAACGGACGGCGCTGTCTGTTCGAAGGAGCTTATCAATCTCGTGCGCAAGATTATATTGAACGAAAGCACCGTTACCTACCTGAAAGGCATGGTCTCATCATTGTCCTCAATCATACGAGTCTTCTGCGACTCGAGGTAGATGACTCCAGGATTGCCGGGGCATTGGGCCTGGAGATACTCCGCGACCCGCCGCGCATGGGCTTTCGCGGGGTATTTGCCCTGTAGAATCGTGTCGACGGTGGCCATGACTGTCGCCCTGAGTTGTCTATCAACAATGAGGCTCTGGAAAATTCTGGGCAGGGCAGAAATGGGACGAGCGGTGGACGGTGGAAGAGGTGAGACCTGGCGGGGTTCCTGTTGCGGGGCTCCCAGCTGTCAACCGCGGTTATTGTCGGGGGGCCTGCATTCTATTACATACTCCGTAGTCACAATTCCAGGATGTTCCGATCATAACTACATTTCATTATTAGACCCTCAGGGACAAAATATTAACATAGACACATCATCCCTACCCTTCATCTCTCTATCGGTATGTGCTGTCCTGGCTCTCTGGTACGTCCTCGAACTCCATTTGCCATTGGTCAACCTCCGCGAACTTCTGGGCTTGTAACCTCAGCTCCTCGCTGAGATATTTGTTTGGGGGAGAAGTCGAGTCGGACTCAAGCGCGTCTGTATCAAGTGCAGATAACGGTGAAGACCCATCCGCCGGTTCATTTTCCTTGTCATTCCCCGCATTCCGTGCGGAGTACGTTTTCTTGCTGGTAGCCTTCTGTTTGGCCTGCTTTTTCTGACCGGCATGTGATGGTTTAGACTTGGTGGTTCGATTGCGCCGAGATCGGGAAGACTTCAAAGTAGCTATGTAGCTCAGCTCATCTTGATCACTTTCGGCAGACGCTTCGTCGGATTCGCTGGAGTCGCTCGGTACGTCGAAGGTGTTCACATTGCGCCGTCTGCGCGGCCGCTGGCGTCGCCGAGGAAGAAGTCTGTCCTGTAGGCTGGCCGTCGAAACGGCAGGTTTGTTACTAGCTTGCGCTCCCGCATTCCCGCATTCATCAGTCGCAGCTTTGCGCAGAGGGTTCGAAAGGTCATGTAAGCTGGTCGAAAGTGGAGTACCCCATGGACTGCTCATGGGGGGTGCCATTGTTTGGCTAAGCACGTCTGGAGACCTTGGTGGCGGCAGCGGCGGTGGCGGCATGTCCACAGTGCTACCCATTTCCTGTACTTCATCTTCAACTGCCGGCGTAGGGGTACCGACAGGAGTATTTCCCACCAGGGCCAGAGGTGATTGGGGAACTTGGATCTCAATATTTGCAGACGATCGCTTACGCTTGCGAGAACTATCACTTGATGGCTCTGGAGCTTGGGAAGGTGTTGCCGGCGATTCGTTCTGAACCAACAGTGATTTTCCCCTGGACACATTCAGTGGGGTCGACTCATCCTCTGGACTCAAGCCACCGAGAAAGTCATCATCATCGAGGTCTGAAGACCGATCCTCAGCCTGCATAACCTGAAGGATACTCGGCTGTCGGGGACGTCGTCGAAAATTACTCAGTACTGAATTTTCAAAAGCGGGCGTGCCGGGAATCTTCGAGTTCTCTCCTTTGCGGCCAGCGAGGGAGAGTGTGGACGAGTAACCGCGCGATCGCGTCGCGGGACGACTTCCTGTGCCACCGCGTTCTCCCATGGGAGAGGAATCGATCGCCTGTTCATGCGATTTTGACATGGGTGTCTGATCTTTCGGTTGCCGCTGCGGGATCACCACACGCGGAGCGCTGGCAGGGGGTCGTTCCTGGGGTTGTGGCGACTTGGGCGCATTTTCTCTGGTGGGTTCTTTGGAGGTTGGTTTGGCTTTTGAAGCCATCCGATTGCGCTTTGTCGGAGGGCGCGGCATCGTGGTGTTCACTCCGTAGGAACTGCTGTGGCGGGGGTGGTATGGCGTAGACCAGTGGGGACGTTCGACTCGGATATGATGGGATGGACGATGGTTGATAGAGTCGTAGCAATAGCAGTAAGTGTAGTGGTAAGTTGGTAGATGAAGTCGCGTTGTTTTGGCACAGCAGCACGCGTCGGCGCGTGTAACCATGTGGTGCCCCACCCGTCAGGCCAATCAGGCCGGGCTCGTCTACTTCCATCCCAAAATGGACTAGTCCTTCTCCGTACTTCTCAACTACTCTCACTTCAACTTCTCCTCCTCTCACATCTATCGGCCACCAATATCTTCATTCACATACAGGATGTCATTTCCGGCCGCATTCTCATGCACCCCAGGCAGACGCACCTTGGGGAACCTCACAGACCATCCGGGCAGCCCGAGTAATCTCCACCCGTGCGTCTCATTTGTCAACAGCACGAGCAACGGACACTAGTGTCTTCCCCGTCCACACTGGACCCAATCATCCACAACGCCTCCTGGCTACTAAAGCCGTCCTGGTCTCGGTATCTGCCTGCCTTGCATCGAATTGAAGCGCCGTGACGGAGGATCAGGGTCTCTCAGACCAACCGCATCTGGCCGCTTGCTTTTTCTCCACAGTCGCAATCTGACCACCCCGGGCTTTCCCCCCATCTGCCAACCCGAATTAAATAAATCTCCCATGGGACTCAATCAATGGAGCCATCAGGCATTTCTTCCCCGCTTTTTCATTCTGTTCCCCTTGGCTAAGATGGCATAAATCTTAGATTTGTTCGCCAGACACTGCTCAGTCCGCAAGATGACATCGGACACATATACACACTGCGTTCCCCCTTATCCATAGCTGACCTCGTCAAGAATGGGCACCACTTGATGTTCTTGAGATTGGATTCTGACTCTATGATCCCTTCATTCGTCTGATCTCTCCGAGGTCCCAGGACTATTCCCCACGACGCTACATTACAGGTCATGCATGAGCAGTAAACCCCTCCGCAGCTTCCTTTCTACCTTGGAGAATGCCTGTTACCCTGGACCTTCAAGTGTCAACTCTTCCAAACAGTCTGTGAGATTCTCTACACCGCTGATCGTGGCTGGCGGTCTTGACGTGAGAGCCACTCCCACTGGTCTCTCTGGTTGCCTCTCCAGAGTCGAGAATCAGCACCTCGACCCATTGTCCTTTTGCTCCTTATATACGACCTAGTACAGACAACCAGAACCATGTCCCCTTCGCCAGACAGGGACCGAGATACTGTCCTTGATCCAGCCATTGTGGCTGCTTCTATCGACTTCCCGGATGGCAAGAAAAAACGCTCCAATTCAGAGGCCACCGAGTATCCCCGACGGCGTGCGACTATAGCGGTAAGACTTTTCCTTCTTCGAATTGCTTCGTTTATAGCCTCTCAACTCTGCCGGTCCCGCGGTTGCTGACTTGAAACCACCATGACGACAACAGTGCCAGATATGTCGCTTGCGAAAGACACGGTGCAATGGTGCACGTCCAAGATGCCAGCTCTGCACAGACTTGGATGCCGATTGCGTCTACCGAGAGCCGGGAATCAAGCTCGACGCGGGAGACAAGTTGATCATCGAGAGGCTGAACAGAATCGAAGGTTTACTCCAATCCAGCCTAGTAGGACAACACCCTCCCTTTCCTCAGTCGTCTACCTCTCCTGCAACCAGTAACGACACCAACCTTGGCAGCGATGACATGGTAAACAAATCAAGCCTGACCAGCTTGTCAGGCAGAACTTCTGTCGCTGGCATGGCGTCATGGGCTAATCCTCCTGCAAGCATCTCAACAATGCCCAAGGTCCATACCACCCCGGCATTACACCTTCTCCAATGGCCTTTGATCCGAGATCTAGTAGCGGGCCCCTACGACCCTCACACCCTCCTGCAACTTGAAATGGCCCGCGAGCCTCTCAGGATGACCACTGTTGCTGGACTTGACTTATCCAATGCAAATACCTATGTGCAGTCCTTTTTTGAACGCGTTAATGTGTGGTATGCCTGCGTGAATCCGTACACGTGGTCCCAATATCACAAGCGAGCAATGGCCCAAGGGTTCCAAGAAGGAGCAGAGAGCTGCGTGGTGCTCCTGGTTCTAGCGCTAGGCTGTGCAAGCCACTATGGAACCATCTCGTCCATTCCTCCCGATAGGGAAGCTCCTGGCCTGCCATATTTCACCGCAGCGTGGAATCTTTTGCCCTCTGTGATGATGCGCAATTCCGTACTCGCAGCCCAGTGCATCATCTTGTCCTCTGCCTACTTATTCTACCTAGTGAGGCCGTTGGAGGCCTGGACGCTACTATCCAACGCCAGCATGAAGCTCCAGTTACTTTTCGGCAACACTTCGCGTGTTCCTGCACAGTGGAAAGAGCTCAGCGTGAGAGTATACTGGAATGCTCTTCTCTACGAAAGTGACCTCCTAGCAGAACTAGACCTTCCTCACTCGGGTATTGTGCACTTTGAGGAGTCGGTCGACTTACCAGGAGGATTTGAAGAAGACGACGAGGAGGAGGAAGACGAGGACCCGGTTGAAAATCCCCATAATGGCATGATCCACAGTGATTCAGTGGGCAATGACGAGCTTTGGTACTTTCTGGCTGAGATCGCGCTTCGAAGATTGCTTAACCGTGTCAGCCACATGATATACCAGAAGGACAATACCTTAACACTAGCCTCCCTCGGGCCTATCGTCTCGGAATTGGATTTCCAGCTCTCACAATGGTATGACAGCCTCCCGCGGCCCGTTCAGTTCCCTCTCGCCCATACACCCTTCTCCAATCCCGTCCAGACCGTTCTACGACTGCGATACTATGCTTGTCGAACGATCATCTACCGACCCTATATCCTAGCTGTCTTTGAAAATGAGCAGACTTCCGCCGACCCGCTTGTGAAAGAGTGCTGCCGACGATGCCTGGAAGCCACACTACGCCAGTTGGAAGATATTACCAGTCACCGTGAAGGACATCTCCCCTACCTTTGGCAAGGAGCCTTGTCGATGGTGTCACAGACATTGCTCATCATGGGGGCAACAATGTCTCCCGCTCTGGCGGCATTATTGCCCCCGCCCATCCGAGTGGATGGAATTATCGCCGGCGTCATGGCAGAGGTGGATAGATATGCCCATCTCGCGCCCAGCTTGAGACTTTCAGCCGAAATCATTCGAGACGCGGAACGACGGAGGCAGGTTTGGATCCGGTCGTCGGGTAAGAGACTTTGAGGCAAGAGAAAAAGGAAATGGCTTGTTTTGGTTGTCGCTTAGTGTAAGATAGATGAGCTTTTTGTTTCGCTGGGTAGTTTGCAAGCCCTACAATTTTTATGAAATAAATTTGACAGAGATATGGCCAATCTGTACCTGCTCTAGAGGCACCTTAATTTGTACTCTGCTCTGGCCCCGGAGAAAGAAGACCTTGTAGAGCAATAGAGCATGACGCGAGGTTGAGTCTTGGATATACAACAAGTAATATTCACAATTAAGTCATATAGATACACGTAAAATGGACTTGACGGTGTGCACTCAAACCGACAGCTGGTCTATCATTGGGTATGTAAAAAGACGTTGCGCAAAAATGAAGAGAAAAAGTAAACTTTAAATCAGGACCCATTCACTGCCTCGCTTGATGAATTTATCGAGCATCATACCAATATCATTCAATACAAACCGACATATGTAGAAACCAAAGAACTCAGCGGCATGGCGGGTACTTAGTTCCAGACCAACGAGGGTCTGTGAAGAGTGTTTAAGGCCGGGATCTTCCACCTGCTGTGCAATTTGATCTGGATCAATTGTCAGTAAAGTTGAGACATATTTGGAAGCACGGGAATATAATTACCTAGCACTTGAGCTGCGTCACAAAGCCGCGCTAGAGCACCCATATAATTCGAGTTGGGCCCGCTGAACTGCAGCTGTGTTGTATCACGCTTAGGGTGGGAGTTCGGTACTGGTGTCATCGGAAGCGATGAGATAGTCAAATTATCTTTGCTGGGCTCTCGTGTACTCGACAGCATTGTTGTTCCACCAATGCCCGAGTTTTTGGATCGCAGCTTTCTCCAGGAGCTCAAGTACGATTTACTTGGTCCACTTGAGGTCTTTGCAGGGGGAGCTTCAATCACTGTCGGGTCATCCGAGGGGTGTGAGGATCTGAAGAGTGGCATGGCTCCCTGCACGCCCACCTCACTGCCAATCTTCTTGGTCAGTGAAGCTTGTACCTGATCCAGCACAGTCTCAAGAGATTGCATTTCCTCGAGTACAGCATCTGCATCGTATGTGTCGACCTTGGCTAGTTTCAGCAAAGCTGCTGTCAATAAGTCACAGTTCGACACCTTTTCTTCAACGGCCTTTAATTTGACATTCTTGACACGCCATATGTCACGTGGGATGAAGAGCTTTGTTGTCAAGTAGCCTCCACGTGGATGAGCAACTGTTTGGTAAATACAGCGCATCAGCCAGAATGGTCGTAGAAGGAAAGATTCCGGGCATGGCTCCAGGGGTAAAGGAGCATTGGCAGCCATAAGATTAGGAGAGCCCAGGCTCGTCGGTGAATGAATATGGCTGTCGAATAGATAAAGTCCATCACTAGGAATGCCATTTGGTGCGAATCCAGTCCCAGTCGGCGTGGGTAAGATAGGTACTGTCGCAGTTGCGGCCGCTGTTTGGGCGTCTATGGCGGGAAACGCGCTGCTCGAAGGGGTTTCCGGAGAGTAAGCAGAGGTTTCCGGTATCGGCACAGATACATTCCGGGCGCGGAAGGGGTTTAAGCTCGGGTTGATCTTGTTGAGGTTGTCTGGTGCTGATGGCACCTTACCAATGGGGCGAACTGGTGATGGCACCTTTGACAACTTGGCGGTTTCTTCGTCTACCCTGCCAAAGATCCCATTTCCGGCGGGCGGTTCATCTTTTGGAAGCGGCGGTGGGGGAAACGGTTCGGAGGGCTGATCCTGGCTGGAGGTATCAGACTTGGGCTTAGTCGCGTATGGACTGGTCTCAATCTTCAGCTCTGAGGAAGTCCGACTAGACATCCTTCGTGCTCGAACGCCAGGCAATACCGTTGATTCAGCCGGCGTGTCGTCCGGTACCGCAGGCAAGGTAGGTAGATTTTTCGAAAGGGATGAGCTCTTCTGTTCTGCTCTGATATCCTCCAGTGGCAAGACTGAATCCTCAGCAAGCGGGGATAGAGCTGCGGCCGTCGCGGCGGCCGTGGTGGCGTTTGATGCAGCGGAACTCTCCCACGTTCTACCGGAGAAACTGCTGGAGTCTGACTGTCGAGGAAGAGCAGACTTGGATTGGATATCGAACTCAAAATCATCCATGATATAGCCGCGGGTCATTTCCTCCAGGATGCGCTCCTCTTCCTCGGCTTCTTCGTCCAGGTAATCTGACGTCGCACCGTTTGCATGATCGAAGTCTGCCTCTGCCTGTTCCTGGAGTCGCCGTAAATCTCGGCCTCGATTCATAGCGAACTCTGCTTCCATTTCCGCTTCCCTTACTTTCTGCTTCGCTAGTTCCACGTTTCTACGGGCATTTGCCACAATATCGTCGTCGTCGTCATATCTGTCATGTTCTTCGACCGGTTCAAGGCCTTCGTCATAAGCAGCCTCGACGGCTGCATCAAGGGCAGCATCAAATTCTGCTTCCGTGCCGTGGCTGAGACGGCGGCTCCTTCTTTGTCGGAGATAGATCGAAGATGCCTTGGATCTCAGCGAGGCAGGAGAAGATGCTCCAGACTCGTCGATAGTATCGAGCCAGGAGGTTGATTCATATATCTCCCTGGTATGAGTACTCAACAGGGATAGTTCAGAATACCGTGATTCGGGCAGGTGCTGATCGTCCATATTGGATGAGTCCACCGCTTGGCTGCTGTCAGCAATTGTGAATTTCGCATTTACAGACTCGCTCCAAGCTGGGTCTAGGATCGATGAATCGGTTTTCTTGGGCGGCAGCGTTGAGGAGCCCGTGAAACGTAAGTCATCTTCCATAGCAGATGGCAGCAGTGACTGGTGTCTGATCGGAATCTGATCGGGGCTTAATGCTTTGGAGTCTGCCCGCGAGTGGTGGATAGTCCCCACGGGTTCCATGTCATCGTCTGCATATACGCCATCTGGATGGTCCTCAATCGGTTGAAACATATCTGCATAACTTTCCTGGCTCAACGGACGTTCCGGTAACGCTTTACTATCTGGTTCGCGATAGGAAAAGTCCATCCGTTCCAATTCATGTACTCGGAGCATATAGGTATCCCGCTGAAAGGAAAAAGAGATTAGTTCAATTTCGCCGTGGTGACAAACAGATGCGGCGAAAGACTTACGATTTCTTGGAGTTTCATTTTCTCATCTTCTCCACCGTTGCTCCGAAGCATTACGAGTTGCAGGAGTTGACAAGCATCATTATAGGCCTCCATGGCACCTTCAAAATTCGCCGCGTTATCAAGCAGGACGGCCGTGTTGGCCTTTTGAAGAGCCTTCGACAGCATGGCTTTCTGGGAATGGCCTTTTTTCCGCCTTTCCTGGTTTTGCTTATTCCCTAAACCGAATGGAATGCCCACATCAATTGAATTCGCGCTGTGGTTATAACGATGGCCGGATGTCTCAAAGGTGTTTTCGGCTGATTTGGATTCGTCACTGGTCTTGGACCACGGGTCTTGGAACAGAGTGTCGGACACTGGAGGAACTTCGGAGTGCCACGGAGTCGTGTCAGCGATCCCGGATGAAAGGCTGGGCAAAGCGCCAATATCGGGCAACTGGAGTTGTGGTAGACCATGTTCACTGCTGTGCCGGGGCGGTCCAGTTGTTCGAGGTGCCCGGGCCGGGCTCAACCCGCTTTTTGGAGAAGCACGGCTATTGCTCGACGTTGTCGATTGGGACCACCGATTTAAGCTTCCTAGTCCCTCTTTGATGTTATCTTTCGCCGGGCTGTTTGGAGGTAATTGCGTCAGTCCAGCGTGCGGAATCGTTGGCGTTTCTGTCCCAGATCCAGATGCGTGACCTGTTGTGTCAGAAGCAGCATCGGTCGGTCGGTCCGCAGGTGCGGTGAGGGACAAAGCTGACAGCGATCCGGCTCGCGACGGGTGCTTTTGGTGGTGAGGCCTAAGCCCGTTCTCCGCTGGGTTATCGACCATTGTTCACGAAGAGGGGGACCAGTCGTTCCAATAACGGTCCAAGATGTTGGTGAGAGTCCAGGACTCCAGGTGTTCTGCACGGGTTCTTATCGCAAGGGTATATTATCGACAATGTTTCAAAAGACGACGATCGGGGGGAGTGGGTCAAAGTCCGAAGTCTGTTAATCGCGAGAGTAGGATGGGCTGGTGAGGCGAGTAATCAGGCTGGGAATCATCCTCCTAATCCCCAGGTGCATGCGAATGGAGCGCAAATCTGTAGGGTACAATTGTTGGCTAGTCTCCTTGCTCCCCGGTTACCTCCCTCGGATTACCGCATGGTCCGGCGAAGTGGCTGGTGTGCAGGTTGGTCAAGGCAGAAGCAAAGGAGCATTATCTCTCATCCAGACAAAACAAAAGTGCTTTCTCAACGGCGCGTACGCATTATCATTAATTGATCTTTGGAGGTGGGATGTGCTTCGTTCTTTGGGTTTATAGTCGTTGACCGATGCGAGAAACAATTAGTCGACAGGAACCTGATGGTCGGATTATTTACTGTTCAATCAACGATAAAGTTAGCAAAGTCACGAGCACCAAGACCTGACAAGTAACATGAATGTCGGAGGAAATGGTGCAATAATGAAGCGAGTCCCACGTACTGGTTTGGTATTATATCGTGCGTGGTCGTATGGTGGTGATACAGTGGAAATCGGATAGGCAGGGGGGCCTCCGTGCGGGGCTAAATCGATAGGTAATGTATTAATACTGAAGAACCGTGTCGCGAAAGCCTAGAGCCATCACGGGAGGATAGCCGGGAACGAGGGTAAACAGAGGCGGACGAGGAGGTCGGGAGGCTGGAAAAACCGAAAAGAAGGAGGAGAGGAAGAAGAGAAAGAGAAGGGAGTTGCTGGTTGGTTTGATGGGGGATTGGGTGATGGTTGGAGAGCGGGAAAAAGGGGGAGACGGTAAGTTTTCTGGTGGCTTTCCCGGGGGTTTTTTGGCTTTCCTATTCGGGCAGGTAGGGGGTTCATCCAGGAACCTCTCATATAACCAACCTAGGTACCTACATACTCCTACTTTGGTCCTTACTCTGTACGACGTACCTAGTATTATTACTCCTCGTCACATTGCAATCCTCCGACTATCCCCAGTTCCACCCAAGGATGCATCCAAAACCTTGGGCCGTCGGCCGCCCAATCGTATGCTCCTGATCACTGGATCTTGCGGGCAGTCGGAGATGACGTTGTTAGTCGTAAACTCCCCACCATTCAGTCTTCCTCCTGTGCGGAGTAACAACTCCCGTGCTATTTCTACAGGCCCTTCCCCTCCTTCTCTGATCGATAGTGGTCTTATCTCATCTCCCTCGGGTCAGAGTCAGACACAGAATCTATCTACAAGGGACTCCTTCGGACCTCTTACACTAGGTGCCTAGCCGTCTTCGAGATCACCAGGACCAACAACTTTGAGAACTACACCATGGAAAGGGGAATCAGCATCGCGATTGACGTACTGTCCCTACTCCTTCTTTGTTCCCCTCTGTGCACTTCCTTGGAACAAGGAGAGCGCTGACCAGCTCCTACAGCGTGGTGGCACGTTCACCGATTGTGTGGGTAACCCAGGCACAGGACGCATGGAAGATGACATCGTCATCAAGCTATTGTCGGAAGACCCATCCAATTATGAAGATGCCCCGATCGAAGGTATCCGGCGGATCCTCTCCAAATTCACCGGCCGAGAGATCCCTCGTGGGGAGCCAATAGATACCTCCCAGATCCGAAGCATCCGTAAAGGCACCACTGTCGCCACAAATGCGTTGTTGGAAAGAAAGGGCGAAAGAATGGCCCTCATTGTAACCAAGGGCTTCAAGGACTGTCTTCTGATCGGAAACCAGTCTCGTCCAAAAATCTTCGACCTATCCATCCAGCGCCCAGACGTCCTATACGATCGGGTTGTCGAAATCGACGAACGAGTCACGCTAGAGGACTATGCGGAAGATCCCACTCGGCAAACGACACCGACGCCTCCACGGGAAGAAACTGGTCCAGATGTAGATCTTGTGCGTGGCTTGTCATCCGAGGCCGTTCGGATCCTCAAAAGGCCCTCCGAAGGTATTGTACGAGAACAGCTGCAGAAAATATACGATGCCGGCATTCGCAGCATCGCCGTCTGCCTCATGCATGGGTATACATTCCCCGATCATGAAGCTCTTGTGGGCAGATTGGCCACGGAGATCGGCTTTGAACATATCAGCCTGAGTCATGAACTGATGCCAATGATCAAACTGGTTCCGCGTACCACTTCTGCCTGTGCGGATGCCTATCTGACTCCCACCATTAAAAAATACATAAACGGGTTCCAGGCAGGCTTCAAAGGCGGACTGGGCACTGAAAATGTCAAGAGACATGGAGAAGTCCAGAGTGCTCGCTGCGAATTCATGCAATCTGATGGCGGTTTAGTAGATGTCGATAGGTTCTCTGGCTTGCGAGCGATTCTCTCCGGTCCTGCCGGCGGCGTGGTAGGGTATGCATTAACTTCTTATGACCCCAAGACCAAAATCCCGGTGATCGGATTCGATATGGGTGGTACCAGCACCGACGTCAGCAGATATGGTTCGGGCCGGTACGAACATGTCTTCGAAACCACTACTGCCGGAGTGACCATCCAGTCACCACAGTTAGACATCAATACGGTTGCAGCCGGTGGCGGTTCCCGACTCTTCTTCCGTAATGGCCTCTTCGTCGTCGGCCCTGAGTCTGCCGGTGCCCATCCCGGACCTGCCTGCTATCGCAAGGGAGGTCCATTGACAGTAACCGATGCCAATCTCTTCCTTGGTAGATTGATTCCCGAATTCTTCCCTAAGATCTTTGGCCCACATGAAAACGAGGGACTAGATGAAGCCGCCAGTCGAAAGCTCTTCGAAGATCTGGCCGCAGCCATCAACAAGGACCAAAATAAGAAGATGACTGCCGACGAAGTGGCCTTCGGGTTTATTAAAGTCGCCAATGAGACAATGACTCGCCCCATACGTTCTCTCACAGAAGCAAAGGGCCATGACACCTCCAAGCATAGATTGGCTACCTTCGGCGGCGCGGGTGGGCAGCATGCAGTCGCAATTGCACAGAATCTAGGCATCCGCCAGATTCTGATTCATCGATACTCCTCAGTCCTTTCGGCCTATGGAATGTCATTGGCAGACGTCGTCGATGAAAAACAAGAACCGGAATCAAAAACATGGTCCGACACAAACGATGTTCGTCGCGAGCTGACGGCAAAGATGGAAGAGCTCAGAAGAAAATCGATCGAAAGCCTAAAGGACCAGGGCTTCGATGAGCAATCGATCGTGTTTGAGGAATATCTCAACATGCGCTATCGAGGAACAGAGTCGTCATTGATGATCCTCAAGCCTACCAAAGAAGAAGCCCGCTGCTGAGTACGGCGGAGATGAATGGGCGTTTGGCGACGCCTTTGTTAGACAACACGAACAGGAGTTTGGTTTCACATTGCCTGACAGAGACATCATGGTCGACGATGTACGTGTCAGGGGTATAGGAAAGACATTCAACGGGCTGGAGAAAACAGTAGATGACCAACTCAAGGAGGCCAAGCCGAAGGACGTTACGAATAAAGAATGCCTCAAACGCCAAGTGTACTTCGATGGAGGTCGACTTGAAACGCCTGTCTACAAGCTGGATGATCTCGCGGTCAATGATCGCGTGAAAGGGCCTGCTATCATAGTCGACGACACCCAAACAATAGTGGTTACTCCGGATGCGACTGCTCTGCTCACAGATACCCATGTTGTCATAAACATCGGCGAAGCCGACACATCTGATCAGAAGCCCAGCGCAAGCGGCATGGACCCCATCCTGTTGAGTATTTTCTCACACCGGTTCATGGCCATCGCAGAACAGATGGGACGTGCTCTGCAGAAGACGAGTGTCAGTACTAACGTGAAGGAGCGACTTGACTACTCGTGCGCCCTCTTCGATTCCGAGGGAGGCCTTGTTGCGAACGCACCGCATCTCCCCGTTCATCTTGGTAGCATGTCAACCTGCGTGCGGATGCAAGCTCGGATTTGGGAAGGGAAGTTGAAACCTGGTGACGTGATTGTGTCAAATCATCCTGAATACGGTGGAACTCATCTGCCGGATATCACCGTTTTACAACCCACCTTTAACGAAGGGAAGATCATATTTTACGTTGCTTCTCGAGCACATCATGGTAGGTAGCCCCATGCGGGTTCCCAGCTTTGCGTATCTAATATTTCGACAGCGGATATAGGAGGTATTCTCCCAGGCTCTATGCCGCCGCATTCCAAGGAATTGTACCAAGAGGGCGCTGCAATCAAGTCGGAGAAATTGGTCTCTGAAGGGAAGTTTAATGCTGAAAAGATGGAACAGCTGCTGTACCATGATCCAGCCCAATACCCCGATTGCAGTGGGACTCGATGCCTTGCAGACAATATGAACGACTTGAAGGCCCAGATTGCTGCCAACAAGAAAGGCATCAATCTGATCAACTCCTTGATTGAGGAGTACGGGGAAGATGTGGTCTTATTCTACATGAAGAAAATCCAAGACAATGCCGAGCTCAGTGTCAGGAACCTTCTGAAAGATGTCAGCAAAAGGTTCGGGGGCAAAGATCTCAGCGCTGTCGACTTCATGGATGATGGCAGCCCTATTAATTTGAAGATAACGATCGACGAGCAACGGGGAGAGGCTGACTTCGATTTCAGTGGAACTGGTCCAGAGGTCTATGGTATGTCAATCTCTGGCAGTGTGGTTTTCTGCGCTAATCATGCTCCAAAGGGAATATCAATGCACCCGAGGCTGTGACATATTCAGCCATCATTTACTGCCTAAGATGTCTGATCTCCGATGACATTCCCTTGAATCAAGGCTGTTTGACTCCTATCAGGGTCAAGATACCAAAGAATTGCCTACTTTCTCCCTCGGGTACTGCGGCTGTAGTGGGTGGAAATGTCCTCACGGTAAGTGATTATTCACCTTGCGGAAACTGAAGCTATGCCCCTATTCTTTCACGCACTCCCAATTGCTTACGTTCCCATACCAGAGCCAACGGGTGACGGACGTAATCTTCAAATGTTTCAACGCTTGTGCAGCATCCCAAGGAGATACCAATAACCTGACGTTCGGATTCGGCGGTAACCTGCTTGGAAAAGATGAGACAAAGGGATTTGGATACTACGAGACTATTGCGGGTGGGAGCGGAGCAGGCCCCAACTGGGATGGCACTTCGGGTGTCCATACCCATATGACAAACACTCGCATTACTGACGCAGAAATCTTTGAGCGACGGTATCCTGTCATACTCCATGAGTTCAGTCTACGACCAGGCTCTGGAGGAAACGGACAACACCGCGGCGGCGATGGGGTCATTCGAGATATCGAATTTCGCATTCCTGTCCAAGTCTCCATCCTGTCGGAACGCAGATGCTATCGGCCGTATGGGTTGGAAGGCGGCGAAGACGCCCAGTGTGGTCAAAACATATGGATTCGGAAAGTCCCCGGTCAGAATGGAGACACACAAACGAAGTTCATCAATTTGGGAGGTAAGAATACCGCCAATATGCAACCGGGAGAGCGCATTGTCATCAAGACACCCGGAGGTGGTGGATGGGGCAAAGCGGGCTCTGAAAAACAGATCCGCAAAGAGCGAGATGCGCGACATGCCTGGTACGGTGGTTCGGTAGCGAGCAGTCTGTCAACACAGGAATCAAGCATGTGAACAGCTCGATGCAGGCTGTTCGGGACATTAGGGCAGAGACTGCATATACATGTATAGACAATGTGAATTGTGTCATTCAGCCACTCTCGAATGGTAATAAGTCTGCCCTGATCTGACGCCAAACTCCGCCTCACTTGGTAATGAACCCCCCTTATTCCTCGCTCTCGTCCTCATCGCTCGTAGCCTCAATGTTCTTCTTCGAATGTGACTCCTCCGCTTCGCTACCATCCTCCTCCTTGTCATTCGACTCTTGTCCCGCCGAATCAGCGTAATCCGGACGCGGCACCGACTCGCCATGTTCCTTGAGCGCAACTTCAATATCCGGAAGCACGGCCAACAACGCATAATACTGATCCATCGGTAGAGAGATTCCCTGCGCCATTATCATCAGTAAACGAACCGAACCAACAGGGTACACAGAATGAATGCTTCAGCCCACCTTCTTCCCGGGCAACACCTGACCATCCTTCTCGTAATACTCCCGAATATTCACCATGGTCTTCCCCCGGAATGAGGACACGGTGACGCGCCGCATCTTCGACAGCTCCCAGTATCGGTCTCCGTTGGCGTCGACTTTCCCAGACGAGCTGGACTTGGTTTTTGTTCGCTTGGATTGGGGAGCTTCGTCGTCGACTACGAAGTCGCTTGAGAGACGTTTTCTTGAACCGGCACCCATGACTGAAGATAATGCGAGAAATCAGTGAGAAGAGGGCGATGGATATGAAAGGTTGAGGGTGTGGGTTCAGGTGACTTATGATGATCTTTGGGTGTACGCGAGTAGATCGCAGTGCGCGCAGCTATGACGGCACTCTGGCGCGTTCCCCTGTTATCTTCACGTGACGATAAACAGAGTATGCACTGAGTACCGGGAGGGGTTAAGAGTTACTTCAGATAATATGGACATTAGGTTGCAAGACAGCACACATAAGTCATTACGAGGTATAATTAAGTAACGCTATATCCTGTATAACAGTGTACACTCATAATATCACAGCCCGCAGGGCTTGCAATAAAACAGAGAAAACAAACCCTCTAGCAATGGGTTCATATTGAAGACAGTCAAATACCTTTTCAAGAGCTTCTCGGCTGGCCGCTGCCCCCATCACACTTGTTAACGCCTGGGGCAGTCCTCTTTGGGCTAGTGCTTTCCGCGCAGAATCCCTGAGGCGCTCTTTTTCGGCATCATCGGGTGGAGGAGGCCAGGCTTTGAGTTCCTCCTCTGTCGGGAGAGCGTTTTCACGCATCTTCTGGAGATAAAACGCAATTGTGTCATCTGTCGTGTTCGCTTCGATCATGGACTCCTGCAACAGGCCGCGAATGGTTTCTAGATTAGGGTTCCCGGGACGGAGTATATAAGACTTGGCCGCATTCAGCAAAGTCCGGCGGATGTTCCACGCTGACGATAGCGTATATAATTCGTTGATCATGGCGAAAATCAACTCCACTGCAATACGGGTCTCATCCTGTGTGATAGGACTGCTCTGACTTCTTGGGACGGTAGCGGCTGGTTTCTCACCCACCGAGTTTGAGTGAGCCCCATCCGTTGCTGTCCCGTCCAGGCCCGAAGACGTCTGTAGAGCAGAGTCAACCTTTGCTTCTGGAGCTGAAGTGGGAATTTCTGAACTTTCGCGGGGACTATCCTTCGCGCGACTTGAAGTAGACTCACGAGGCGAAGAGTCAGTGGGTTGACTGGGCTTGGTGGACTGCACTTCTTCAGCGTTGGCGTCTGATTTTTGCCAGTCTGCAGCAGCCTTTTGGTATGGGTCATCTTCGGAAGTACGAAGCGGTGGCGTCTGTACTTCCTGCAGGCCAGCAAGCTTTTCGGCATTTCCATCTAGATCGGGGCTTGCTAAGGACTTTCTCCCGCTCGCTGTCCCAGTCCCAAAGACTCCTGAGACTCCGCCAAATACCGCTTTGCTGCCACCGGAAACCCCTTTGGGCGCATTGCTCAAGACGCCCAGAACATTTCTTCCCACATTCTCCAGTGCATGTTGACTAGGAAATGAGAACCCCGATTTTGTACCATTCGATACAGGACCAGTGCCTCCATCCTTTTCGAGAAATCGTCTCATTCGTGCACTTTCTGCAAGCGGTTCATATTGAAGAGCGTCCTGTAAATATCTCTCCAGCTCTTTCACTAGCGCTTGCTTCGTCTGTCCTTTCCAGGGCGGTAGAAGAGGGTGATCCTCCGTGAACTTTTCAAGTCGGTTCAATCGAGATATAGTCTCCAGTGCCACGTGGAGCGATTCAAAGTCTGTGTATTTCCGGAAAACCATCCATCCGGTTGAACGAGATGACGGTGGTTCGACCTGGAGCAGATAATCGGATGTGGGCTTTGAGCGCAAGACCCCCTTCCCTCCCGGCTCCGATCCGTCATCCACGGATATGGAGGCGCCGTATAGAGGCGGCGGTAGATCTGATGGCAGGCTTGGTGATGAGGGAATGTCTGGCAGTACTGCTGGCGACTGCGATGACGCCCTCTCATTGGACAAAGTGGTTTCAGTTTCGAATGAGCCCTTTCCAGTCGCGTTTTCTGTTGTTTCGCGAGCTAGGGAGTTCCTATCCCCATCCGTAGCCCTACTAAGCTCGTCGGTAGACCCAGAATTTCTTTCACCACCATCCGTCGTCGAAATTGGTTCCTGGAAGTTGCTCTGGGCCGCAATCATGGCACTTAGGCGTTTAGCCTCCTTTATTGCGTCCTCTGTTGCCTTGTCCACACTTCCAGGCTTCACTTGTGTATCATTAGCAGAGTTCAGGTCTGCATCCGCAGCGTCTGTTGATGCGCGGGATATGGTGTTCACATCCGTCGAGTCCCTAACCGAAGACACCCCTTGCGTACGGGCACTTTCAACGCCAGCGTCGATAGCATTCATAATCTCCGATTCACCTTCACTACAGAGGTAAATGATCCAGCCGTTTATGAATTCTGGACGCGAAAGGCTTGTTATGATCGACTCAAGGATGACGCCGGCTAGGATCTCGCGAAGAAAATCCCGCACTGGGAGACAAGCATAAGCCTTCGGATCCAGAAAATTGGACAATATGTCGTCTGCTATCATATTCAGTTTTCTTTTCTGCTGCGTTTCGGCTAACACATTTGCTAGGCTGCTTTCGGGAGACAGTTCTAGGTAGCGTCGAACCGTCTGTTCGGGTGACATAGAGGTCCCTACAACCTGGTAGGCAGTAGAGAGCTCATTCAGAAAGACGATCACCATCGATGATGAATTTGTAAGGAACTCGAGGAAAGCGTCTGCGGTCCGTTTTCGGGAGAGGTGGGAAGACACATTGCCAATAAAGCCGGCTAATACCGTCCGGCACGAGAGAGGAAACTTGGTTTCAGATGGCAATATCGGCCCATACCAGTATCTTTTTCGTCCTGGGTAAGCTCATGGCACGCACAGCACAGAAGGTGAAGGCTTACTTCACGTAGTCTCTTATCACCGCATCGGTGAGGGTTTCCAACGCGGCGGCCGTCTCTGGGCCAGAGATAGAATTGAAGTCTACCAAAAGGGTATCCCCGGTCGACTTCTGTTGAGGTTCATCGGCGCCCAAATCGGATTCCGGGGTCCGTTGACGCCAGTCAAGCAACCTGTTGGCTACGTTCAACGCGAGCTCCTTCCTTCTCGAGTTGCGGTCTTCTGGTGGGCCGCCTGTGCTCCCATTCTCCGATGCTTCCCATGTTGCGTGCAAGGTCACTCCGCCGGCAACACCAATCAAAAGGAGACCGAGTCTACCTAGGATGATGTACGTCGCGACTATTAACGCGGCGAAGGCACCCAACAGGACCTCGTTGCTCGAGTGTGCAAAGAAGTTCAGTATCGCGTCGACTATATCCTTCGGAGCTTTTGGATTGTTATCTTTTGTTTGGACGGCGGAGGATTCGGGGGAGGAAGTGCGTTCTTCGCTCGGAGCTGGCTTGTCGCTGGAAGCATCCATGGTGGCGCGCTTAGGGAAGGGATGGAATCGGCATTGGCCACGGTTTATATCTAGATCTGAGACAATCAAGGTCTAGAACGGGAAGAGGGTCGTATTTTCGAGAGCATTGGGAGGGTCATCAGTCATTAAGGAGAAGGTAAGTAGAATGATAGGGGAAGTTTGCTATTCCAGATTAGTAGCTGATCCAACAGCAGCGAAGTTACCATATTTAGCAAGCCGCGGGTCGGTTACATAACGCTGCTAAGCCATCGATGGATGCATTCAAGCATCCATTCATTCCTTTCCCCGGACACGGGGAACCCCTTCTTTTCTCCGGGCATGCGAATCCGATGATCAGTTACATTTCAGCTCTATCGATCCGCTATGGTAAATGCTATTGATATATTAAGAAAGATGCTTCGCTTCGTGTATCCATCCACTATTACCCTGTCTTTATCCAAAAAAAAACAAGGTATCTAAAGCTTTTTAGAATGGAGCTTCGATCTCCGCCATCCGAGTGAATCCAGTCATTCAAAGTGCATGTTATTCATGCTGGATGCAAAGAAGATAGCGGTGGTAGAATCCCTACCATGTAGGTTCTATCTGTCGTGTGCATGGGCAGTAGCATTTGGTGGACGGCCAGGTCTCTCCGTCCTTAGGAGACCACTGTCCCGATCCACCATCGCAGTTAGCTTCTCCAAAACCAGGAGGAAATGCTCATTTGGTCTTGAGGAACTTGGTATGCGAGCCCTTGGCTACCACCGATTGCCCTGATTCGGTTTTTTTCGAGATCGTGACGGTGGTAAAGGAAAGGGTTCTCCCGACTTTGTCAGCACGACCTTCAATCTCCAGCCAGTCTCCTGTTGTCGCGGTGGAAAGATAGTTGACGTGGATGTCGGTGCTCACGCCAGTGGAATCGTGGCCATGTGTCGCAATTGCCAAACCTCCGGCCCAATCAGTGACACATGCCGAAAAGACACCATGCAAGGTACCCTTCGAGTTCAGGTGGTGAGGAGCAACCTGGAGTCGAGCATGAAAAACGCCCGTCTTCGCTTCGTAAATATAAACATCACTTAACAGAAAGGCATAGATGGGGCTGTTGGCTTTAATGCGGTCCCAGACCTTCAGGACTTGCTGCAACTCTGATGACATTGTAGGTTTGGAAGTCTGAGGTCAATGGGAAAGTAATTGGGTGGGGAGATTTGTGACATGGCTGTTGGAAAGAAATGGAGGGAAATTTTTGACGCTGAGGGAGAGTTTCTCGCTTACCTTAGCACTTGTCCCGACCAGGCATGGACTGGTATGAAAGGTACCAGTGGGTACCCGTAATTCACGAAAGATTGCCGCGGATCTGCGAGTTCACCAGGTACCTTCAAGTACCGAGCCTGTTAGAAATGGTTTCTCCCTGAGCACGCCTTTGAAGGCCTCACAGACTCCGGCCCTATTCTTGAGCACGACCAGCCCTCGTAGACAGGTGTACCACGGGAAGCGTGTCTTCCATTAGAGATGTTCTAGAAGCAGGTGTTCCATTCGACTTCCATCGTCCATGCGGAGAGTGATAACATATATATATATATCCTCTCCTACAACTGGTTTCACGATAATTATGTAACACGTTTTGGGCAAGCAACCAAAGTATCTCCATTCTAAGCTGAGATGGAACCATATGTAGAATACACCGTGCGAGCACAAATCTATCGCCGCTTTCTGGATAGCATCTGGGACAGCATGAAATGATTTACATCCTCATCCGCCCAATAGGTCAAATGACTGGCAATGCTGGCAATCAGAGAGATGTCAAACGCGCCCCTGTAAATAGAGTTAGCCTCTGTCACCCTTCCAGAAGAAGGAAATCTATCTCACTCTTGTATGCTGTAGTCAACTCTTCCGTTAGAGTTCAAAGACCTCACTTTCAAGTCTTCCGTCTTCAACTTCTTCACGCGATCCTCGGCTTCCTTATACTGAGCTGCGCTCATCTCCCCGGTTGCCTTCTTTCGCTCATCCCGGGCTTTCTGAGACTTTTCATCAAGAGTCTCCAGGTACGCATCTATCAGAGTAGGCTGTCGATGATCAAATTTATATGGCGAATCAATGTCAGAGCTGCTTTGCGGCCGACTCCTCTGCGGCTGCGAGCTATTATTCGAAGATGGCTGCGCTGCCGAGTCATCAGGGCCAAGTCCAAGGCTGCGATTTAGAAGGCTGCTAGCAACGCCTGTCGTAAAGTTGGTCCACAAAGACCCAACACTCTGGCCCACACGACTCCCAATAAGTGAAAGACTCTGACCGGAGCTTGTCCAAAGGCTCTTCTTCACAGATGGTAGAGGCTGTGGGCGAAGCGAAGACATCGCGGGGGATATCAGTGGCTCTATCCGATAACTCACTGGGTCAGAAGGGTGGAAAATATTAAACAGCTGCCGGCAGCTAGGAGAGGAGACAATAGGATTATAGTTGTCCTTGATGGCAGCGCCTATCCCAGAGTGGGCCAGGTTGGGACTCCTTGACCCTTCATGTAGATAAGATCTCCCAGAGATCGTTTTCCCTTTAAGCATCTGGAAAAGAGCAATGGGTGAACCGAGACAAAACAGTTCTTCACATTGGAAGTTCAGGTGTTGATCTTGCTTCACTTCATCTCCCTGTCTCGGAGTATCGGCGTTGGTTCTTTCATGGCACAGGATATCGAATAAGATAGCGCTCCCCAATGAATGCCCACAAAGGCTCACGGATCCCTTAAAGGATGGGTTTCTCTCTTTGAAAAGTTTCAAGATCCGGTTGCATTCCTGTTTCACGATATTCGAGATGTGATCACAGTACGCACTTTGATATAGAAGCACGTCCATCGCCAGATCGGAAATCAAGTTTCGGACCGCAGGCACGCTGTCGAGGGTGATATCGGCCAGGCCGGGATACGAGTCTTCTTCAAAACCGGCATCAGCTAGGTCAAGCTCCTTTCGATTTTGCCGTACACCCTGGTAAGGAAAATCAAGGAGATGTCTCCAGCATCTGTACCCTGAGGTCAGCACAGGCATCCTGGTTTTGCGCTCAACCCCCACCAACGGTCCCCCTTGCACTTCATGGCTATCGTTGAACTTACACTGGAAGAACTTGGACACGACAATTCTTGTCCCGATCGCCAAACTCAGAGTTAAGGGCTTGGAGGTCGGGAGAGGCCTTGTAGACACTCTTCATCGTCTTGCGCAGAACATTCACGTCGTGAATAAAGTTGATACTTTCAAGCCGCAGTCCCAGTCGCTGGCCGATTCCATGTGTGACCAGCACAAGGTGGTCGATTTCCCTGTCTCGATCTTCATCTTCAAGCTCTCTGGAATTCTCCATCTCCTTTTCCTCCTGCCGACGTGCTTCCTCTTCCAGTTCGTCCACATTCTGCGGTTCGCCAGCAAGAGATGACATCTGCCTCTGTAGTGCCGACGGAGGGTTTCTTGCAGAAGACTCAGCATCGAATCCCTGGGCCTGGGAGAATTCAGATTCCTGGGCTACTGGTCTAGGGCTTGCTTGTGGGGATATAGTATCCGGCTTGGGCGCTTCTGAGCGCGGCGCCTTGTCTGTTTTCTGATCGGCGCCCCTCACATCCGATTGTTCTTTTTGTTTCTTCGAGTCCGAGAAACCGCGAACGACCTTTGTGCCGGGAACAAATCCTAGCTTCTGGTAAAAGGTGGTGCTGACCCGGGACATGAGGTCATCGTTTGTGAGTATCGCAGTTGCCGAGTCATGATAAGTTGCGATACAGTTCATATAAGCACCAAATAGACGGTAATTGCGGGTTTCACTCGAGGATGTAGCAGCTGACTGTCCAGCAACCCCGGCCGGCGGAGTTCGTGAAGGCTTGGGATCTGTACGAGATAATGAGCCTGGACGTGTCCTTTTTCAATATATGTCTGACTGTACCTTTCTCAGTGGCCTTGCCGCCAGGTGAAGATCTCGACAAAGTATCCTGTCGGTCTTCATTTGACCATGGTTTAACCTTAAGGTATCCTTCCTCTAGCTGAGTGGCTAGGTTCTCCTCGCATGGCTTGATCGTGGACCCGTCTTGGAAAAACCAAGTTCCACGGCGGACCTCGTATACGGGACCTATCCAGTAAGCTGGACTGAGTTCCCTCCGTTCAAGATCCACATCAAACAAATAATCCTCGTTGACAGGCACTTTTGTTGATTGGGGTTCTGAATTCTTGAGAGACTCCGCGTGTTTTGTTCCTTCCTGTTTCAATTCCAGGTCTGAGACCTTCTGGAATGCCGCTTCTATGGCCTGCGAGTCCTTGTAGGAGAATGGGACGAACTTCTTGGGTGGAGGCAAAGGCTTCGAGACATCCTTCTTTTGCTCCAGTAGAGCTGGCTTCCATTTTGGGGAGTCCACAGCATAGAACCATCTCACTTTCAATGGCGGGCAATCCTTGGGATATCGACGCAGGCTCAGCCTATGTGTGTGGGTAACTGTATGGTCTTCGCCTTGGGATCGTTGCAGAACTTCCCGAGGCGGGCTTTGGTCCCCAGTGCTTTTGGGAGTTGAACTCCGCGTGATGTTCCAAACGGACATTGTGCGTAGGAAAACGCCCTTGTGGCTTTCCCTTGACACGGAGCCCTGGAGAGCTCGGAGAGCAAAAGACACTGCCAATGCGATTTGCACCCAGTGGCAGCGAATTGAGGCGATGGATAAACGATGGTCGATTTGATGGTAGTATGCTCGATCTCCAGGCACGGGAAAGTTGCCGCGGAGATACCAGGCCCTGAGAGCTGGGAGACTCCCCGTACTCTGATCTTAGATATGAGTGACCAGAGAACCTGGTAGGTCGTCTTTCTGTTTGGCGTAGTATTTCGCGGGATCGGTTCTTGCCAATATGCGATCCAGTAGCTTTGATGGTCTGGAATTCAATTTATGTTGTCGCCTGATTTATCCTGTGCCACTGCGCAGTTGTGTCGGTTGTCTAGACATGTGTGCGTAGGTGCTGTGAGCTAGGTAGATGCGTAACAGTTCGGGGTAAGCTAGACGTTCTTAAGGGCCGAGACGAGTGGACTGCTAGTTACTAGAAGTGGTATAGCGTTATGTGGAAAAGCGTCATGCCTTGGCATGCCTAGGCACCTCCTGTCCCTCATTGCATCGCCCATTCTGATCTATTTCTTTCAATGATTGGAAGATTGCCAGAATATTCCATGGAGTACAGAAAGGAACCTCAATAATCACCAAGTATGTAGGTAGGTAGGTAAATAGTTAACGAAAATTTATTACTGCCAACCTGCACTACTGCATTATGCAGGGCGGCAGGACCGACCTGCAAACTACGTAGGTCTGAGCCACGTTTTCCATATCGCAGCTTGGCACGTCGAGACTCTTACACTTTTTTAAATGGTACCAGGCCACACATCGAATAGCGTTATCCTGGAGTTCGTCAATGGCAAAAATCCAAAAAGAAATGACCTACGCAGGATTCGAACCTGCAATCTTCTGATCCGTAGTCAGACGCCTTACCATTGGGCCAGCAGGCCTGTGATTGGTTGAAATCCGATTCTGTTAATGCTATATAAACCAGGCTGGTCTTTTTGTAAATGAAGTCAGGCATTGGCCATAGTAGCCTCTACAACAGCCGTACTGACTAGCAAAATAGTCTACAGAGACCCGCGCTTGGAGATCTGTGTGAAAATGACGTCTCAAATTTACCTCTGAGTAGGTATATACACTCCCCGGTGAGTCACCGAGCATGATACAGCGCTATTTCAACTGTCCAGTATCTCTTGCAAATTCATGTTGGAACGATGAAATAGTACCTTAAATCCACCGAAGAACAGACGCCGGGAGCTCGTTAACCCAAAGTCCTTTTCATACTGTCGCAGATTTGGTAAAGGCAACGACGTTTGATAATAAAGCGAGCAGGATGTCTAACGGAACAGATTTTGCAAGGCATCGGAATGCGGGACGGTAGGTGCGTATTACTGCACCATAGTGCGATAAACCGCTCGAATCACCAAGCAAGGCCTGCTGGCCCAATGGTAAGGCGTCTGACTACGGATCAGAAGATTGCAGGTTCGAATCCTGCGTAGGTCATTTTTTTGTAGTTTTTCTTGACCCTCTGATACCCAGTCATTCATTTCTTGTCTTCCCAGGCGCAGACAATCTTTTTAATCTTCTTTTGCTCTATCCTTCCCCCTTATTATTATTATGTACGATGGGTGAGGCAGGGAGCAAATCCAGCCTTGCCCTTCCTTCGCCACATAACGCCATGCGATCGGATGTAGAGGGGCAGCATAGAGATAAAGATACCTAGTAGGCAGAAATATACCGGAGAAATGGATATATCTCACCTACACCAATAGTTATGGAATGCCGAACAAGACGAATCGAGAATCCCTTAATAACGTCACTACCCGCGTAAACAATGTGGTAGGCAGTAGGAATACCCACCAAGATTCTTACGTAGGGGAGAGAGTTACTTAAGAGAGGTGCCCCACACCCCAGGGGAGGCACTGCCCACCTGGCTACCTAACTATCTTCATCGACTACCTCCTCCGTATATACCTGCGCATACCCTCCTCCCCCCCAAAGCCACGCAGTCGGAATTGTGGCCTTCAAGACACAGACCCTCTTTTGCATGCGTTTGGATCATACCATCCCCGCATTGAAGTGTCACCCTTAATCTTCCCCTCTCCCACATCATTGTTCCGGCCAACCCCGCCATTCCAGCCATCAACTGCACGGACCGAACGGCGTGAAAGATGAACGTGCTGAAGCTTCAAAGGTCCGTAACTACACATATTCATCAGAATATAATACGCTCAATTGGCTTCTCCAAATACTCGAGTCTCCGGATCCTTCTGAGCATAGCTGACACCTTCTTGAACCCACAGAAAGTTCCCGCAGCTGGACCAAGGCGAGATCTTCTCACTCCAAGATGCATTCAGAAAACTGGACGTGGACGAGAAGGGCTACTTGGACGAAGCCACCGTGATCAAGGCCACTCAACAATCGGAGCGCCAACCCTATGATGTCGTCCGTCAGACGCTGAAGGAGGTCGACCTCGACAGCTCTCGTCGTGTGGAGCTGGAGGATTATGTCGATGTCAGTATTTCACGTGTCTCCCAACACCACTACCAGCAGAATGACTGACGCCGCATTAGTTGATCGCCAAGCTTCGCGCCGGCCCTGCTCCAGGCAGCTCCGGCACTCCGAGTGCTGCCCCCGTGCTTCCTGGGAATGGCGCTGGCGCTTCCAGACATGTTTCCAAAGGCAGCATAGGCGGTAGAATTCACGTACAAGGCTCTTCGGCGAACGTGACCCATACAATCAACGAGGATGAGAGAACCGAGTTTACGAGGCACATCAATGCCGTTCTCGCGGGCGATCCAGATATCGGTCACATTCTCCCATTCCCTACCGACACGTTCGAGATGTTTGATCAGTGCAAGGATGGGTTGGTTCTGGCGAAACTGATCAATGACAGCGTCCCTGATACAATTGATGAGCGTGTCTTGAACAAACCCGGAAAGAAGATCAAGGAGTTGAATGCCTTCCATATGACCGAGAACAACAACATTGTGATCAACTCTGCCAAGGGTATTGGGTGTTCAGTAGTGAACATTGGCAGTGGCGATATCATCGAAGTGCGCGAACATCTCATCCTCGGTCTTATCTGGCAGATTATTCGCCGCGGTCTCTTGGGGAAGATTGACATCAAACTTCACCCTGAACTCTATAGACTTCTGGAAGAGGACGAGACCCTGGAACAGTTCCTCCGCCTTCCCCCGGAGCAGATCCTACTCCGTTGGTTCAATTATCACTTGAAGAATGCCAAGTGGCATAGACAGTATGTCATTTTCCATCAGTCTCCCTGTCCCTTATTCTCGGATCGTTCCTTCACTTTCCCCACAAGGGACAGTGGATTTATACCATCAGAATCTAGTTGAATGTCGGCTAACTCGACTTAGGGTGACGAACTTTTCTTCCGATGTGAAGGACGGGGAAAATTACACTGTTCTCCTCAGTCAACTAGCACCTGAGCTCTGCTCGCGGGCTCCACTGCAGACCAGAGACCTCCACCAGCGTGCCGAGGAGGTCCTCGTGAACGCAGACAAAGTGGGATGCCGGAAGTTCTTGACTCCCTCCTCGCTTGTTGCTGGAAACCCTAAGCTCAATCTCGCCTTTGTGGCCAATCTGTTCAACACGATCCCGGGTCTTGATCCGATTACCGAGGAAGAGAAGCTTGAGGTGGAGGACTTCGACGCGGAGGGCGAGCGTGAAGCCCGCGTGTTCACTCTCTGGCTGAACTCGCTAGATGTGCAGCCGGCTGTCAACTCTCTCTTCGACGATCTTCGAGATGGAACTATCTTGCTGCAAGCGTATGACAAGGTGATTCCTGGAAGCGTCAACTGGAGGCATGTGAATAAGCCACCGGCGTCTGGTGGGGAGATGATGCGCTTTAAGGCAGTGGAGAATACGAACTACACTATCGAGCTCGGAAAGCATATCGGGTTCTCCCTTGTCGGTGTACAGGGAGCGGATATCACAGATGGCCAACGTACCCTCACCCTGGGTCTGGTGTGGCAGTTAATGCGCAGAGATATCACAAATACTCTCTCCTCTCTGGCGCAAAGAATGGGCAAGCGTGAGATTACTGACGCAGAAATGATCAAATGGGCCAACGATATGTCTCGGAAGGGCGGTCGTACCTCGAGCATTCGCAGCTTCAAGGACCAGTCCATTGGTTCTGGTCTCTTCCTTCTTGATGTCCTTAACGGCATGAAGAGTAGCTATGTGGACTATGAGCTCGTGACGCCCGGCCGCACCGACGAAGAAGCATATGCCAACGCCAAGTTGAGTATCAGCATAGCCAGAAAGCTGGGAGCAACCATTTGGTTGGTCCCCGAGGATATTTGCCAGGTTCGCTCTCGTCTGGTGACCACGTTTATTGGTGAGTTCCCCGGTTATACCCAATACTTTTTTACGGGCCCACATATACTGACTCCGGTGTTCTAGGTTCCCTTATGGCTACGTATGAGAAAATGCAATGAGGCATGTGCTTGGTCTGCAGGAAGTGGAGCGTTTGATCTGCTGTTTTGCTTCCGTTCTCTTTGTCATTTTCTACGTGCCTGGTCTGCTGTTCTATATTATGTCAAATGTATGTTACGTTCCTGCAATGGCTGAACTACAAGCCCGTACGTGAACTACGGTGCCTCATACATAGGAGACCATAAACATGTACTTGATGAGACGAATGATTTTATTCAAACTGCACCGCTATACCGTGACTATCCAGACACGATCTTAGCTGTACATCTAGGTAGCTAGGATCACCTGTGCCGATTTACTAAACCAAGTACTGATTCAGCCATGTAACAGCCTGGATGAAGGCGTTCTCCTTCGCAAACTTAAGGTGCGGCTTCGAAATATCGGCACGAACCGCAAAGCCATGCTCGACACCACTGAACAGGTTGATCTGATACGGCTGGCCAACCTCCGAGAGAATTTTTTCTGACTCGTGGCGCTTTGGGGCCGGGAATATGGAGTCGGTCTCTGTTATTAACGCAAAGGTACAAGGTCAGCGACTCAGCATGTCCCCAATATGAGAAGGTAGGTCAAGAACACCCACCAGCTGCAGCGATTGACAACGGGCCTTCTATCTTCCTCAACTCATCCGCCTCAACAAAGCTAGGATGCGCAACGTAGCCCGCATCCAAAAGGCCGGAATGCAGGAAACGTACAACGTATTTCGCCTGCGGTGGCCGAGTTAGCATTACGTGTAGAATGGAATACGCGATGAAGCGCTTCCCCCAGTCCATGGGCGTACGTACCCCAAAGCAGTATCCTACAGCCCCGATCTTCCGACATCCCATCTTGGTTCTCATCTCGTCTATGACGGACTGCACGACAGGGTCAACCCGGTTGGGGAGGTGTCCCGGCGGACCCTGGAGCCATTTCATGATATCGAACCCATCGGGCCTGTTGAGCTGCACCGGGTCTCCGTGGAACAGGTCAGGCACGACCACTAGATACCCGTTGGCAGCGAACTGGTCCGCTATCAACTGGGCATTGATGAAACGGTGGCCGATCACGTCGGTTAGCATGAGAATGGCCCGCTCGGTGGATTGGCTAGGAGGGTATGCGATGTAAGTCTCGACTGAGGATCTCGGTCGTTAGCATGCTTTCACGCTTGAGAGCCATGCGCAAGGCCGCTTTGCAGGGGATGTTACCATTTCCGATGTTCTTATATGTCCCCTTGGGATCTCCTTCATGCTTTACTCCGACCACGCAGCAAGGCCCGGGTGCGTTCGAAGCCATGGTGTGATGATGCTAGGTGTGGATCTTAGGAAGTGTTATCAGAATGTAGAAAGTCTATTCCGCCCTGTATTGATACAAATCAAGCACGGAGGACAAGGACGTCCAATTTATATCCTTGTACCTACTGTTTAATAATAAGGCGGGGTAAATGCATTCGAACTGCCGAGACTACACGGAAGATCCGGATAGGTAGCCCCACGAGAACCACGAGAACCACGAGCACTACTGCAGACTGTATATCATACTTCGTATCTACGGGGAATTTCAAGGTGTAAAGCCCATCCAATAATTGGTACAGGGACGGTAATTATAGACTTATGTGCAGATCAGCAGGATCAAGGCCCACGAACGGGCTTCGTAGACTCGTAGAACTTGAGAACACGAGGCTACACCCGCACAGTAAAGACGACTAACATTGACTGGTTAGTTCAAACACCCTTACCTCTGGAACCAACCCATCTGATATCTCGGAGCCCGAATCTTTCGTTCAACAGGTGGCAATATCCGGGGTGCTGGGGGACTTCGTTCGGGTCTGTACCGGCGTACTACAGAAGATTACGCTACTCAGGACAGTTGACCGTCAGGATGGGGTTCGATCGGTTGTACGTGACGGGGATTGGGGAGCTCTAATCGACTTCATATTAAATTGCGACTTAGGGAGGGCGCCGGACTGCTGCGGATCGAGACGAACTGGCGTGGAACCGAAACGATCGCGTCGCATTCGTTTCGGTAGGTAGCGATTCGAGCTGCTGACCACGATAAATAGGTACCAATCACATAACGAAAACAAACCAAAAGCCCAAAACTGCAATTAAAAATGGGGAACCATAGCCACCGAGTCCGTACGCATATTCCGGTCTTCCTTTCTTTTTTGGTCTTGTTGCGTGAGATGAATAAGTTGTAGTAGAAAAACGAACTGGGATGGGGGAACCGGACAGGGAAGAGGGCGGGCAGGCAAGCTTGACAAGAGATAACAGTGCAGGCAATCCAAATACCGGGGTCGATACCTGGGCATCTACCGACGCACACGTTTTCGGTAAGCTATCAGCTCCCAAGTTTTCTCTCTGCGTCAAATCCCCTCCGTTCCATGCCATGCTCTTGATTGTGGCAAGATGAAGAGCCAGCCCATGGGGACAGCGGCGCTGTAAGCATAAGTCCGCACCAACCTACTCAGCAGTGTCCAGCTCATCATGAGCAGACGTCATGGAATCTAAAGGAACTGTCCTGGTGAGCACGCGTACGCAGCAGTGGGGAGACGGTAGCCGAAGACGGACACATACCCTTGCGCTCTTCGCCGTTGGGGCCGTTTTCGCGCTCATCGTCGCGTCTTTCGCGCTCATCGTCACGAGGCCGATCATCCTTGATATCCCGCTCTCTCTCATCGGGGCTACGGGAACGATCGCGGGAACGATCGCGATCCCGACGCTCGTAGTCACGGTCACGACGATCATAATCACGGTCGCGACGTTCGTAATCCCGATCATGGCGGTCATAATCGCGTTCATACCTGTCATCTCTACGGGGAGAGTAGTCACGACCACGTCGAGGGGATGGAGAGCGACCACGGCGCGGAGGAGTGCGGTCACGGCGGCGGTCACGACCAGAGTCGAAACGCCAGGAAGCAGAAGGAGGAGTTCGAGCCCACTGATACGTTGTGAGAACGCGATTGACGCGGAGCAATCGGATAATACGTACCTCAATCTTCAGCAGGTCATCGCGACCGATCCTCTTGTTGTGCATCTCATGGTACGCATCATCAGCATCGCGACGGCTCTCATACTCCACGAATGCAAACCTAAATCTTATTAGATCGCAATGCCGGGCCACTGGAAGGGAGTTAGACGTACAATCTGCTGGAGGGGGTACGCGGTGCCGGGATGTCACATCGGACAAGACGCCCGTAACTGTAACCAAGTCAGCAACTCTCATTCAATCATGGATGAGCTAGAAAGGAGAGCCAATAGGGCCAAGGTGCAGTTCAACAGGGAATACGGTTAGCAAGAAGCCAGAGGTTCTCTTAAGGGGTAAGAGAATATGGACGTGGAGGAGCAATAGGATCAGGATCCATTTGACAAATAAGAATGACTCCGACGTCGACATTGCGAGGCTTAACCGAGCTGTGGCTTGCGAAGACGGGGGGGACGAGGGAGGCGTCTTGGGCGCGGTAGCGGAGAGCAATCGACGACCGGCACGTACCGTTCGAATTCGTAGGCAAGATCGCGGGCTCGAGTTCCATGGCCGAAGCCGGTGACGTAGAGGGTGGTACCTGGACGAGACATTGTCGATGGCTTCCACTTGGGGGGAAAGTGGGAGTTGTAGCAGTGATAAACGGATGGACAGGAGAGAGGGAGAGATGATGTAGTTAGAAAGAGAACGGATGGGAACGACGAAGAAAGACTTGGAAGTACGGTTAAGGACACGATCCAGAAGTGCACTTTTCGGGTACGGCAAGTATTCCTCCACTTTGCGGAAGAATCGCCGGAAGAATCATCTTATGAGCGTGGTAAGTTCTCTTGAGGAATGTTCCACGGGATGTTATAATATATCATCTGTTCATACCCATATCCCGTCTGCTCTGATCTTAAATGGTGACTACACGCTGGTATACCAAGGCCCAGAAAAGGTAAGGACAATACCGTCTTGATACCAGGGAAGAATGAATATGTACCAGTCTGGCCAATTAGAGGGCCTCAAATTGCTTCACTTGTGGTCACCATCTGGTATTACCTTCGGAGCCCTGTCGCTAAGGCACCTCCGCTGGGAATAACCGGGGACCGACAAAGCAAGGAGAACTACGGAGGATAACCACCACGACAGATGGGAATGACGCTTCACTACATGCGGGTCCTTGAACCAGTCCTAATTCCACCAACGCTTCTACCTCATACAGCACCATAGCACATTCTCTCTTTGCAGCCCATGCAGCTGTCCTTGAAATATTCAATGCTGAGCCAGATGGCGTTATAGTGATCGCGTGGATACCTTGCCAGTCACAACAACTTCCTTTTGCCGCCGTGCTGGACCGACCCTGCTCACGCCCACCACCCATACTCTACCTCTATCGTGCTATAGTCATGTTATTCTGGCCCTGAAAGCGAAGCTCGTGATCGCCTCCTTCCAATCAGAGAACAGTGCTGGACGAAATTGTTCGACTTCGTCTTCCGCAGCACACCCCGGCCCCCGAAAACCCTCTCCGCAGCTGGCAGTCAAACAAAGAAAGGAACCCAATCTTACAAGCCTCACTTAGGAGCTTGACTTTGGGGGGAAGTGGGTAGACGGCATTTCCATAGAGTTCTCTGACACAGCCTGTTATCCAACTCAACATGAGCCTAGATCGCCAAGAATCGGGCCGACATGGAGAGTCGAACGGTTCGACGAACAGCGCGATCCCAGCTTTATCCCCGTTACCAGGATCCCCAAACATGGCTCAGGTGAGATCGGTGTCCTTGGATTGTCGGCAGCCCGGCGGTTACTAAACAACAACCAGGACTCACTTCCGGAGCGCGAATCCGCCTTCCTTACCGGAATCAAGAACAAGGTCTCTGAGCCGGTCACTGCGGCTTTCCTTGCTGGTGGTGTAGCAGGAGCCGTGTCGCGAACGATTGTGTCCCCGCTTGAACGCCTCAAGATCCTTCTTCAAATCCAGACTGTCGGTAGGGAGGAGTATAGGTTATCAATATGGAAAGCCCTCGTAAAAATTGGGAAAGAGGAGGGCTGGAGGGGTTTCATGCGGGGAAATGGAACGAACTGCATCCGTATAATACCTTACTCTGCAGTCCAATTTGGGAGTTACAACTTCTACAAGAAGGCAAGTCACACCAAGAGCCACTGCAACTCAGCCTATATCGCGCAGAAGGGAACTAATGCCTCGAACAGTTTGCAGAACCTTCTCCCAATGCAGAACTATCCCCAATGCGTCGTCTCATCTGCGGAGGCGCGGCCGGAATCACTTCGGTTACCATGACCTACCCTCTTGATATAGTGCGCACGCGACTTTCTATCCAATCCGCCTCCTTCGCAGCTCTTGGAGAACGTCACAAGGCCGAAAAACTACCGGGCATGTTTAAAACCATGGTCTTGATATACAAGAACGAGGGTGGTATCGTCGCTTTGTACCGTGGCATCGTCCCCACAGTCGCAGGTGTGGCTCCTTACGTGAGTGTCACTACAATCAACCCGGCATGAGTTCCCCCACTAACCCCACAAGGTCGGACTCAACTTCATGACCTATGAGTCGATTCGAAAATACTTGACTCCCGAGAACGACAAGAACCCTAGTCCTCTGCGAAAGCTACTTGCGGGAGCCCTGTCCGGTGCCGTGGCACAAACATGCACATATCCTTTGTAGGTTCCCCCTTTTGCTGATCACTGGTTCGGCGTTCTAACGAACAAGCAGTGATGTTCTGCGGCGACGATTCCAGATCAATACTATGTCGGGGATGGGCTACCAGTACAAGTCTATCGGGGATGCCGTGAGAGTCATTGTGGCTGAAGAAGGGCTTCGGGGCCTTTTCAAAGGGATCGTTCCCAATCTCCTCAAAGTTGCGCCCAGCATGGCCAGCAGTTGGCTCAGTTTCGAGATCACCAGGGATTTCCTTCTCGAATTAGGGGACAAATGATTTCTCTGGGGAGACCGGCACGCCTTTTCCTGTTTTGGTTTCTCCGAGATCGCTGCAATTGGGGGCCTTCCTAGATGTTCAAGATTCCGAAAGGCCCAGCTCTTTCGGCTGCGTTTACTGGTGTATATTATTAGTCAACACAGTTGACCTTTCCGTTAGATGGACAAGACAGCATCCAGTTCGCCTCAACTTCCAGGCGGGGTGGTGGTGACAATACAAAGAAATACCACACAGTTCACATATCCTACATGTATTTTTCGTAGAACACTGTTTTGGAAGCCGTTTGGACCCGAGACTTGATGGGATTATAAGCACTCTAGACAGAGAACTTTGTCCATCTGTACTCTCCTCCGCAAGGAAATCTGATTCTCTTTACCGAAGAAAGGAAAATCCCGGGAGCGAGCGCCAAGCTGCTGTGGGGCGTTTATGCCATATTATTGAGGCATCAAAGAGGCGACTTCCGAGGAGATTCTTCCGGTTTCCGAATTTGTTTTAGGTTAGGGCTCAACCCACACACACCGTCCATCTGAAAATCATAGACCGAAAACCTGACCAGCTTCACTTCGCATACGGGTGCGACAGCTAGCCAACTCCCAGGTGTCCCATAACTCACAGCAGCCATGGGTATGTTCACGATCCTCGACTACAGACAGACAATACGACTCTTGAATTTTGAAATGCGAATAATTTCATGAGATGGGAGTCGCTACATGGTGAAGTTCTTGAGGCTAATCCGTTCGTCGTGGTATACAGGTATCGACTTGGATCGCCACCATGTGCGCAACACCCACCGCAAGGCGCCTAAGAGCGAGAACGTCTACTTGCAGGTGCTGGTGAAGCTCTACCGCTTCCTCGCTCGTACGAAAACCCCACCCATTTTCAGGCTTTAGGCGAATCATCCCCAGGGCAAATCGAGGACTAATGAGGAGTTGGATAGGCCGCACGGAGTCGAACTTCAACAAGGTCGTTCTGCGTCGTCTCTTTATGTCGCGGATCAACCGTCCCCCGGTTTCGCTCTCTCGCATCGCCTCGAACGTGACCGAGTCCCACAAGGGCAAGACCATCGTCGTGATCGGAACCGTCACCGATGACAACCGCCTCCTGACCGTCCCCAAGCTGTCCGTGGCTGCCCTGCGCTTCACCGCGACTGCCAGAGCCCGCATTGAGAAGGCTGGTGGTGAGGTCCTGACCCTCGACCAGCTGGCTCTCCGTGCCCCCACCGGTGCCAACACTCTCCTCCTCCGTGGACCCAAGAACGCTCGTGAGGCCGTGAAGCACTTCGGCTTCGGCCCCCACAGCCACAAGGTAAGATGCTTTGCTATGTGGATTATTTTATAGGGGATTGAAGAGACTGACTTGTGATGTAGAAACCCTACGTGCGCAGCAAGGGTCGCAAGTTCGAGCGGGCCCGTGGTCGGAGACGGTCCAAGGGTTTCAAGGTCTAAGGGAGTTAAAATACATGGCGTCTCCTGTGATGGCGCCGGGGTTTTCATGTTATGGAAAGACGAGCGCAAGGTGTCCATCTTGTGTCTAGAATTTTACGTACAGCTAGCTCTCTCGAAGCCTAGTTTGATGTGTCGGTAAAAGCAATTTCTTACGGATGAAGTAAAGTTCCAAGTAGACGAATTTGGATTCTTTTGAAGTGAAGGAAACGTGCGAATTATCTATCCACTATCCCGGTCCTTTTGCCTCCCACCTTACAACGGGAGATTCTGATGTTTCCATGTTCTCTCGCCAGAGGAATAATCCGAAGCCCGATGGCCGTCGCCCCGAAGCAGGTATTTGTAGATGGTCAGACCGTCAAGCCCGACAGGGCCTCGAGTGTGAATTTTGTTCGTGCTGATACCAACTTCTGTTCCAAATCCATACCTCATACCGTCCGCGAACCTCGTCGAGGCGTTCCAGAAAACACCAGCACTGTCAATGGCATTCATGAAGGTTTGAGCCACCGATCTGGATCTTGTCACAATAAGGTCTGTGTGCTTAGACGAATGGGAGTTGATGTGGGCGATCGCAGCGTCAACCGCAGAACTGTCGGGCGATGCAGGGTAAATGGTCTTCACTGCCAGGATGAGGTCCAAGAACTCCGTCTCATAGTCAGACTCCGTAGCCGCTTGTACCATTGTCGATGCATTAGGGAGCCCTTCTATCGCAGCCTTGGTGGGGGGATCACAGCGAAGACGCACACCCTTTTCCAACAGTGCCTTGGCAACAGCGGGGAATACTGTCCCAACTATATCATGATGCACGAGCAAGGTTTCCAGCGAATTACATGCAGCCGGATAATCAGTCTTCGCATCCACGATAACTTTGACGGCAACTTCTGGATCGGCGTCCTCGTGAAGATAGGCGGAACAAAGACCATCCGCGTGTCCTAGGACCGGGATCTTCGTATTATCTTTGACGTATCGAACAAGCTCGTTCGAGCCTCGGGGGATAACGAGATCGATGAACGAGTCTTGGGCCAACAAAGAAGACACTATGTCCCGTGTCTTCACCAGCTGTACTGAAGCTTCCGGGACCTTCGTATGAGAGATGGCTTCCGAGATGACCTTCGATATAGCGACGAATGATTCAGTAGACTCCTTTCCGCCTTCTGTATGTTAGCGACTTGTTGAGATTGAAATAGTAATTCAAAACTAACCCTTTAGGATGGCAGCGTTTCCGGATTTGATAGCCAAAGCAGCTATGTTTGCAATGACCTCCGGACGAGCCTCGAAGATTATCAGCAGGACGCCGATTGGGCAGCTCACTTTCTCCAGGGTAAGACCGTCATCCAAGAGCGTCCTCATTGTCACATTCCCGACTGGGAATAGAGTTAGCCAAATGGTCCACACAAAGGATTGCCTCATACATACTTGGGTCCTTCAGGTCCCGCACGCTCAGGATCCCCTGGAGCATATCATCATACTTCCCAGATCTCGAAAGGTCAAGCCGCTTCAAGACACTATGGCTGAGGCTGCCATTTTCTGCGGCCTTGGTGGCTGCCTCCACATCTTTCGCATTGGCCTCCAGGATGCTTGTCTTGTTGATGGACAGGGCATGATGAAGTGCGGTCAATGCTTCGTTGCGATCAGCGTCAGCCAACGTTGCCAATCGACGCGATGCGACAGACGCCGTCTTCGCAATCTCGACCGCCGAGGAATCAGTTAGAGACATTGTCGAGATGATTGGGTAAATTATCGATATTGTTGGAGGTTACTGGCAGGGAACATTGAGATGGCCCGGAAATTTTTAAGCACCCCGGATGACTCGACGCCTCCCCGCACTAACCAGTCTCGAGGTGTCCAGTCCATTAATTCCAGTGGTTCCCAGTTTATCTTGTTACAAGCCGTGAGTCTTTTATATACGATGTCCTTTGTTTTTTTGCCGCAGCACTAGAAGTATTTTGTTTTTGTCTATCGAATTAAAATATCTATACCTCTATGTATGTATGAAATCCGAATCATCCATTAACGGTCTTCGTTTGGAGGGCCCGATTGGGCCCGCCTTATCGGCAGCTTTACATGGAAGGCGGTGTGTCGAGTCCCCACTTGTGTACCTTTTGTGATACGAAAGCACTGGCGTCATTTCAAGGTCTCTATTTCTCCCCATTGCTGCTCTCACATCCGATAACAGCTTTCGACTCTGAATGGATTCCATGTGAGATTCTTATATCTTCCAAATATCAGAATCGAACCCTGCGAGGATGGCAGAATTACTCCCCCGCCTGACTTCGGTTGTGCCCAGTCAACACTCCTCAGATGAGAGCTACGATCGTGATATTCGCGAACTCGTTGCCTACCTCAAAGAACCTAGCACAAAACCCAGTATCATCACCGCTAGTGAGTATCTTCTAGAGGTAAGCTCATTCTATTTCGAACCTATACAGCAAGCATCGTGTATTGCGTGCTGACACTCCCGGAGAACCTCGATCCATCAATACACACGCTATCCTACCTCCTTGTACTCTACAATTCTATTCAGTCCCAACAAGAGAAGAATGACCCCCGTCTATGGAACGATGCCCGTCCAGGAGGGCCTTTGTGGCAGAGGGCCGTGCGGTTTTTGAACTGTTTTGACCCCATTCAAATCAGATACGCTGGGCATGAATGGCGCATGCTCGTCGAGCTGGTGGCTCGGGTTACACAAGAGGTCTCAAAGGCATGACGCGTACACCTTATTTCTATTCGTTTACTGACAACAAAAAAGCCTCTTCTAGCTATTCCGGTGATTACAACTGCTCTCCTTCGAGTAGATGCGTCCTCCCAGGTCTTCACCTCGGTCCATCTTCTCATTGTTAGGCTTGCTTTGCTGTCCAAGTCGTACAGCTCCGTTCTCCCCATTCTTGACAAGCAGCAGTGCCATTTTCCTTGCATTTCAGGGCAGATTTATCAGAAAAACAATCAGTCACTGTTGTGCTCAATCCACACTTCAAGCGCTGCGTTTATTACAGATGTCTCGGGATTCTCCTCGAAGCTCACATACAAACATCACCTTCAATATTATCTCTACGGGGGTATGATATACTTGGCCTTGAAGAAATGGGACAAAGCTCTTCACTTCTTCAGCATAGTCATATCATCACCCACTGGAAGCTCTGTCAGTAAGATCATGGTGGAGGCTTACAAGAAGTGGATCTTGACCAGCCTGCTTGCACATGGAAAGGTAATGCGATACTTTGCCGCAAGACCCCGTTTCAAACTAATACGTTGTTCAATTCAGATAATCGCTCCCCCCAAAGTCATTTCTTCCAGCACCATGAGGATTTACCAGTCAACTTCCAAGCCATATACCTCTCTAGCCAATGCCTTCGAAAAGGGTGATCTGAACACGCTGATGTCCGAATTTGAGTTGGCACGTTCTGTCTGGCGTACTGTGAGTGACTTGTCTCTTCCCCTCCCCTAAGTAGCTGGGTCGTGGAGGCTCTCGCTAGCACCCACAAATAGGTTAGGCTAAAAGCAGCCTTACGTAGAGAACCTGCCCTGTTTCTGTTGTGCCGTACTTACATGGTTTAGGACAATAATCTAGGCCTCGTGTCACAGGTCATTGACGCTTTTGACCAGTACATGGTCATGAAATTAGGGAAGAAATTCTCTGCTCTCGCAGTCCCAGATGTCGCGCAGCAGGTCGTATCGTCTGTGGGAACTGACCCTGACGTTATTGAGACACTCGTAGCGTCTCTCATCATGTCCGGAGCTTTGGACGCGATGCTTCTCCACATGGACGATCACCGTCGATCTACAATGCTTCGGTTTTCGTCTGCTGCCATGTCACCTATCTTCCAGGAGCGGTCTGTACAAGCCCAGTTGTTAAAGGAGATTCATGCCCTGGGGCTTGTCACGGGAAACACCGGTCTATCAAACGACGCACTAGAGCTGGGTGACGAGCATTTACGGTTCTTGCAGAAAACCCAGAGATGGCTCGATGATGGCGATAAGAGCCTTCCTCCTACAGGAGGCAGTGGTTTCGATGTGGACGAGGATATCATGGGTGATCTTCACTAGCTTGCTGCTTTCCTGTACCAGGATGTACGTGTTCGTACGAAGCTAATTTTCAACAAAAAGAGCACTCCACTGGATGGTGATTCTCAGTCAGACAAGGGTTGTTCATGTGCTTCAAGTAAATCTGCTACTGGCATAAGACCGCCGGCCGCCATGGCGAGAGGGCCTAGATAATGATTTCGGGATTATACCTATCAGCTCCATACCACTCTAGCTTGAAGCATAATACACGCTACCTACAGCGAGGGCTGTGTTGCTACTGCTGCTCCCTCCCACACCGCAATGGCCCTCCTGTAGAGAGCCTCATCGGATCGACTACGTAGTAGATAAACAAGTATATGATTCCTTCTCACTTGCATGGGGTGTAAGCTGCTGCATCTAGCCTTGTGAATGTACTGCTCCCATGATAGAGATTACAACCGTTTCAATATTCTGGGCGGCTGGTAGAACGTCAATAAAGAACTAGCTTAGACAGATATACTGGGGCCGTTTATTTGTTAAGGTAGCATTAGTCCAGATTCACCAGGTGGAACATGGTCAAGAACTATGCTCTACTTCTCCCTGGCCTAGATTTTCCTCTAAATAATATGGACCTAGAATAGAGGTATACTTTTAATCCTGTTGAAATAGGATGCATGTGAAAAGACAACAAACTTCAGCCCAGAACCAATTCTTGAAATTTCTCGCTCCTACTATTTCTGTTCAACCTGAAAATTTGCCTACTTACTTATAACAACGGCTATTTGTGATTAATCCTATTTTCAATAGGTCTTAATTGCCATATTATTATTAAAGCTAGGGTAGCTGCCACTAACAGCTTCCCGTGGTAGTAGAAAAAGGTATAAAACTCTATATAAGTCACTCCTGTGTCCCACTTGAAGCCTGGAGAGTCAGTACGATTGACACATACGATATGCAATACTATGTGAAGAAAATATGTCCCAATGCGCGTCCTAAGGCAGGTATATTGTCCCTGACAACTGAACAGATTGGTCAAGACTTAGTATCTATTCACTAGTTTGTGGTACCATGTCGACCAAACTAAGGAAGATTGGTAATCAATTATTGAACACGGTCTGTGTCAATTAGAGCTGCTGGCTTGGGATATGTCGTCACCAGCCTTGATGAATGGGAGTATATGAAGCCACGAAGTTGGATCGCAGTTATCAGCATTATAAAACACTTTAATGAAATGATTGTTAGGGTTCTGACAATATTGAATCCAAAAGTTATATTTTAAAAGGATGTCACTGGATAGTAGACACAATGTATGGATGCGGACCTAACAGCAGAACGCGGCTAGCGTTCTTCTTATAATGTGCTCAGAGAGAGCAGATCACTGAAAGACAAGTGGTTGAAAAGTTGTCACAATATGATTGTGCACACATCGACAGAATATGATCTTTGAGAGCTTGTTATAAGAATATCCTGAGCACTAACTGAACAATCTTCAAATACATTCACACCACCTAGGCATCATCTAACAATCTGGATAAGGTGGTCCTTAGATGTCGATCGTCTACGCCTCCATTTCAGACAAAACAGGCCAACCAAAGATGTTATTACCGTCAATGAGATTCCAGCAACAGGAAGAATCCACCATTTATCATATACTTGGAGCGATGAAGCGCTGGCATTGAAAAATACCGTGCTAAAAATCGTCTGGTCACGGCAATGGTAAGCCCTAATTAGAAGATCGGAAACAGGGGACGCAAACTTACCGCTACGAAAGTAGTAGGGAGGAAAATTGTCGCTACACCCGCAAGGATGCTCATTAAGGCACTATCTTGCTGCGTCTGCAGTGCAACCTGTGCCGAGAGTTGTCCAATATCCCTCATGAGTCGGTTATCCGTTTGCGCCTCAAGGTGGTAGTACTAAAGTGGCGATGAACAACACAACACAGGCGGACTTGGATGGGAATGAGCCTACCAGGCTGATTTGCACGTTGGTTCGATCTCTATATGCGGCAGCCCATTTCTGGTAATACTGGATGGACGATTCAAGTTCCATCATGAGTTGCTCTGACTGGTCGAGCAGATCCGAGGGTGAGCCTTGGTAGAGATCACGCCCGTGTGTCTCCAGACAGTGACGTAAATATTTAGTTTGCTCTGCGAGCTCCAGCAGTTCTTTTGACAAAACTTGCCATTGGACGATTAGCCTGTGTAGCTGTCTCGTTTGGGCGTCGACTCGGAGGTCGACCTTTTGCTTTTCCTGGTCCCATGGTAAGGAGCTAGAGCTAGACAACAGTTTGGGGGAAAGGCATGGCTCACTATTTCTATGAGTTTCTCCCTTCGCGCGGATATGGCACCGCGGTATATCTGAAGAATTTCATTGATGATCCAGATATCAAGGATGAGGGGCTGTTGAATGCGACTCCGGTCAGAGAGAAACCCTTGGACAAGTCTTTCGATCAAATACTCGGGGAAATTGATGCAAACATAGTTGGTCAGATTTTGGCTCGTCTGCATGTAGAGAAACGAATGGGAGTAGATTGAATCAACCCAGAGGCAAAATCCATACTGTATTACCAAAGACTCTACTCTCGAATTCCGCTTTTCTACTTGTGAGCTGATGTTCAGAATGGCCCAATCTTCGGTTTCGTAGACGTCAGAGAGGAATTTTGCAGACAGTCCGATATTGTGGTGAAGAGTGAGCAACACTCTAGGCTCTATATGGACATGTTTCGTTGACGGCTCAGAGTTTCCACTAACAAAACTACAGATGCTCAGATTAGCTGCCACTTGATCAAAGTTGAGGCAAGTCGCCTACAATATCCTACATCTCGGCCGGTCTTGGTTTTCTTTCTGATCCAAAGAATGAGCAGTTGGCAATATTAAGATAGAATATGAAGACAGCGTACGTTGTTTATCTTGATCCAGTCCTGCAAACTCGTGCTGTCGAGGTCTTTGTCAATTTCTTCGAAGTTAGCGCAGATCCAGCCCTTGCGTTGTAGTTGACGTACGGACATCTGACCCCACAGTCTCAACGATAGATATCGACGAGGAGTTTTTGCAGCAGGTTGAAGCGGTGCGGAGAATTTCTCCTAGATTTTTTGGCGACCCCGAGCACAGGAGACGGCTCATATTCTGGCGATGGAAGATGAAGTTGCAGGGAGTCACTGGATTGCGTGGGGAGGAAACTACTGCTAAACATAAGAGGCACTAAGACCAGCCGGGACGAATAGACCCCCTACTATAAACTGGGCGGGAATGATCTTCGGCGTGGCAGCCTTGTTCCTTTTTCTGCGTCATCCACTTCTCACCACACCCGCCATCTTCGCCGGTGACTTATGATTCATACCCAAACACCGTAGCCGCATGATGCAACAAGTGGATTGTGAACGCGTGTTTGGTACTTCTATAGATACAGGGCCGAAGATGGTTCACGAGAGCGAAGGACGAAACTCGCGGGGGCTGTGCAAAGTAAAGTGAGATAAGGTGACCAAGGCGAGGTGGTGATGAGATATGGATGTTACACGAGGGCTTCACGAGCTCGACCACACAGATCAGGAGAAAAGAAGCTCCCGGGTAAAAGTATTGGGGTTGGGGCTTAGTTTTGGAGGGCAGTAACCCTGTCAGTGCTCCATCGTTGGTTTTAGGAGGAAGACATGTACATCAAGTACAAGCCATGTTGCTTAGCATGACCTGCTGGGGCGCAATAAAACTCTGAGCCGGCTTCCAGTTCACAGGTGTTCCTCCTGATAAATGGCGCCAAGATCTTGCCTCGCTAATGGTTTTGTGATCGGACTGCATTAGCTGGCGTACATGGCCAGTGTTCAAGATGTCGGCCGTGCCTCAAATGGGGTTGGGCAGGGCCAACGCCAAGAGAAGTAGATCCAAATAATGATGGTTCATTGGTCTACACTGTACAGTTCAGTCCAACAGAGATTGAAAAGGCGCAGCAAGATTCTCAATATGGAGTGCGAGTGCGAGACGCGGCTGAGCAGCGAGGAGCATAGCCTCCCTGCTTTGCGGGATTATCTTGTGTTAGATGTGACGAAGATGAGGCATGTTATAAGAGGCTCTATCCCGCACATGGCGCCTCTCTGAATACTATTGAAGCACTTGCCATTGACTATATCTTTTCAAGCTCACAACGCTTGTTGTTTCAATTTGACCTCTGGCAATCTTTCGTTACCCACCATGAGTCATTGCATGGGACCCGACTGTCCCAACACGCTCACTTATGCCGATGTGACCAGGTTTCCACCTTCTCTCTGCCGTTATGAGAGCGACAAACCAGTCAAAGCCGGCCATCTACTGTTAGTACCTCTCTCTTCCAATTTGGGATATAATGCTATGCAAGCGATAGATAGCACCATGGATACACAACATGGAGCCCCATCACTGACTCATGTAGGGAATTCTCCATGGTCCATACCCGTGCCCTCTGCGAGACATGCTACGATAGATTCATCAAGCACAACTACGTCGCATTTAGTTACGGTTCCGAACGCGCGGGTTATTATGGAGCTGAAAAGCGACAGCTTGTGTGTTCATTCGACGGAATGGAAATCTATCTCACAAACTCCAACGACCAGATTACCAGAAAACTCGCAGATATAGCCAGGGAGAGGCGTCTCTTTTACTTGGACAAGGCAAATATCTTGCCCCCACATGAGCACTGGTCTGAGGACTGCTTGCAGAAAATCTACGGGGACGCTTGGGAAACTTGGTATTTCCCAAGTAGGCATATGAATGTTACTGCGGAGCACGCGAGATACCCGGATGGGAGAACTGGAGGCCACTGGGAGGCGATGGAATTGGACGTTTCGCGTAAGTGGACAACGTGGTTTTTGGATGGTACTTTCATGGAAACCATGTATAAATTCTGAGCCTGAAGTCATAATGGCCGTGGCATAATACTTCCGTTGTGTAGGTAACATCTAATTGAGTCGTCAAACTAACCCGCTTTCGGGTGACCCAATAAGTAAAGGTAGTCGGTGATCTACAGTTAATCAGATCTCAGGTGTCTGGGTCACGCAGACCTTGGTGTGGAAAACAGAGGGGCTAAGAGATTTGTTAGAGGAGGTGAGCTAATGTGCTAGAGTAGGTCAGATAATATAGAGAGGAGATAATATGATGAATACAGTGCTGAGTGGGGTTCAAACCTCTCTAATATGCAAAAAGATGCTAGTTCACTGCCTATGCTGTACAAATAAATGTGTACCTTCAGATATATCATATTCCACATAATAATACAAAATTATTTCTAGGAAAATATATCTAGTCTTTTAAAAAAATCGGATAGAAATACTATAAAATAAATAAATCCATTAATCAATTTATAATGATAAATAGTTAATATAAAAGATTAGTGTACTTTATATGTTTTAAGATTAAAGCTATATATTCATACTATTAATTCTTACCAAAGGAGCTTATATCTATTTCTAATAATATATTTAAAAATTTTTAGTATATTTTTAATGAGTATATATTTTAATATTTCAATTAAAAATAATGTAAAAGTACTAGAAAATGATATAAGTAATAATATAAATGAATAATAATCATAAAGCTAAAAAGAACATAATATGATAATAGAATAATAGAAACTAATAGAATTAATCGAATTATTATCTAAATAATAATAGCTATCTAATGATTCTAATCTTAATATTTAAAAATACTAAATATTTATTTAAAATAACTATCTCTACTATATAATATATCTCTTTAAACTCTAATATTAAAAATAGTTAAAGTTATAAATTTCTAAGTAATTAGTTAAAATTTATTCTTAAATAGAATTTCTATAGAAAAATAAAATAAAAATAAAGATTTAGAAGCATTATTTATATTCATATATTCTATAGAACTTTAATGTTTCTCCTAGATTTATCACTATTCTTTAGCATTCTTTATATTTTACTAACTGTAGGAGACTTATAGGGGAAGATAATTGTGGTTCTATTCTAAAGACATTGTAAGATAATACTAACTAGCTATAATAATAATTATAAATAGAAGGAACGTAGGAATAACGAACAAGAAATAATAAAGCCTAATACCAGGGTTGTTCTTTATAAGAACAATATTTTTATTATTATAAAAATAGAGAGATAGAAATTGTCAGACAGTAGGGGTGTCTGCCTCAGGCAGCCATCTAGTCAGGACTCAGCATATTTAGGCACCTATTTCTGGCAGCCATTATTGCCTAGGTAACTACTAGATTGATTCTATTAATTTCTATTATTTTGATCTGCATTGTTCTAATATATTCTTTCTAGTTTTATTATATTATCTACTTACATTATCTACTTATATTATGTTCTAGTATTTCTATGTTATTTCTAATTATAATTATTAATTATCTGTTTTTAGGAAACTCTAGACCTTTAGAACTATACTATAAATAGGGTCTACTAACCTATGGTTCCGGGCTAAAATTAATTAGAGTTATTTACTAGATCTAATTAGTTATCTAGTTTAACTATTAATTTCCTTAACTCTTATTAATTCACTCTAGTTAGATTAATAAAACCTTTTATATTAGAAAATTCTGGAATATCTAATGTTATGGGTTCTATAGGCCTAGTACAGACTATAGGTCCTATAGGCTCTGTACGAACTATAGATTAGAGCTCGGCAGGGTCTTGTATATAAAGGCCCTAAGGAAGGCTTCCTTATAAACCTCTAACTCTAAAGACTGTAAGTTATTCTGCTACTGTATACCGCCCTACTTCCCTCTATTTATTAATATCTAACTGCTATTTAACTTTCTATTTCTTAGCTATTTCTTTTTATTTATACAGTATGCTTAGATAAGAAAATCTATCTCTATTCATTCTATAATATTAGAAATAGTTTAATAAAATACTAGAACAGTAGGAGATAGCCTCCTACTATAATAATAGAAGAGAAAAATATAGCTATATTTCTATAATAATTCTAGGAGCTCTGTATAGAGATACAAGTTTAAAGATAATAATATTAAAAGAAAAATAATAGTCTTTAAGCCGAATTATATATTATATAGAACTAACAGCTAAATATATATGCTATAACTATAATTACTATAATATCTTTAATACTAGAAGTAGCAAGCTTTAGTTAACTCTAGCCGCGTTATTTAAATATTAAATTCTTTAATAGAAAAAACTTAAAAAATTATCTTTTTTTCCGAATAAATCTTTATATAAAATTTGTAATTAACGCTGTATACTATAGTATAAAAGAGAAATAAATCTATTATATTTATAGCTGTTTTTAAAGTAAGACTAGCTAGTATATTCTCTCTTAGCTACAGGCCTATTAAAAATTAGAAATAACTATAAAGTAGAGAAAATTTACTATAGTATTAAATAAGGCTTTTAGTAATTTTAATTAATAAAAAAAAGTCTTTATATAAATTAATACTATAAAATAAGAGAAATATAATCTAAAGAAATTCTTAAATAAATTTAATAAAATATTATTTAGTACAAGGAAAATTAGCTAGAATAATTTTTAAAAGAAAACTCTTTTAGATACCGTAGTTAATTAGTAGCTTCTTAAAGAAATAATCGGTATTTTCTAGATAGATATATATAAAGCTTACTACAACTAACTATAGTATATAAACTATAATATCTAATAAGTAAAAAGATTAAATTAGGGATAAACTTGTATAATAGCTACAGTAAAAGAGACTTCTACTAAAAAAAATTAATAAATCCCTTACAGCTAGCTTGTCCTAATTCTATAAAATAAGAATTAATTATAATCTAGATTACAGCCCTACGCGAAGAGATTAAAAATTTAAAATTAACTAATTATATAAGGCTGTCTAAGTAGGCAGTATAGATTAGTATAGAAAAGCACAATAAAAAAAAGGCAAAAAAAGAATATATTTAATATAGAGAGAGAGATTACTATATATAAAATTACTACTTATTACTATTATTATTTTCTAAATAAATAGCTAATATTTAAAGAGTAACTTCTCTTAATAGTAATTAAAAATTAAAATTAGAGAACTTAGAAAAAAAGTAATTTTTATATAAAGTCGCGTACAAAGAAATAAAAAAAATAATTAAAATAATTAAATTTTTTTAACTCTTTTTAACTCCGTGTAAGAAATTTTTTTTAAAATCTTTAGATTTCTCTTTTTTTATTATATACTTATTTATAGATTAAATTACTTTAGTATATATAATAATAAATATAGGCTATCTAATTTATAGTACTATTAGTAAGGCGTTTATAAAAATCTATTAAATATTTATAATTATAATTACTCTATAAATAGTAAAAAAAATAGTAGATAAACTAAATACTCTTATATAGATTATATAAGTATAATTAAATATTAAAATCTATTTAGAAGTAGGCGTGTATCTATATGTATTATCTAACTAACTTAGCTATAATATAATCTTAGAAATATTCTAGCTACAACGCTATAAAAATTAGCTTAATACTAAATATAGAAGATTATATCTTTATATAATATGCTCCCGCTTATAAAATAAAATTAAAAAATCTATAACTCTGTTAAATCTATATAAAATTTTAATAAAAGCTATATAAGTGTACGTACGCCGGGCTAAAAAAAATCTTTAAACTATATAAGTTTTTTTTATTTTAATAGCGGATATTTAGAAGGCTCTAAAAATAAAGAAACTAATAAATTTATAGGAAAGACTACTACTGTAGTACTATTAGTATTTTAATCTATTTAATTTAGATAAAGTCTAAAGTTTTCCTTCTTATTAAAGCCTTAGAATTAACTATTTTATTAAGCTTATATAGGAAGATAGAAAAAACCTAAAGATTCTCTAAAAACTGCTATATTTAATATCCTGCGAAAAGTTAGTTACGCTATAAAAAAAACTAACCAACCTACTATAAAAAAACTTTATTAAAATTAGCTATTTCTCTACTGCTGCGCCGGTTCTATTTATACAGAAATTTAGAGATAGTTTTTAGTTCTATATAGACTACCGGGCTCTAAATATAATTACTAAAAAAAACTGTTACTCTCTCTCTCTTATTAATAAAATATTAAACTAGATTAGTCAAGCTAAATAGTTTACTAAATTTAATATTACTGCTATTTTCTATAGGATTTAAATTATTAAAAAATAAGAATAAATAATTATATTTTATACGCGGTACAGCCTTATAAATAGCTAGTTATTTTTTTCAGATTAATAAACGCCTCTTTAATTTTCTAGAAATATATTAACTAAATACTATATAAGTATTTAGACGAATTCTGCTCCGCGTATTTTAATAGTATTCTAATTTATACCGATAAAAATCTTAATTAATATTAAGACTACGTATAAAAGATTTTAAAGAAGTTTTAGAAAGCAGACCTTTATTTAGATATTAAAAAATATAAATTCGAAGTTAGAGAGACTAAATATCTAAGATTTATTATTTAGATTAAATAGAGAGTTAAGATAGACCTAAAGAAGATTAAAGTTATTTAAAATTAGAAACTATTTACCACCGTTAAAGACGTACAAGAATTTCTTAGTTTTATAAACTTCTACCGGCGCTTTATTAAAAATTTCTTTAGTATTATATAACCTCTAATAGATCTTACTAGTTAGAGAAAATTGATATAAAAGACTAGATAGATTTCTAAAGGCGTATTAAGATATATAGTATAAATATTTATTATCTTAAAAACAGTGTATTTCGTATTTTTCCAGTCTAGCTTTTTATTAAGCCTATCGGTAGTAATATTTTATAAACTAAGCTAGATTTTATTATTTTTTTTATACATAGAGGCTAGGCTTCTCTATTTATTTACTTATTTTTCCGCTTTCTATTATACATAGATAGTTAATACTTAGATTTAGCTAAGAGTTTTAGTAATCTTTTATATAATAGTTTTATCTTTCTATATTAGGCTTCTAGCAGATTTATTTACTAGAGTATTTAAATTTTCTATAAGTATAAAAGAAGTTAGATAGAAACTATAGCTAAGAAAGAATAAGCTAGTCTTAGTTATAGCTATTATACAGATATTTAATATAAGTTTAGTAAGTAATAGTAGCTAGTTTTAATCGTACTAGTTATAGTAGAAATAAATATATAGATAG